AACGAAAAGTTAAAATCAGGAAATTTGATTCAGAATCTGAAGATGAAAATCAAGAAATCATCTTAGATGAAACTGTACCTCGAGATATAATTTTGGATATCTTTGACAGTGATTAAATTGCTGTTAATTTAAACTAAGTTTAAATCATTACTCGTTTTCCCTGTGTAATGAATTGGGACTATTATTATTTTTTTGGTAACAAACTTTTCTAATTTTCGTAAAATTTAATGGACAATCCTATGAAAATTTAATGGGACAATCCCTATGGAAAATTTAATTGGGACATTTAATAATTAAATCAATGGGATCAATTGTCATCAATCAATTATGCTAATTGACACCTACACCAGAGTCGCCACTGTCCAACCATAACAACCGTTGTTAAGAGCCATTGGTGAAACTAAGTTTCCTTTTCCTTAATTGATTAATTGTGTTACTTGACTTGTTGAACTTAGTTCATTTTCTAATTCATTTTCTATTGAAAATTGTGTTTGAACTCAGTTCATTTATCAACTAATTAATTTTGTTAATCAATTAACCTTCATTGTGTTGAACTTAGTTCAAGTTTTGTTTATTTTCTATTGAAAATTTTGAGTGAATTTAGTCAATTGTTGATCATCTAATTTCTGTGTTGAACTCAGTTCATATTCATCATGTATCGATTACGACCAGAAGACTTGGAATGGAATCCAGTTCCTATTAGAAATGATCCAATTGATGCTCTTATTGATTCTCAAGATGGAGAAGTGGAAATTTTACATGTTGCTGTTCACCGAATCCTCGAACTCAACCGACAATCTCTGAATGGGTTTCGAACAATGCTGTTGAAACGACCTCTAAACCGAATGAACTTAGTTCAGATTCTTTCATTGATCAAGAGACAATCAAAGATTATGAATGTTGTATTTGTTGTAATCTCGCTAAACGACCAATGATTTGTTCTAATTGCAATTGTCTCATGTGTTCTCATCCATGTCTTCGAGCTTACAAAGAATCTGATGGATCTCGTTTTCCATGTCCATTGAAATGTAGTCGAATCAATATTCGATTCATTCCTTTACCGAAAGAAGGAGGAAGAAAGAATTGGAAAACGTTTGGAGATCTATTGACCCTTTGCTATTTTGCCCCTGATTGTCAAGAAAGAGTAGCCGCTCGATATTATTCTCATCATGTTAATCGATGTAGAATGAATCCAGAATTTTGTCTTCACTGTAATATGTTGATCTCAGATCAAAGGCAAACGAACTGATTGTGTTAAAGTTCAGAGAACTAGAAGATAGTAAAAGACGAAAACAAAGTGATGAACTTAGTTCATTGAAATCAGAGATTAATTTTCTCCGAGAAAAGATCAAGAAATTGGAAATCAAACCAATCGCTTCATGTCATTCAAATAATATCCGAAGTGCCGTCGATCATAAAATCCCGAGAACTAAGTTCGCTGTTACTTATGGAGATAGAAAAATCAGAATCGCTGGAATCGATTTGAATGAAACTGGTGCTACCTTAAGAAACGCAATTGAAACAAGATTGGGATGCAAAGTTGGACCTATTTTGAGATTCGATCACACAGTTATCAAAGATGATAAGAAATTAAAGCAACACCAACTTTGCTACAAACCGACCGAACTTGTGGCCTTACCAATCAATCGCCCTGTTGAAGATGGTCGAATTCTGAACATCGATATCACTGGCCGTCAAGAGGAATTAGTCTAATTTCAGAAGGGGAGGATGTTGTGTAATTTTGTAACAACCCCTTTTCTTGTAACTTAGTTACAATCACTGTTGATGTTGTTGCAACTTAGTTGCTTGTTTCCTTTTCCTCACCTTCTTGACCTCTCACTTCCTCTTCCTTTTTCATGGTATAAATACCTTCTAATTGATTGTTTAATTAAGTAGTACTGAAGGTCCTAAACTAAGTTTAGTGTCAATCTATTGTTTGTGAATCTCTCATTGGGATTGTCTCTCTTCCTCTCATTAAGATTGTCCTTCTCAGAAGGTTAAGTTTCTACCCCACACATTGTATCTAATTGTGAATCAATTAACACTTAAAGTCTCGTCTTGAACTATTGTTATATTAATTAGTGACTAATTGTAATTGACCCAAACTCGTATTTGAGACTGTGATTAAAGTCCATTTATTAATCCCCAAGAAAATCAACTTAGTCGTGCCTAGAGCCTATTTTGCCTTTTTGTCTCCATGTTGGATTTTGCCAATATTGTAACCAGATTGTGACAACTAAGTTGTCGAGTGTTGCTAAAATTATAATCGGTCATTATTTTATCTAACAAATTTAATTAGACTTACCTTTTTTGATTAATCATCGATTGATATGATTAATTTCAATTAACTTTAATCAATCAATTTAGTTGATTGTGTGATTATCAAATATAATTTGAGGTTAAGGTTGAAACATTTAAATCATTTGGATTATAATTGTTGATTAAGACAATCATTAGTTAAATTGTTGTCCTTTATATTTTGATTATCATTTCCTTTAGTTAAATAACAATTAAGTTAATCATCTTTTGAAGGATAACAACAATTTGATTACTATGGTAATGGTGATGATGATTAAGAATTGTAATTAACATCGGAAGACGGAAATTTAATCAAATTAAACAGATAACAATTAACTGATCAATTGATTATCAACAAAAACAAAATGAAACCTTGAAAATTAAATCAATCGTTAATTAGGTTGGATGATTAATGATTAATGTTAAATTGAACATTGGACAATTTAAATTGTCATTATAAATCAAATTGTCTATCATTATTCATTACCTAGATTTTAATTGTTGGCATTGAAAGTTGATTCTCATTGTTAATTGCTCAATTTTTTAGCCATTTATGTGATTTAATTATAATTGCTGACTGATTATCAGTTTAATTGTGAAAGGAATAAAAAATTTCCAAGTTAAAAAGGTTACCTGATTAACGATTAATTTAATTGTTCATCATTTTAACCATTCAAGCCGAAAGCAAATTAACTTGATTGTTGAGAACAACAATTGACTGATTAATGATTAGTGGAAATTGAAACTTTATCAGTGATTAATTGTTAACATTGAATGAAAACAAATTCTTAATTCTTCCTGATTGTAATCAATTAATGCCAATGTTAACCAAAAAAAGTGAACAATTAAATCAATTAATCATCATGTTGGAATCAACAACAATTAACATGTAGGTGGATTTTAAAAAGCTGACAAACTGATTAAGTTAATCATTTAAAAACCATTTAATTAATAAGTAATCATGTAATCATAACCACCCAAGAGCCAACAATTAGAGGGATAATTAATTCTGATTACAATTAGATCATTGTAAAGAAAAATAAGTTAATCATAATTTCACTCTTTCCAACAATTAACTTTGATTGTTTGTTTAGTTGATTACAGTTATTTAGAGTTAATTTAGTTTCTTGTTTATTATTTTTAATTGTCAATTGAAACCTTGAAACAATTTGTTGATTTTGACATTTGATTGACAATCAATTTGGTAAATAAAATTTTACGACAATTTGATTAACCAGAATTATATTATTCCAATGTTGGATCAACAATTAACTAATCATAATAGTTAATAAATTGAGCAAATTGAATGTAAATTAATCATAAAAATGGAAACAGAATTATAATCAAATTGTTGTCAACTAATAATCAATGTTGATTATGTTAATTGTTAGTTTAACTTTTTAAATTCACTTTCTAAATTGTGTGTGGGAATCTTATTACAATAATCAAGGTATTTGATTAATATGATTAAATAATCTGTGTTAATTATGAATACTAATCATGTTGTTTAGCTTGATCATTGAGACGATAATGGGTTTAATTGTGATAATAAATAACCTACGCTTTTGATCAATGGGTATTAACCAGTTGGGGTTGGGTTAAAATGTTAGTTAATTGTGATCATCATCAGTTGTTAATCACATATGATTAGTATAATCAATCAAAATCTAAATTACAACTAGAATCAAGATTTAATAATAAGGTTGAGATGATGATGGTTAATAAATATCATAACCTAAATTGCTGAGGAGGTTTGTTGTTGTTGCTGATGATGAATTAAATGTTGATTGTGATGATCATTTATTATCACCAACAATTTAAAGATGAGTTTTTGTAGTGTTGAATTCAATCAATGGAATTGATCATCTCGATTAAATTAAATGTTGATCAAAATGGTTAACGATGAAATTTTTTACTCTTTTTTTGTTCAAATTGTTGATCAACTTTTCCAATTTAATCACCTTAATCCTTTTTTACTGCTACGTGATCCTCTCGTTGATTGTTGATTGTTGATTGTCTCGACGTGTTGATTAGAAGAATAGTTAATTTAGATGTTACCCTTATTATAACAATTCAAAATTAATTAATTGGTTAAAAGTGATTAATCAATTCTGCCAAGGTTAATTCCAACTATTAATTCACTTTTGCGACCATTTTTGTTTCCATTATCTTCTTACATATGATTAACAATTAAGACGTTGATTATGATTCACTTTCAAGGTTAATTGTTCCAGATATTTTCAAGATGGTGATTAACTCAATGATGGTAATTTAATTGGCTATACTTGATTGTAATCCTTTCCTCCTTTTTCACAATTGATCAAGATGATAATTGTCGTTATTGATAAGCCAACGCCTTGAGACTAATATGTTCATTGATTGGAGATTATGATTTTGACAGTTTCACTTAGATGTTGATAACTGGTGTTACTCATAATCAATAGATGATTGTTATGTTAATCATGATAACTTGAATTGTAATCAACTTATCACATTAAATTTATCCTTCCAATATGAATGGTTAGTGATATTGATTAGAGATGGTAATTAAAATTATTAACCAATATTGGTGATGTTTCTGGTTAACATGATTAAACATCAATAACTTTTTCATTTTGGTTGATTATTTGATTCCAATCAATGTTTCCATTTGTTATTTTTACCATGACAATTAGAGGATAATAATCATTAATCATCAATCCTATTTCCACAATTTCTTTATTGTCTTTACCATCATTACGATCATATCTTTGACTCTCCGTCTTTATCTAACACGATCAAGGATAATTTCCGGTTTCCAGGTTAATCAAGAATCCATCATGTTGATCATCATAATTGTGGTGAAACAATTAACTCCATTAGGTATTCACGTTCCAGTTAACCATTGGGAAGACTCCAAGGAGATTGACCAGGAAAATCATCAGACTGACAATCATTTAATCACAAACATTGAGTTTAAATTGGGTTCATTTATTTGCTCTCATCCTCCATTGATGATCCTATAAATGTCAAGGTTAAAGAAAATTGTAAAGAAACAACAAAATATGTAATCATTAATTGTCATGGATGGAAAGGGAAAAGGAAGAGAACAATTATCGATGACATTACTCACTTGCTTCATCTTATTCTCATCAAAATGATTCCATTTAATTGTTGACAGAATCAAATTACCTTTAAAACAATTAGGAAACAAAAGAAAACAAAGAGATGAAAATAAACATTGTAATCAAAGGGTAAAGGTAAACACAAGTGAAAGAAACAATCAGAAAGAAGGAGATTCAGACAATTGGAAAGATTAAATAGAGTAAGTTGTAAGTTGAAAAGTCGAAAGTTAATTTTTCTCTCGTTAATCAAATATTATCATAATCAATTCCAAGTTAATTAATTGAAACATTTGGATTAATTTCTGATCACAAACAATTAACATGAAAATCAATAGAACGATCTGTGCTTCCATCTGGTGGAGAAAAGGAAAGACTAAAGTTCATTTTCTCGAAATTGTATTGACAGTTGGATGATTTTACTCACAATGTCAGTGAATATTAGAATTGAATTTATTAATAATTCGTTGATTCTTGATAAATATTGAGTCAATCTTTTGTCTTTGTTAACTTCTAGAAAACTAAAGGTAAATGTCAAAGATTCAGAGATGTTATCTATCAGTTATAACGAACTGTTTGACAATTTTAACACAGAACATGAGAAAAGAACTTTTATCCGAAATCGAATTTCGTTAAACTTAAAATAAGATAACGATTCTGTTAGAACGAACCCTTCAATCAATACTTCTCTAAAATGTCCCGTTGGGCCAAAATTGCCGTCGAAAATCGTTAAAAGTTTTTTGTCAATATTTCGACGATGATTGGAAAACTTGTCGATTTCATTTTCAGCGCATATTATGATCTATAAAAAGTCGTTGGAAATGCTCAAATTCAATAAAAATCGATAGAACTTCGAACGTTTTATAAAACAATTTAATTAGATTAATTTCCATCCAAATGACATTTTAACCTTGACAATTATCGATTTCGAGTTTGTTTACAGAAAAGATTATCCTTTGAGTGCTGAGCCTTAAATCTGATTGTAAAAACGAGGAGACAACCAACAATTACTATTTTCTTCAGCTCATAACAATCAATCAAATCAACTGTGTAGCATTCTGATAAAGATTGATTATTTTTCTACAAATTCTGATTCAATTTTCAACTGTCTGAGTCTTGGAAAAACTCTTGCTCTGACCAGAATAACGGAAATAAAGGTAAACGATATTTTCTCGGAAATATTTCGTATCAATTGGTTTATTGTATTCCAACAATTTATTGATTTTCATCTCTATTCAATTGCAAGTCTCTATTTCCAACTCTTTGTTTACTATTTTCCAATGTCTTCTATCAATATCATCTAATTACGAGAATATCTTAGAAACAATATCATCATCATCATCATCATCAAACTAAGGGGAGTTATTGATGCATCTCAATGTTAATCGTTCAGAGTTAATGTGATTTAATTTTCTCTAAATCAATTAACCGATATTGATACATTTTCCCCTTGATAACAATTCAATAAACGTCTCTACAGAATCAGAGATAAATTTAGTTGTTACAAGAACAACGATTTACTAATTACTTTGTGTCACGTTAAAAATAAATTACTGGGAGTTAATTTAATGAGAAGAAAACAAAATAGATATATTATTATATATTAATGATATTAAAATGATCAATAAAAATCAATTCTCATTACAATTCAATTGAGATGCGAAGAAAATGAAAAAAGTATCAACTCCATGGAAAGAATATGAAAAAGTCTCGTTTTTTTTGTTCTTTTATCGGATTATATTCAGAATTATCTCAATTCTCAGTCTATTTATCACTTCTAATCCCCTTGGTTCCTATTTGTGTCTCTAAATTATCTCAGTTCTCTTCCTCATTTGTCCTTGAAGAAATTTGTACTTCCGGAAGATTGACCTTCGAGGCAAAATATTGTCTTCTCGTTAATCTAATTTGTCAACAATTAATTTGTGTCATCCCTTTTGAACAAATTGTTCCGCTGATTTGATCATGTTTTCTGAATGAATGAAACTCTTGAAACAATCAACATGAAGGTAAACAAGAATCAGAATCAGTTAATTTGTTTACTATTCCGGTTAATTACAATCCAACAAAATGCTTTACAACAAAAATCAACCAATCAATCAGTTAATTGTGATATTTTCGCTTACATTGTCATTGGATTGTTAATTTCTCTCCTAATTAACTTAATCATTCTCTCTCTTCGGCTAATTTTACCAATTGATAGTGAATTTGATCATTCAATTGAACTGATTCGGACAATTATCTGTATTGTCCAGTTAATTATAATCTGTCGTCAACGATCATATTGGATTAATCTTTATGCTCTGTTGATTAACCATAATTTCAATGCAAACTTTCAATCTAAATATATTTATTTTATATTCTCGTTAATTGTTACAATTATCTTAATCATCGATGGATCTTCCTGGTTTGCAGATAAATCAGATAATTACAATTCGATTGATAATTGTTTTGATTTTTTCTTCTTCCCATCAAATAGAATTGATTATTTCCATTTATCTTATGAGGTTAAATTCACCTTGGTTTTAATTGCGATACTTTATTATGGATTAATTGTTCATGGAATTCAACTTATAACAATTAACTGGATCATCTACATTTGCTATTTAACATCATCATCACTTACTAATCATCTTCAGTATTTACAATTTAATCTGGTTAATGGTAAACTAATTTCTCTTGATAGCAATCAGATTAAAAAGGAGCGACTATTTCGTATACGATTGATTGTTAATCGTATTGATAAACTACGTCGACAATTAGATGACTCATTAGATTGGCTTCCATTTGTTTGGATATTGGCTCATCTTTTTGAATCATTTAGTTGTCTAATTGAATATTTAATTACTTCAAATGGACAATCAACTAATCACACTCAAGTTATTCATTTAACTATTTTCCTTCGTAGATGGTCACTATTTAGTTTATCATCGGTGTTTATGATTATCTTGTGTTTGGTGACAATTAAAGTGAAATCAAATTACCTGAACCTTGAACAACGAATTGCGACTCAAAATCATCAAATTAATTCACAATTAACGCGATTATCATCCAATGGGATCACCGATTTAGAGGAGATACTTTTTAAACAAGAGTTGTCTCGATGGAGACAACAATTAATGGAAAGACAATCAACCAAAGGAACCAATCAAATTAATCAATCGCTAATGGCGCTTCTGATTAACACAATTATCCCGATGTTTATTATACTCAAAACATGAAGTAATTAAAGTCCCAAATTAAATCAATTCTAAATCTGATTAATCTTTTTCCAACACTTTTCAATTTCAAAAATCTTCCTTTGAACAACAATCAGGATCTTCGATGATGAATTTAAAATTGATCAGAAAGAAAACTAATTAAACTGATTTCTTCTTAAATTACAATCACAATGAGATCAAGTTAATTGTTGGAATCAAGTTGGAAAACTATTCTCCGGAAAGTTAAATCATAATCACAATCAAAATCGGTCTGAATCATTACAAAGCCGTTCACTGGACTTTCACTGGTAACAAACAATCAAAATGGTGATTACAATTTAATTGCAACAATCAAATTACTTGGAATTGATGTTCAACAATCACTAAATGATTTAAATAGTAATCAATTAACTTTCCATTCATATTGCTCGTGTTCATCAATAAGTGGATATCATTGGACCTTTATCACCATGTTATCATCTGAATTGTTTTCATTGACAAGATAATTTACTTTCTAATGACAATTAATCAAAATCAATTATTGATTTGTGTCCTCATGTACCAATTGAAATGAGTAATTAAATCAGTTGAAGATGAGCATGTGAAGATCCACAATTTACCAAGGAAAAACATGACATAACATAATCGAAGCAATTTAATGAGAATCAATTGTTACTGTTTAACAATTAATTCACTGATTGTCATAAAAGATTCAGGTAAGAGAATCAAATTGTTACAATTAACCAACACCCTTATCAACCTGATCCTTTTAATTATTAACAAATAGTATCAATAACTTACAGGTAAACCTTTGTCACTTTTAATTTGTACAGTTAATTAATCATTTACATTGTATATTGTTACAGATTAATAGTTGATTAGTTTGTTCACACTAAATGATTAACTAAATCACCAGGTTCCAATTAACTGTCCAGTTTGATGACCACATGATGATTCTGGACTCACATTGATTTCTGGACAATTATTACATTGGAACATTAATTTATTAATTTAACAGTTTGAATTCACTTAATTGTTAATAATCAAGATCCCCTGGTGATAATTTAATCAAATTTGCTCTTTTAATTGTTGATCTCTTTTACAATTACTTAATGTAATTTGATTTTCTCTTGCAAATTTAATAACCAATTTGTTAATTACTTTGATAAAATTAAACATACAAACATAGATAATAGTTAATTCAGTTGATTACGATAATTGTTATCTCATTTTTAACATTATAATCAACAATTAAAAACACTCTTAACCAAATAAATCACTTAATTGCCAATTTGATTTCTTAATGAAAACAATTAATTGATAGTTTTTCACTTAATCAATCAACTTAATCAAACAAAGTACAATTTAAATTTCTCTTGATTATCATTACCATGAATCAATATAAATCATCGAGGACTAAATGTTTCAATACTAATCATGAAAAAGGAAAAACAAAACAATAAAGTTAATCAACTAATCAACTAATCAATTAATCAACTAATCAAATGATTAAATCACTTTTTCAATCTATCTTCAAATCTGATTACAAACAATTAGCTAATCAGATTAATGATTAATTACTTTCACTTTTCTCTTCTCGTCCTAACAGTGAAGTTGATTGTCTGATAAAAGGAATTGAATTCCAAATGATTAGAACTAATTGTTGATTTAATTGCGAATTTCGATCGTCCCTCTAGTGGAAATAAACGAAACTATCGAATAAAAGTTCGCGCAATCGTAAAGCCTTTGGGAGGAAAGAGAGAGAAAGAGTAACTGTTAATCTCTCTGTTCATTTCAACTTGTGCTCTCTTTTATTATAATTGTATTTTCATTTGATTTAATTGTTAACTGCGAACTATTTGATTAGTACTGAACCAATTTGGATAAGGGTATTCAAACAATTCGTTGATTAAAGTTAATTTTATTTCTCTTTGGATAATTGATTCAGTTTCATTTTCGTTTTCTCTTCAAATTTACTTTCTCCTTTTTTCTCTGTTTCCTTTTTGGTTCCTTTTTTTTGTTCTATTCTCTTTTCTCTTTCGCTTTTTTCTTTCATCTGTCTAATTTCTCTCTCTTCTTTCTCATATAAATATTTTTTTTTCTTTCTCTCTCTCTCTTCTCTTTATTTTCACCAGTATTCACTTACTGATCTTCTCGAATTTCTAGAGAGATGGTTCAGCATAATTGTTCGTCTTCACCTCTTACTCTTTCCTCTGATTCTACTACGTCTTGTACTTCATCAAAATATCATCACAGTCTCTTTGATCCTAATGATGAACGGGAAGCTTGTGGTGTTGGATTTATCGTCAATATTAATGGTCAACCCTCTCATCAGCTTCTTCTCGATGCCCAAACCATTAGTAAACGTATGGAGCATCGAGGTGCTTGTTCATGCGATAATCTTACCGGTGATGGTGCTGGATGTTTAGCATCAATTCCTCATGAGCTTTATTCTCGTGTTCTCAAAGAAACTCATGGTATTGAACTTCCACCTTTTGGTAAATATTATTCTGGTCTCATCTTTATTGGTGTTTCATCGTCTCCTCAAAGTGAAAAACGATTCAACGAATTGGCTGAAAGCCTTGGATTTAAGGTTATCTGCTGGAGAGATGTGCCAAAAAATAATAGCTGCTTGGGTGAAGTAGCTAAAGCATCCGAGCCCCTCGTTAAACAGGTATTCCTTATCTCGACTCGAAATGATTCAGGTGATGATGATGAGGCCACTGATCGTCGGGTTTACCTTCTACTTAAATGGTCTGGTCGTGTTCTTTTAGAAGAAGGTTTGGATTTTTACATTTGTTCACTTTCTCGTCGCACAATTGTCTATAAGGGACAATTTACTCCACCCCAATTATGGGATTATTATAAAGATCTTTCAGATCCACAATTTAAATCTTACCTTTGCCTGGTTCATGCTCGTTTCTCAACAAATACTTACCCAAATTGGGCTCGCGCTCATCCCTTAAGGTTATTGGCTCATAATGGTGAGATCAATACACTCAGAGGAAATGTCAACGCAATGAGAGCCCGTGAAGGTGTAATGAAAAGTACCCAATATGGTAAAGATTTAAACAAATTGTATCCTGTGGTTGAACCTGGTGTTTCCGATTCTGGTTCCTTTGATAATGTTCTGCAATTCATGGTGATGGCTGGTAATCGTAGTTTACCGGAAGCGATCATGACAATGGTACCCGAAGCCTGGCAAAATGATGATCTCATGAACATGGACAAAAAAACCTTCTACCGATGGTCAGGTTGTACCCTAGAACCTTGGGATGGTCCAGCTTTGTTAACCTTTACTGATGGACGTTACATCGGAGCGATTTTGGATCGTAATGGACTTCGACCTTCAAGATACTATGTGACAAACGATGGATTCGTAGTGATGGCATCCGAAGTTGGTGTTCTTGATATTCCACCGGAAAGAATCGCTGCCAAGGTTAGTTGGAAAAAAGAATTTTTTGTTTTCTCTTTCTCTTTTTCCCCTTTCCCCTCTCTTTCTCTCTCTCTTTTCTCCTTCTAACCTTTTTCTCAACTTGAAAATATCAAAATATCACCATAAATTATTTTCTTTTTTTTGCCTCATTGGAAGAAAAATTTAATTAATAGACTAATAATTATCCCTATTAATCAATAACAAAATTGATTTCATGTCAACAGGTTGATTGACATTGAAATATATGCAAATGATAGTTCACTCAACTCTTTCTGTCTCTCTATCTCTCTCTATCTCTCTCTATCTCTCTCTCTCTCTCTCTCTTTGTCTCTCCCATTTAATCAGCTACATTGTTTTAACTAATTTATCTCATCTGTTAAGCTATTTGAAGTACTTGTTAGCTAAAAAAAGAAAAACAGAAAAGAAAGAAAAAAAAGAATAAGAATATAAATATAACTCTCTTGATGATTTTCTCTCTCTGTGTAAATATTAATATTAATACATTTTTTTCCAATCACTTGATCATCTTTTACATAACGTTTGTAACTCTGTCAATAAATGGGAGAGACAATGACATTGTTTATTTTCCTCTATCAAAAATCAATTAGAGAGAGAGAGTGAAAGTTAATGAGATGTTCCCAATATTTTCCACTCATCAACTAATTAACCTTTTTGTTGATTTATTAAGATACTTTTACTAACCTATTCTCACTTGTGATGTATCAAAAGTATAATATAAAAATACATTTATTTTTATAAACAATTATTATGATGCCAGAGAAGATCATAATTACGTCATTTAATTAGATGGGGATGTCTTCTTTTATAGAGTAATGTGATTTATCATATGACACTTTCTCTAATTATGTATACAGGGTGTTGAGAGATTCATCAATTTATTAATAGCTGGAAGCTTCTTAAATCTTTTAATCAACTTTTTAATTCATCTTTTGCTCTATTTCCTTTTTCTCTATGTTTAAATCCTATTGGATTTTACCTTGAAAATGACTTGAAGATTTTCAGCTTCTTTAAATTGTTGCTTTTCATGTGATTAAATTTTGATTATTATTAGCTCTCTCTCTCTCTCTCTCTCTCTCTCTTCGTGAGATGCGCACGTTCTGGTTAGCTGATTATTATTATTTTAATCGAAAGTGCTTGAGAAACAAATTAATTGATTACTTAATCATCATGATAAGTGCAATCAGAGGTTGATTATTGTTTATATAACCCTTAGTCCAACTATTGATTTGATCCACTCATTTTGTATTGATTGTTGACTGTTGACTGTTAGAGTTGCTATTAGGATAATTTTCTATTAATAGTTTAACTGATTATATTAATTGCTCATTATGTCTGTTGAATTAATTAAATATTTTATTACTTTATTTTTTATCTTGCATTCATAGAGTCGTTTACGTCCAGGTAGAATGCTTCTGGTTGATACACAACAGCAAACTCTAGTCAAAGACGAAGAAATTAAATTGAACATAGCCAATGCTCGACCTCTTTCGAACTGGCTTCAGGAAATGTTTACTTTGAAAGAGTTGCGAGAATCCGCGGCCAACGAATTTCAAGGAGCCGATGCAACCGTCAGGCGTCGAGCTGTTTTCTTGGATGGTTTGGCTCGAGGCGATTCTCTTGTTGGTCGAGCTCAAGTATTACAAGATCGACGTTTGGCTCTATTCGGTTATACAACTGAAACTATTAATTTCCTCGTTTTACCAATGGTTAAAACGCAAAAAGAAGCACTTGGTTCTATGGGCAATGATGCTCCATTAGCTTGTCTTTCATTGTGCCAGCCTTTGTTGTACGATTATTTCAAACAACTTTTCGCTCAAGTTACTAATCCACCTATTGATCCATTCCGTGAGAAAGTTGTCATGTCTTTGGCATGTCCGGTTGGACCAGAATCAAATCTCCTCGAGCCCAGTGCAGTTCAATGTCGACGGTTATGGCTTGAACAACCAATCTTATCCATCACAGAAATGGAGATAATTAAGAAAACATCTTACAAGGGTTGGCACTGTAAGACCATTGATTGTGTCTACCCCGTAATCGAGGGTAAAGCTGGTCTTTTAAAGGCAATAAACTCCATTTGCGATGAAGCTTGTCTTGCTGCTCGAAGCGGCTACGCAATTATTGTACTTTCCGATCGTAAAGCGAATCACGATCTTGTCCCTGTCAGTACTCTTCTGGGTTTGGGTGCTGTTCATCATCATCTGATTAATGAAAGACAGAGGATGAAGGTTGGTCTTTTCCTGGAAACAGGAGAAGCTCGTGAAGTTCATCATATGACTGTCCTTTTGGGCTATGGTGCTGATGCCATTTGTCCGTATCTTGTTTTTGAGACAATGGCAACACTTCGAGAGGAAAGATTGTTATCCCTTTCGGATTCCGAAATTTTCGATAACTATGTTGCTGCCATGGAACGAGGTATTGCCAAAGTCATGGCAAAAATGGGTATCTCAACGTTACAAAGTTACAAGGGAGCTCAAATTTTCGAGGCTCTTGGTGTCGCTGAAGAAGTGATTGATAAGTGTTTCAAAAATACACCCTCACGAATTGGTGGTGTTAATTTTGACATTCTTGCTGAAGAAGCTATCGAACGTCACAATATCGCTTTCTCTCCTTCATATACTGCAGACTCACTGATATTGAGAAATCCTGGTTTCTACCATTGGAGAAGTGGTGGAGAAAAACATCTCAACGATCCATTGGCCATCGCTAATCTTCAAGATGCTGCTCGTTCTAACTCACCACAAGCTTATAAAACTTTTGTCCAATGGACTCAAGAAGCAGTCCGAGGTTGTACACTTCGAGGTCAACTAGCTCTAGTCTATACTGATAAACCTGTTCCATTGGATGAAGTTGAACCAGCCGCCGAAATTGTCAAACGATTTTGTACTGGTGCAATGAGCTTTGGTTCAATTTCATTAGAGGCTCATCAGACTCTTGCAATTGCCATGAATCGTGTTGGTGGAAAGTCAAACACTGGTGAAGGTGGAGAAGATGCTGATCGATGGGTAATCAAAGATCTCAACAATAATCGTCGAAGTGCGATTAAACAAGTAGCTTCTGGTCGGTTTGGTGTTACTGCTGCTTATTTGGCCGCTGCTGATGAACTTCAAATTAAAATGGCTCAAGGAGCTAAACCAGGAGAAGGAGGTGAACTTCCTGGACACAAAGTATCCAAAGAAATTGCAGCAACTCGTCACTCAGTTCCAGGAGTCGGTCTAATCAGTCCACCTCCTCATCACGATATTTATTCTATTGAGGATTTAGCTGAACTTATCTATGATCTTAAATGCTCCAATCCGGATGCACGTATCTCAGTTAAACTTGTCTCGGAAATGGGAGTTGGAATTGTCGCCGCTGGTGTGGCAAAAGGAAAAGCTGAACATATAACAATCTCAGGTCATGACGGAGGAACCGGTGCTAGCTCATGGACTGGTATTAAAGGCGCTGGTCTTCCTTGGGAACTTGGAATCTCAGAAACTCATCAAGTTCTTGTTGCTAACGATTTACGATCTCGTGTCGTTTTACAAGCTGATGGACAAATAAGAACAGCTTTTGATGTTATTGTTGGTGGTCTGTTGGGAGCTGATGAATTTGGCTTCTCAACAGCCCCACTTATTGTCTTGGGTTGTACTATGATGCGAAAATGTCATCTTAATACTTGTCCTGTTGGTGTTGCCACTCAAGATCCCGTGTTGAGGAAAAAATTTGAAGGAAAACCTGAACATGTAGTCAATTATTTGTTCTTATTGGCTGAAGAAATTCGAGAAGAAATGGCTAAATTGGGTGTTCGAAAGTTTAATGATCTTGTTGGTCGAACTGAATTGTTACGCTTTAATCCCGATTCTAAAAATCCTAAAGCCCAATTGCTCGATTTCAAAACAATCCTTTGTAATGCTCTTGATCTGCGGGCGGGTACAAATATTAAGGGCGGTAGTTTGAAGCAAGATTTTGAGTTAGACAAACGTTTAGAAAATTATCTAATTGAAAATTGTAAATCCATTCTAGATGGAACCTCAATGGAACCTCGTAAATTTAATTTACCAATTGTTAATCAAGATCGGGCTTTTGGGTCTACATTGAGTTACCATATAGCAAGAAAATTTGGTGAGGAAGGCTTAGCTAAACCTGATCTGATCCATGTACAAATTAGTGGATCAGCAGGTCAAAGTTTCGGTGCTTTTCTAGCTCATGGAATTACCCTTGAACTCGAAGGGGATTCCAATGATTATGTTGGTAAAGGTTTATCTGGTGGTGAGATAATTGTACGGCCAAGCAAAAATTTACCCGAAAATTTTAAGTCCGAAGAAAATATTCTAGTCGGTAATGTTTGTCTTTATGGTGCCACTTCTGGTAAGGCCTTTTTCCGTGGTATAGCTGCTGAAAGATTTTGTGTTCGTAACTCGGGTGCCATTGCAGTGGTTGAAGGTGTTGGAGATCATGGATGTGAGTACATGACTGGTGGTCGAGCGATTATTTTAGGAGTTGTGGGTCGTAATTTCGCCGCTGGAATGTCCGGTGGTTTAGCTTATGTTTACGATGTTGATGGTAAATTCCAAGGTAAATGTAATATGGAAATGATTGACCTGTATAAACTGGAGAAAGACGAAGATATCGATTTCGTTGCGAAAATGTTGACCGAATTTGTCCAGAAAACGGAATCAGCTGTTGCTCAACGAATTCTATCCAATTGGGAAGTAGAGAGAAACAATTTTATCAAAGTTTTCCCTAAAGAATATCAACGAGCTTTGGAACAGTTGAAAAAAGAGGAAACGGAAAAGGTTAAGCAAGAGGAAGATAAAAAATCTCCTCCTCCTGCAACTAAGGTTGAAGATATCGAAGATTCTATCATCGATAACGGTAAATTGGACAAAGTAAGGTTAGTTAATGATCCACTCTAACAATTAACTTTTCAACGCGTAAATAACATCAATTTGATTAACTTCTACTATTATCCATTAGTAGTAAACTGATTACTGGATACATTCATTTTTATCCATTTTGACAGTAATTAAGAGATTGATACGTGAAATCAATTTCTCGATAATTGGATCAAGTTTTGATTATTTTTTTTTTTCTCTATCAGAGGTTTCATGAAATACAAAAGACTGAAAGGTTATTATCGAGAAACCAGTAAACGATCAAAGGATTGGAATGAAGTATTCGATTTTAATTACATCAAAGAAAATGTTCGAACTCAAGCAGCTCGGTAAGTATTTGATATTTTTATTCTTATGCTTTATTTTCATTAGTCGATTTTTCCATCATTCTCTTTCATTCATTATTATAAGTTGACATTTAATGAATAAAAGAAAACGAGAAAAAAAAATAATAAGACAGAAACAAATCGATGAAAGTTATATATAAACTGGAAAGTTTAATATTTGGTTTTGACAATCGACTGTGATGATAATAATAATAATGTATTAATATTAATAAGGTTGAGATGGAATATTATTAGACTTTTGTTATTTGTATTCTGTTGATTATTATCAGTTTTGATTACTGTTATTAATATAATGATTACTTTTCTACTCATTTAGATGCATGGAGTGTGGTGTACCTTTTTGTCAGTCGTCTCATGGTTGTCCTCTTGGTAATATTATACCAAAATGGAATGATCTTGTCTATCAGAATGATTGGCAAGAAGCAATTAATCAACTTCTTCAGACAAACAATTTCCCTGAATTTACTGGTCGAGTGTGTCCAGCTCCATGTGAAGGAGCCTGTGTTCTGGGTATCAATGCACCCGCCGTGGCAATTAAAAGTATTGAAGTGTCCATCATTGAGAAAGCATTTGAAATGGGCTGGATGAAACCGATGCCACCTCTTTCACGGACTGGTAAAAAATGTGCCATCATCGGTAGTGGACCAGCGGGTCTCTCTTGTGCTCACCAATTGAACAAAGCTGGACACTCGGTAACTGTTTATGAAAGAAATGATAGAGTGGGTGGACTTTTACAATATGGTATTCCAACGATGAAATTGAGTAAGAAAACTGTTCAAAGGCGAATTGAATTAATGACTGCCGAGGGAATCATGTTTAAGACCAATTGTGATGTTGGTAAGACAATCAGTGCTTCTGATCTTATTGATCAATATGATGCACTTTGTGTTGCCACTGGAGCTACTTGGCCTCGAGATTTAAATATTCCTGGACGAGAGTTGAACGGTATCCATTTCGCAATGACTTTCCTTGAGACTTGGCAGAAGCAACAAATGCCCGGTATACTTGCGACAAATAGCAACAATAACAATACCTACAGTGTTAATAATCCTTCACTACCCAAGCCGACAATCAGCGCTGAAGGTAAGAATGTAATTGTTGTTGGTGGTGGAGATACAGGGTGTGATTGTATTGGAACATCGGTTCGTATGGGAGCTAAAAGTGTCATCTCATTTGAGATTCTTCCCCAACCACCTGATTCTCGTGGTGGTGATAATCCATGGCCAACATGGCCTCGAATTTTCCGTGTTGAGTATGGCCATGAAGAGGTGCGACTTAGAACTGATAAAGATCCTCGATTATATCAAATCTCAAGTAAAGAATTTCTTGACGATGGTGCAGGAAATGTTAAAGGTATTCGAGCGGTTTCCATTGAATGGGTTAAAGATGATAAGGGTGCCTGGAAAATGGCCGAAGTTCCTGGATCAGAACAAATTTTCGAAGCTGATTTGGTTCTATTGGCAATGGGTTTCCTTGGTCCAGAATCTTATCTCATTGAACAAGCTAAACTCGAGAAAGATGGTCGATCAAATATTGTCACCAAACCGGAAGGATATCAAACCAAAGTTCTGGACAAAGTATTTGCTTGTGGTGACTGTCGTCGTGGACAATCATTAGTGGTTCATGCAATCAACGAGGGGCGACAAGCAGCAAGGGAAATGGATGCATATCTGAATGGTGGACATTCTGGACTTCCGGGTCCAGGAGGAATTGTACCATTCACTCCCTATGTAGCCAATATTCAAGTTTAACCGGAAACGGAACAAAAAGCGTGGCAACATCAACTCGTTAAAACACACACACACACAAATGATTCCAACAATTAATAACTGTATCTAATTATTGTAAATAATTTTGGCAGCCTACTCAAACTTTCTCATGTTTAACATTCTATATTTTAACTTATATTTCGTTGATGAAATGATGATTACAGACGAAAATGACTCTAGAGAGTTTGTCTTGTAACGAAATCGATTTTCATTTTCTTCCTCCATCCTCTCAATCTTCATCTTCCTCTTTTCCCTCCTCTCTCTCTCTCTCTCTCTCTACTCTTTTGTTTTTAAACAATCAATGAGCTCTTTAGCCAAAGTATATAAGGTTTATACTTTTGTTTTTGTAATCAGAGTTTTAGTGAAGCCATTTTCCATTATTCATTTATCTCTTGTTATAATAATGATGAAAAATCTTCTTCCCACTCATCCATCTCTCTCCCTTTTCGAATCTTCTCAATCCCCTGTAACCTTTGCAACGAGATGATGATTTGTCTTTCTTTTTCTAGATTCGAAAAAAACAGAAGTTAAGCCAAGAGAATTTACTTTATATGTAAAAGACTCACCAAAGAGGAAAAGAGAATCAAAGAAACACTAAAAACCAAATTATCTTTAATTTGGTGGTAACTAGTGACAATTAACGACAAAATCAAAAAAAAAATTAATCTTAATCATGATCAAGTTTGATGTTTAATCCTGTTTCCAAATTAATCGTTAATCAATCTCTTTGCTGAACATGATCGAAGCTCCTATTTGCCAATCCAATCGAGATGATGATGGCATCATTAACTTAATACAATTTACTTAATTCGTTTGCTACAATTGATTAAATGTCCAACGATGATGATGATTAATTCAACGATTTATCAACTTAGATGACGTTTTACCAAGAGAGAGAATCATTTTTGCAGTTAAATCCAAATCAACTATTATATTAATTACTTAAAACAAAATGTAAACAATCAACAACAAAAAAAATGATATGAAAAACCATAGATTTAATTTAATGTTTCAATAGAAGATGATGTTCAATGGTGATTAAGTTGTTCCTGATTATAATTATGATGATTAATTAATTGTATCAAAAGACTACGGAAACAAAGACAATCGACAACAAGTCCCAGTAATAATAGTTAATAGTAATAATTGAATTGAAAACTTTTGATAATCAATTAACTGATGATCATAATTAGTCAGGACAATTGAGAAAAACAAAACTTTCATTAACCATTTTAATCATCAGCAATTGATTGTGAATATTTTTGGGTGATTAACTAAAGAAAAACTTACAATTTATGTGATTATATACTCTTGTCTGATTGTAATGATTAAATGAACGTTTAAATTGAAATTAATTACAACCAAATGTATTACAACAATTAATATTTAAGATATTCAAGCAATAATTAACTAATTTTTCAGTCGAAAACTTTTCAATGTGGTTTTGCCTTAAAAACTTTCAACAGGTTAATCAACTAATCAACTTAATTAATCTTTCATTCTGTTTCTTAATTGTGTCTTGCAGTGACAACAATCAAAACTAAATCAAAGCTTACACGAAAAAGATTCCTTCCAATTAATTAATTGTTAACCAAATTTCTGAAAAAAAGTGATTTCTCTTACCTCTTTTTTTTTAATTGTCTTGATTTGCTTTTCTCTGTGTCTTAATTGTAAATGTTTAATTGTGTAATTAATTAATTTATTAACCTGTGTAATGATATTAACAACAATTAGCAGACTAATTGTAAAATTATTTGATTGTTGTTTGAACAAGAAAATGTTTCATTTGATTGATGAAATTTCAAAACAATCATTAACTAAATCAAGAGTAATTAATTTTAATTAATTCTAGTTAAATTTGATCAACACATAATGTATTTCTCATTATTAACATTATTATTGTATCCAAACTAAATTAGTTAATTACAATCATTGTGATCATCAAAATTAGATTGTAAATAATTTGTTTCTTTTTTTTCAGTTTTAATTGTGTTGTTTTTTTTAATCAAAATCCATAGAAATTAAAAATTGTAGTTATTAAAATTAACATTTATTTGTCCCAATTAATTAACAATTTACTGTTGATGGTGAAAAATTAACAGAACAATTATCAACAATTTAACAAATTCATCTGATTAAATTGATATACTTTTAATCACGAGTACAATTAAGATAATCACAATCAACTGGTCCAATTGGATTGACAATCAAAAATTAAATCTGTTTAATTGTGAATTTGGAAACAGATTAATCCGTTAATCATTTAATGCTCAAGAAAAGGGAAAAATTAATTTGATTATGACAAAGAAACCTTCAGCAATTAACAGTTGATAATAAGAAGATAGTAACAATTAACTGATTAAGTTTACAAAATGATTTAAAAAATGATAATAAAAGGATAATAAATTGACATTGACTCTTAATCATTGGCTGATTTTGTATTCAAAGCAATTAGTTAAACTAATTGAATATAATCAGTGTGAATATTGATGAGATCTGAATTGTTGGGATTTAATTGTGAAACAGTTTGATGATTGTTTATGATTCGGTCTCATGATTGGATTTGTTGGATTAAATATTAATAATAATTAAAATGGAAAAGTTAATTGTTACAAAAGTTGATCATTAGATTCACAATTTAACTTGACTCTCATCGTAACCACCTCCAAATCCAAATGAGAAGCGCAATTTGTTGGCGAGGTCAAAGAAAGTGGATTGACCTTTTCCGTTCGGCATAATTGGTTCACTGATCGGTGGTGTAAGTGAGGGCAGCGGTTCATCGTGATCGGAGGAGGAAGCGGAAGATTCAGTTTCCGCCAGGGAGTTTTTATTATTTTCCTCTTCAGTGGTTGAAAGTGATACTGCTGATCGATTGATAGTCAACTGTTTCTCCATGATTTTAATATTTCTCATGGCACAATGAACCCGGAAGTGAACCATTGTCTCCAACAGGTAACCTGTGTAATCTTTGCGAGACTTTTCAAGCCATCGGCGAGCGGTGGTCAGATCATTTAGACGAACATAAGTTAATCCAAGTTCCATAGATGCATGAGGTGGAAGATAAGTATCACGAACGATTCGTTTCTCACTGAAAACAGAACGAAAAGTTTCAATATTTCAAAAGTTTTCGAGGATAAAAGTTATTTCATCTTCTGAATACTCACTTATCGATTATTTCAAGGAAACATTGTTCAGCTTGATAAGGGAATCCCATGGCTTTTAAACACATTCCCTTCATCAGAATTAAATCCAGATAATCGTCTATTGGATTCTCCGGATTCTCTGTTAATTTTACCAATAGAAGAAAAAAAAAGGAAAATCAGTTAATCAATTTACTATGATAATTGTCAACCGATTACTTACCGATCTCTTTAGCAAGTGGAATCAATTGTTTCTCAATTATTTTCAGAAGAGGGTCAATTAAGGTTACATCTTTTTCCATGATGGCGAAAATATTCCAAATATATGAAAATTCTAGGGCAGGAGCGATAATCCTTTTCTCTCCATTGACGAATCGTTCACTCGTTGTTATGGCAAACTTTTCCGCTGGAATTGTTTTACCTGCATAACGAATTCGTAGCGAAGGAACTTTTTTGAACAGTTCAATTGCTTCCGATCTTAATTTCTCATCAGGCTCAGATTCGTGGCTCATGTAATAATATGAAGCCGTTTGGTACGTGTAAGTCGCTGGAGACCAAGCGCATTCTTTACGTAGGATATCAGCATATTCACCAGCCTTTTTCCAATTACAACGAATTCTGTTGAAACAATTAAACAGAAACAATTAGATGACCAATAATTTAGAAATTAAATTGATTTAACTCACGTGTAGCACCAAAGTAATTCCCAGTAGCAAATATTGTGAAGTTGTTTCCATTGGTTCTGAATAGCGATACATTTCTCGAAGTTAATTATCGCCTCGTTTATTTTACCTTCAAGTTGATTAATACGACCAGCGAATAGGATGAAGAAAGCGCTCTGTAAATGATTAGCGAAGACAATTAGTGTTGATCTTGTTTTTCTTTGAGAAATTCATCTTACATTGGGATATTTTTCCATGGCACTGGCTAGTATATTACTGACGATGGTCAGATCTTCATTACCAAGGCCAAAAAGATGCTCGATATAACAGAAATAGGCCATCATGATTAACTTGGCTAAAGGTGATCTTAGTCCATCGGTAATTGCCGTTGACGCTTCGAGTTCAGTGAAACCGATTGATCGATTGCCCGAGAAACCGACAAATTCAAGAAGTCGAAGTACTTTGTTGGGTAAATGAGAAATCATGAGATTGAATGTTCCCAATCCCATTCGAACACCGGACTCAAAGTGTCGCTTGACCTTTTCGCTTGACCAGGAAACTCGTTGGGTCAAAATTATGTTACATTCTTTGTATGATTGGAAACAAGAACGGATTCTCAACGCTCCTTTTACCAAACTGATTAAATTCTGATCTTGAAGGAAGGTCATTAAGGCGATCATCAATTGAGCCTCAGCGTAAACTAATTCAGCGTGAATCTCATCTGAAAATCAATCAATTGAAACAATTAAAAATCATTAATAATCAACCAAGATGATCACTTGTAATATTTACCTTCAGTGTAATTGTTATAATTTGGCCTCCAAACTACTCTGGTCACTGAGTTCATTTGATGTTTTTTGACCTGGTAAAGGTCAATCACATGTTTCAATGAATCCATTGTTTGTTTAATTTGAATCTGAAATAGTTAAATTGACCAACAATTAATTTATCGTCACAATTAAGTGATTGATCAATACTTACATGTTCAAGGGTTAGAACTCCCTTGAAAAAAGTTAATGTTGCCTTTCCCAGAGCATGATAAAGACTAACATCAGCCCTGAATGATTAAAATTAGATCAACAATTAACAATTAAACTCTTAATTGTGACCATTTTTTCATAGTCAATCAACTTACCATCTATCAGCAATCTGACCAGCTTCATCAAATTGATTGTTGAGAGCAAGATCCAATACTTTGGTTACTTCCTCCATTGACTTTTCCAAACTCGGTGGTCTAACAATTAACAACAATTAGTGATGAAAATCAATGAAAAATTGTTACAATTAAGCTAATTCTGAGTGAATAGATTTTCTAAATTATCTTAAATCAATAAAAATGATAATTTTTACTTCATTTTGCTATTTATTTGATTCCTTTAATGAGCCTGAACTAATCAACGATTAATTAATTACTACTTACTCTTTATCATTGGTTAATTGTTTGTCATTAACAGTGGATTCATTATCATCAGTTGCATCAAGAAAGATCTGTTTACAAAAAAAATTGATATTCAAATTAGTTTAATTCAGTTAAATTAGATATAAGAATTAGATTATTTGGTAACCAACAATTAAGAAATTTTGATTTAATAGTCAACTTTTATTAGGAAAAAGAATACAATTTGATTCAATTACGAGATAATTAGATAATCAAGTGGATAAGTTGTCTATTAATCAAGTGATTGAAATTAATTATTGAATTAATTGTTCATTTTAACAGTTAATTAATCAATTAGACAATTAATCTTCATTTTTTATGATTGAATAACAGTAAACAATTACAAGTCAGCTCATAAACTTAACAAGCAATTAGTGTAAAGTTAATTAACTATGAAACTTATAATAAACAAAAAAAACCATTAAATCAATTTACAATTAACTGATTGTTTGAAAATCAATTCAGTCAATAATGTTGATCAAAGTCAATAAACTCACTAGATTTATAAACGATGAATTTAAATCAACCAATAGATTAGTTAATAGTATTGAAAAAAGTTCTAATAACAATTAGTTAATCAAAAACCTCCAAGAAGATTAAAACTTTATTACTTTCCTTTCATTTGAACTGTATTAAATTGTCCTAATTACAATTTCAATCTCTAATCATGGTTAAGAGAATTAGCTAATTGTGAAAGATATCAGATTTATCCAATGATAATCAAGGTGAATTTAACTAATCTCTTAAATTACCAACAATTTATTTAGTTTGTCCTTCATTTCCTATTCAGAATTTAAGTTATTGTGATTGGAGATAATTAAAAGTTAAATTGAGTTGAATTATTATCCTAAGTAACAATCAATTAATTGAGAAAATTACTCATTGAAGATGTTATTTACTTTGATAAACAATTAATGAACAATCAATGCTAAATTAAACACCTCGATGGAGATTATTACAATGTATAAATAGAGGATAACAATTAACTACATTTGATTAAATTTCACTCGAAAGTCAAATGATTAAGTAATTAAGTTTCTCTTAAATGAATATTAATTACAGATTAGATTGAAAATGAAAAGTATCACAATTAGTAAATTGTGATTGGGGTGAGAGTTGAAATATTCAAATTGTTGTTGGCCTAATATTTAGCTGATTAGTTAATCATCTCAATAGTGAATTGATTATCCACAGTTAATCAACCTTAAATTGTGAAAGAAAAAATTATGCCAATAATAAGATGATTAGTTAATTGCTGATTAACAATTAAATACACAATCAAAATGCGCAGCAATCAAAATCATTTAACTAACAACTGACTTTAACAATTTAAATAAAGTTAATTAAAGTGAAAAAATTTATACAGATACTGAATCATTTAATCAAACAATTGAATCAGCTGATTGTAAACAATTAATTCAGGAAGAAAAAAACAATCAAACTATATATAATTAAACTAATTATGTAAATATTTTTGACAACAGGGAAACTAAATTGTTGACAAAATATCCAACAATTAACTGACATATTTAACAAATATTAAATACTATCATCAAAAGTAATCACCATCAATAATAATAACCAACTTTTCATGATTAATAATGATGATAATCAGTTGATTGTGACATCAATACAATGGTCAACAATTTAACTCATAAATGTCTTGAGAAATATTTGACAATTAACAATTTATCAACAATTTACTTCCGTGATCAATTGAGTAGATTAACAAAGTATTTTCATTGAAAAAAAAAGTTAGATGACAAAAATGATGATAAAGTGATTAAAGGTTAACCATTTAATTAGTTAATAGGATTGGAAGATATTAGAAAATTAGTATTTAATATTTAATCAATCATTCAATTAACCATAACAGTGATGAAATTTATATCAAACTCTCTCTCTCTCTCAACTTTGTCATCCTCATCTTCATCCTCAACAAATTATTATCATCAAGTTGAATGAACTCTCACTTATAATATAACTGTAATAAGATAAAGGTAACGGTAAAATTTAACTACTTTTCTTATAATTAATTCATCGTCCATCTTAATCATGACCTAATTAAAGTATAAGAAATTGAATTAAACAATAACAATCAGAGTATTGGATCGGACATAAAGTAATCAACAATTTATTCAACATCATCAATGATCAAATTAAGGACAAACCGAAAGGTAAACATATCAACTGATGAGAGTAAAATTAAATTTAAATATTTTCCAATTGCAATTGAATTACTTTTATTAATAAGATGATGAAGATGAAGATGAAAATGAATAAGATGAGGATGGAGATGGAGATGATGAGGTCAAGCTTAAAATAGTTACTTTTGTCAAAATAAAGAAACTGGTCAAAAGGTGTGTTGATGATTACTTAATTTTCTGGTCTCCTCTTTGACCTAGAACTGGTTAGATGCTATTCTTAATTCAGTTAGTTGATTAACTTTTTGTTTCTATTGCTCTTGTTTTCCCATAACAATCAGTCTCCCTTAAGGTATTACAATTAACGCCAACAATTAAGTCGATCATCATTAAGACACTATTAATAACCTTTTCTTGTATCAGTTTCATGGTCATCAATTAAAGCCTATCATGATATCGTAGTTTAAAATTTATATATTTGAAACACTCAGACCACAATTAGTTAAATATTAATTGTTAATCGATATGAAAAACTTTATTGGAAAAACTGATTTGCAATTGTCAAGAGACAAATTTAATAGAAACTGATTGACTTATTGATTACAAAATGAAGATCATTAAATATATTAATTAACTGTTGATTAATTTTAGGAAATTTGAAATTGATTCAGTGAAAATTAACTAACCTCATCTTCAACAGAATCAGATTGATCATCAATTGGATTTGTTTCCTTAATCTGATTCATTGAAGTTCCGTTGACTTGTTGGTGTCGAATTGTCATTTTTAACAATTTGCGTGTGTTGATTGTTGATGATTAAATTTGGCTAATAATCAACTGTTGATTCGTTCCTGTTGCTTATTGAGCTTTTACTCCTATCGTTGACCTCAATCCTTACGATTTGATGCTATTATTGTTGAAAGATGAACAGGAAATTAACCATGATGATGATGACAATAAAGAGATGATGATGATGATGATGATGATGATGATGATGTAGGTGGAAGAAAGAGAAAAAGAAAGATAAATTAGATGATAATATTAAAAGATAACCAATAATCAATAACTACGATAGAGATGGTGAATAACAGTTAAAGGTAGAGAAACAATCAATGAGAATCAAAAGACAATCAACAAAGTTAATAATAACAATGAATGAGTTTCCAATGATCGGAATCATTTAAATAACTGATATTCAGATGAGTTTGTAACAATTAAAATAAAAGAAACAATTAAAGATGATTATCAAAATTAAGTTGGAGAGGGAGAAAAAAAAACAAATCAATCAACATACGTTTAGTAATTAGCTGATTATTAACTACGTGATAATATTAACGTAGACAATTAATACGAATCAATTTAAAGGAATTGGAGAAACGATGATCAGATTTGATTGTTGACGAAATTAAATTTCAAACGAACGAAACATTTTCATGTTAACTGAATTGATGTTGAACACTAAATGATAACCGGCTTAACGAATCAAGTTAAACACAATCAACTGATTCAACTCAACATCAAACATTTTCATCTCTCTCTCCTCATCACATACTCACTTCCTCTCACTCTTTCTCTTATTTATCTTCTCTCTCTTTCTTTTTTGTATATTCATCCTTCTCATCATCTTCTTCATCATCACTAATCATCCTTGTTCCCTTTCGATATTCAATCAACTTCCCTCTGGCTCATTTTTCGTGGATTCGATTCCATTTGGTTCATTATCGAACTTCATTTGTATCATTTAATTGCTTCTCTTTCCTCATTGTCCAGTTTCGGTCATCGGGCCAGTGTTATAACGACAAAGATGATGAAGATGAAGATGATAATTAGGGAAATGGTGATGATAGAATTGAAAACTAGTTTAACTTCATTATTTTCTTCATTTTTTGCTTCCTTGATTCTTTATTTTGTTTTCAAATTGTTCTCGAAAATTTAATGTTACCATCAAGGTAATAATTAGGTTAAACTTCATCAGTTGATTGTTGATTATGATGAGAAATCCTAATGATGAACAATCAACAAGAAAATCAGTCAACAATTAGTAATCTTGTTTTCTCAGTTGATTTATATCATGTAATATACCTTTTTGTTATCATGGTTAATTGTTAATCAACACATGATCAATAGATCAACGGAAGACAATTAATTTTAATCAAAAGTATAATCACCTTTTCAACAGGAAGGAAGAGCTTAATTGTTGCATTTATTTACTAATCAAATTTTTTGGTGTTTTTTAATAATCAAATTGAAACTATTACAACTTTCATCAGTTGAGTTTACTGATTAGTCTGGTTTAATTTATTACAACAATTAACGTTGAAAGATGGGAAAACAGTGAGATTACAAGTTATTCATAACAATTAACTGATTATCATATCAACTTTAGTGATGTTCAAATTGGATTAATAGATTTCATGATAATCGCAGTTAATTAACCATGAATGTCATCAGTCGTTAATTAACGTAATTAACTCAATCTATTAATTTTGTCTGTTCGTAATCAGAATTATATTGTTACTATTTATCAGTTTTTCATTGAAATTGAATTGAAACCAATTTAAACAATTAACATTTGAAAAATTTATTTTAAATTGTTATTAGTTGATTGGTATAGAAAAGTTAATTGTTAATCATTTGTTAATATTATAAAAATGATTCGAGTCTCTATTGATTAATTTTTGAGTTCGTACTTTTATTGATTAAATTTCACTTTTTGATTATCACTATCAAGGTTTCACTTTCTCTTACAATTAACCATGAACATCAAATGATGATTAGCAATTAATATAAACAATTTAACCTGAAGTAACAGAAATCAAATTAACTCACAATCAACAGGTAATATAATTATTACATAATCTAAACTTGGTCTTGTTTTCATCTTGTTTCCTTAATTATATTGAAGGAAATGGTCATTGAAAGATTAATTAACTAAATCCAATGTCCTTTAATTGCAATCAAAAAATTGAATCTAAATCATCATGGTAATAAAAAAATTCAATTCCAATCATTTAAATCATCAAACCTCTCGAGACATATCATGCTGATTAATAATTACTTAATGACAATCAGTTGATTGTCGCTCGTCTCAGATAATTAAGATATTAACAGGGTAATAATCATCTAATTACAAGGTTATTTTTATAAACTTATCAGTTGATCATTTACTTTGGGACAATTATCATAATCAACTGATTGATTATCATCTTGATACTTTTTACTCCGAAAATGGTGTTTTATAGCCGATGGTCAATTCGTACTCATGGTCATCTACTTGTGTTGTAACCACCAAATCAATCGGTTAATCAACAGTAATCATGTTAATTATGACCAAAGCACAATGACAATTAGTCTGAAAATAGTATTACAATTAAAACCAAATTGGAAATGAGACCAAAATAGCCTCGAGCTATCAAATTATGATAATTGAAACAATCAGTTGATCAATTGTCCTTTTCTATTTTTCACTTCAATTAAAGCTTAATTATGATTCCTTGACGATTGAATTACTTAAATCATTGTAGGGAAAAGAAAGTTAATTGTGGTAAATTGTGTTAAATTGTTTCTATGGGTTTTATTTAAACCCTTTCGGTGTTACCTGTGGATTATTTTTCTCAAGGTAAACTAGAAATCTATCAATTAGATTGAACAGAAAGTAAATGTTGTTTGGTTAGTTGAATGATGAATTTCCTATCTAATCAATTCAATCATTTCCATGATTTTTGTGATCAAGTTAACCAAACGAAATTAAATTTAACGTTTACCTTTCAAGTTGTAAACTCGTTTACAGGTAACCTTCAGAATACCTTAATAACCTGGACTATTATTGGTTATAAATATCAACCAGAAAGTGATCAATTTACCTGGTAATCGATTCTGTTGCTCAACAGGTAATGAGATTATCTTCATCTTCATGTAAATTGCTGTTAACCAATAAAATGAAAAGTAAATATTACAAATAATCATCCTAATTGGATATTATTATCAGTATATTTTGGTAAAATCTAAAGCCATGACAACGATTGGAACCAAAGTGTTAATGTAAATGGGAACGAAAGCTCTTCGAACTTCAATACACTGACCAATGGTTATTGGGACATAAGGAACTCGACGAATCTCAGATTTTATCAGAATTTCTTCAACGGTAACTTTGTAATCAGAATTGTTCCGTTTACGAGCATAATTGAAATTGTAACTATTCCAATAGGACAAACTCGATTGATCAGCTATGAAAGTCGATAATCTGATATCATCACGAGTAATACGATCAATTAAATGAATGAGTGCTACAAGAACTACTGTTAGATTGAAAAGAAGAGTAAATTTATCGACTAAATAATACCAAGAGAGTAGATTGACAGAACTGAGAGTTTGGGAAACTCGAAGAAGACACAGAAAAGATTCAAGGAAATATCGACCAAACCAAATAGCGGGTAACATGTTAAAGGAAGATTCGAGTGTCCGTTTAATTGAAGATAATCGAATCCAGGCTATTCTTAATTGGTACAATTGATTGTCAACCGAAAGATGAGATGGTGAGGTTGATAGAAGATTAGAAATTGATTGAAAGGGGACAACAGGTTGAACTGTGAACGAAGATGATGAAAGATGAGAATAAAGTTTATCGTAAACAACATGGAGTCGGAAAAATGAGTATAAATAGAAGACAATGGAAGTGTACACAACCCCGTTAATAATGAACACCCGAAGGCCGATTGTGGTCACTATGAGAATAACCTTTGAGCTATAAGATAGATTCCAAAGTGATGCGTAAAAAAATTTGTACCAATCGTCGATGGAACCGGAAACCCACCAAGAATAAGTTTCCATTGTAAAAACGAAGCTCAAAAGGCCCAAGAGGAGATAACTGGTTCGTCTAATTTTCGCAACCCAATCGGTCGGGTAAGTGTAGGAGTTAATTGTTAGATGTAACGATATCCATGATTGTCGATAAATTCCAATTATGATTAACTGTAACAATCCGGTGAATGATCTTTCGAACTCGATATAAAGACTTGGGTTGGTTCGGTCGAAAGTGATCACAATGTACACGAAGAAGGCACAGTTTACACAGGCAATGGAATAGATGAAAGGTGAATACAGTTTAGAATAGTAATTGAATGGTAACTGATTCGAAACATGATTAACTGGTATTCCAACAATTAAGAAGAATATTGATAGAAAATAGTTATCGACGATAATCATGATTGAACAAAGAAATGAACTCACGACTAATTGGAAAACAATTGGAAACCCTTACCCGATTAGGGAACAATTAGAAATCAAAATATCAGAAAAAAAAGAAAAGTTAATTTGCTAATAATCAATAGAAGAAAATTTAATTTCTCATCAATTGAATTATCGATGAAAACTGTTATTAAAAATTCGTATATTGATTGATTGGGAAATTAACATTTCTTTTTGTTAATCATTTCGATTTAATTGATTGGAAACTTTTAAAAATTTAGATTTAGTTGATGATTAAATTTTCTTCCAATGAAATTGATAACTTAATGAACTTTATACCAAATTAATTGTTACTTTAATTGTCAATTTTTCATCGGACAGACAAAAAAAAATATTGAATTATTGATTTTAATTTAGTGTTGATAGATTTTTCTTTCTGATTTATTTTTAATCATGAAAATCTTATTGAAATCGCAACAACAATTGAATACAATGTTAAAGTAACGGTAATAATAATAATCTTTATCATAATTAACTGTACATATTAAACATTTGCTCTCAAGGTAAGTTGATTAACTATTGAAAGATATTAAGTGTTAACAAGTTGACCTTACAATTAATCAATTATTGTTAACTGATTGTTCAAAATTGGAAAGTTATGAGAAAAAAATTGACAATAACAATTGTAAGTGATTGGTTCGAGTGTCTCAAGTCTTATTGATTGTTGTTGTTGATCAACAATTAAGAAGAGTTGGTTGGTGATGATTGATTTGATTCTCGAATGAAACTAAGTGTAATTACTGTGAGGGGCAGAACAGCTGAGAAAAATGAAAGAATCAAATTACGATTAATATTGAACATATCGGCCAAAGTATAAGGGATAAAAGGCCTGGATCCTAATTCTTGGCTTAATTTAACATATTCCAATTTAATTTCCATCGAATCATCAAGTCGAGGTGCCAAATGATCACCAATGTAAAAGGTAATTGAAGTTTCATAATTAGTGATATAATCAACCAGAATTGTGATTCCAAAAAGTGATAGAGTGCGAATTAGGTAAATGATTAGTAAATTGTTGGTAAGGGTTGATGTTGATTCTGTGTTGGGTAATGAGGGATAGAAACAGTTGACCAAAATTAAACACGTGGTGAAAAATGCGTCGAAATACCAAACAATTGACCACCAGTTAATTGTCCGATCAAGAAAACGTTTAATTGCCTGATAACGGAAGCGGTCACTTCGGATCGTGGTAATATCATGAGTGGACGGGCGAGTGGACTTGTTCATTGTAAAGATCACTTTATCTTTAAATGAGAGACACAATTGATGAACTGAATAAACGGAAATTGTATATAAATAAGTTGAATAAAAGTGAAGTCCATTTGAGATCCAAATTGAATGAATCAATAGAAACAAACTCCCAAAATTGATTAGTTTATCAGCTAACGAAGACCAATTAAAGTTGATTAACAATTGGATAGTTTGATAATTTAAGAAAATAATGTAAACAATTAACAAACATAATCGGATTTTGGTTATTTTAATTTTTTGTGATGAGCTAAGGGAAGGGATCGTAGAAGTGACCAGTTGATTGTAACCGGTGATGGTCATTTTCATGGCAGCGACCAGTAAAATGTATGTTACCTCACGAAGAGTAATTAGTAAATTGCCTGATGTAACATTAACTGTTCCCAAGTAGTTGACATTTACGATATTAATTAATGAGATGAAAATGTTCACAAAAAAAGGAATCGATTTGTACCCTGATAATAAAGAGCCGCTCGATTCATCTGATACTCGAGCATCAGAATTTAGTCCATTCAAAAATAGAAACCATTTATCAATGAACGACAATTTAATTACAGAGACTAAGTTGAATTTCATTTTAAAGTCAAATAATTACTATTCACAATGAAAGAAAATTTGACATGCTGATGAAATTTTCAATTCTGAATGTTAAATTCACGCCGAATCTTATTATTATTATTATTGTTACAATTAAGGTGTCATAGTAACATGACAATATTATTGACTTAAAATCTATTACTAGTATTTATATTTTAAGGATCGAGAAGATAATTGATAAATATTTTTGTATATTGATTCCAAAAACGTGCATTATAAAAAGATAACGGTAAAATTTGAAGAAGAGGTTAATCATTCATCCTGAGCTTTACATAGTACTGATGGATGCGATGAGTCCGATGAACCTTGATTTTCGTGCTATTTGACCGTATGTGATGTGCATGCTAATTGTCGGTGAAAGTTTAAGATGCCAATCGATACCTGAAACAAAACCTGTTGCAAAATTCAAGGTCATTAATGTCATCGGCGAAGAAACGCGTTTAAAGGTCATTTGGAGGATATTTCATTATCTTACACATTCTCCTATCCTTGGCACTGAGTTTGTGAGCTCATTGTCATCAAAGATATATAAGATGGCAAAACGAAAAAGTTATTGAGAATTCCATTTTTTAAAATATATTTAATATTAATCGTATTTGAGTTCATTTTCCTTCAATCTTAAATAAAGGGTTTTGATTTAGCTTCAAACAACTACATTAGAAAATTAATTTAACGATTACCTTTTGTTTATCAGTTTCGTTTCGATTTTACTTGAGTAATAAATGTGTGAGGAGATCAACTTCTCTCCCCTGATTGTAACCACTTACAATCAACAATCATCACCTACAGTCAGTACAATACACTTACAATCAACAATAACAATTGGTTGTGATGATTGTTGATTGCTCAACATTGTGTTGTAATCATCATCATCACCCTGACCCAGCTGACCATTGGTCAAAGATAAGATGATGATGAAAAGACTCCCTCTTAATTTGTATATAAGAGAAAAAATGAAAATAAATTATGTTCACTTCGAGATCTTCTCTTGTTAAAATCTCTCTCTCTCTCTCTCTTTGATTTCCTAGCTTTCACTTTCAAAGCTGATCAAAGTTTTTCCTCTCCTCTCGCACTCTTTCTCTCTCTCTTTAAGGTACTCGAACCCCGATACCGTCACAAATGAACAAATGGATCCAATGGGAGAAAACTCAATTATAACGACCAACAAGATAATTAAAAGAAATTTAAATAGTTGCAACATACGTGTATTTATGCTTCTGTGAAAATGTTTCTTTCGTCTTCTTCCTCTAGCAATTTCTAAGGTTAATTGTCTTTTCTATTAATTGATGAGTTTGGAAAAAAAGTCTAAAGGAATGTCAGCTAGAGATCATTTAGGTCATTCTGTAAGGATAAGGTTACAAGGTCATTCTATGATTTAATTTAAAACAAAGAGATTCAAATATAATAATTAATAAATAATTAAGGAATAAATTAAAACCACGATCGATGTCAATTTGCACGATCGTTGCTTATTTCATTCGAAATGAAAAGATTGAAATCACGATACAATTTTACAAGTGATCAGATCAAGTTGTTATAAAGACGAGATTCAAAGGTTTAAATTTATTCCTTCAAACTTCGATCATTGGATAATTTTTGTTCTTCTTTTCAAAAAATCTTCAAATGACCTTTAAATGGGTTTATCGTGAAACGATCTCAATGACCTTGAAACTTTTTCCACAAATTCCTTCAGTTCTGAAATGTATCTGTACGTAGGTCTGGGGTTTTTAAGCCCACTAATTTTTCACTTATATCCGAAAATCTGCGTAAAATGAAGTTGAATAGCCTTGTATTTGCTTTCAGCTCACCAGCCGACGAATACTCTTTAGATTAAACGGTGAAGCTGAAAACAAGTCCGTGGGTCAGCGTTTACACTTTCAGCTACAAATCATCGGACGAAACCAAAAGAGTGACACCAAATGTTGATGGATAAGTGTGTTAAATAACAAACGTCTCCTCCCTCGACCATCTCACAAGTCGACATGTTGGTTTGTTTACTTGTTTGTTTTCGATTTAAGTTCTCAGATGGCGTTAGACTCACGAAGAGTTTGGATCAACCATCCAGGTGTTTTTACTTGAATCTTTCAGTTGAACTGAAATGAGTCCTTACTCTTTGTTGTAATAAATTCTCTCTCATTTTTACTGTCTGCTGGAGTCAATTATTACAATTAGAATTTTTTTTATTCTCTTTCATTTTTTTTCGTCAAAATGTCTCAAGACTGTGATTGTAAAACAAGTTACCAACAGTTCATAAAGAAACAGTTTCTCCGAATAGAAGACCTTGAAAATCAGATATCTCTCCTGCGAGTGGAAAGAGATTCACTTCTTCATGAAAATGAACGGATAATGTTCAATTTTCAAATGTTAAGTCTCAAGAATAAGAGCCACAAATCAAGGTAAGAATTTATTCTTTTTTTCCTTTTTGATCAAATCTCATAATTGTGATGTTTCTGTTGAAGTAGGCAACTTCCTGTTGATGTTACAACAGCAGCTTCATCCATACACCATGGATCAACAACTAATGGAGGAGAGAGGAAGCCAGAAACCTATGAATTGTCACAAGAGATTATGGATAAACGATTAGAGATAATTGTTCGTAAATATGGAAAAGGATCGTTCAAAGCAGCTTCGGTGATACAAAAAGCTTTCCGTAATTATCAGTTGAACAAAAGGTTTAAAAATCTTGCTTTGAATGCGCTACGAGTCAATAATCAAGAAAAGGATCTCCAGAAACAGCAACAATTGCGACAACAACAACAACAACAACAACAACAGCAACAGCATAGTTTAACTGTGACCGGTGGGGGTAGTGCGACAAGCCTTGGTGGTTTAATTGTAAATGATTTTGTTGATGGGGAATCTAGTCAATCATTTGAGCCTTTACATCAAAATCTTAAATCATCATTTAAACAAAGTGAATCAAAATTAACTCGAACCAGTTCATCATCTTCTGCTCCTAAAGGTACATTTAATCATCATCATCTAAATCAGCAACAAACCCATCAAGTCCATCAACAGCAACAACAACACCAAAACCAAAACCAAAACCAAAACCATCAGCAACAACAACATCAACATCAACAGCAACAGCAAAACCAACAACAACAACATCTTTATCATCATCACCCAAATTTTCATCCAAATGGTTTCTCCAATAGTTTCAATAATAATATAAGTAATAATCTTGTTAATTCTAATTCAATTATACCTCGTTCACCTACAATGCCTTCTCTTCAATCATCTCCAGTAGCTACAAGCGGAGGAGGAGGTGGTGCTGGAAGTACAGGTAATAGTGGTCGTGTGGTGGTCAAGAATAAAATCTCTGCCAATACTAATCACCTTTCACAAGGACATCAACAATTATCAAGTCAACACAATGCACACCCACAACCATCACAACCTCTACCCCAACAACATCAATATCAACAACAGCAACAACAAAATTCCGTTCATGTTCATCATGGTGGTTCAATGAAAACCTCAGTTTCAGCTACATCATTTCCCCACCGGACACCACATTATGATGTGATAAGAGCTCGTGAATATCGTGTAGGTTTAAATTTGTTTAATAAAAATCCACCAGAAAGAGGGATTCAATATCTATTTGACAAAGGTTTCATCGACGACATTGTTGATGAATCTAAATTGGTCCATTATTCCGGTAATCTGGACTGTGGACGAAAAGCCGTTCGAGTGGCTACATTTCTATTAACCAAAAAAGGATTATCCAAACAGATGATTGGAGAGTATCTTGGAGATTTACAATCTCCATTCAATCAATTAGTTTTAAAATTTTTCGTTCGAGAGATGGATTTTACTGGAATGTTATTAGATGTTGGGTTGAGAAAATTTCAAACTTTCTTCCGATTTCCAGGTAAATATATAAATTAACAAATCGTTTATCCTTTTACCATGACCATTAATTAATGTCCTTTTAATTAATACAATTTGCAACAGTAAATTTTCGTTTCTATTGGGTGTTTTGAGCGTTATGAATTATACAGGGCGATTACGTTAAATTAACAGATTTGTTTTCGGAATAACTTGAGAACGGCGAATCGTTGACAAGATCAGATTAGATATGGACTTGATAAATTTGTTTGACATCAAGTTCGAAACTGACCTTTCGGTAGGCCAAAGTCCATGAATCGCTAGGCCAAAATTATCTGGTAAAATTTTGCGAAATATTTTGCTCTTTTAAAGCCAGAAAAATGATTTCTGTTCTCAAGCGAAATTCTGACGGACTTTTGGCCTACCGAAAGGTCAGTTTCGAACTTGATGTCAAACAAATTGGTCTCCAAGTCCATATCTGCAATCTGATCTTGTCAACGATTCGCCGTTCTCAAGTTATTCCGAAAACAAATCTGTTAATTTAACGTAATCGCCCTGTACTTTGAACAACAAAAAAAACCAATTTGATTTATTACTTTAGGGATCATAACAAATTGTCATTAACAATTAACTCGTTTATTGATCATTTTACTATCCGCCAATTGAACGATTGAGTTACCTGTTAATCTGTCGTGTGATGTCAGTTCCGTTGTTGTTTTGTTTTGTTTATCATAACAATAATAATCATCTTCTTCATCCTCACAATCTGATCGTCCTCATCAGTCTCATCATCACAATGATCGTTATTATTTTGACTGTAATCATGTTGACAAGAGAGTTAACAGGAAAAAGAAGCCTTATATTTGAGAGAATACATGAAAATCTATATCTATTATATCTGATTTCCCGTTTCAACTTATTGTTGTATTTAAACTGTAAACAATCAAGAAAACAAAATGTTCACCATTCAGCTAATCAGTTTCATTATTCATCTACTACCTTTTCCTACCTTAAACACACTAACTCTCTCTCTCTCTCTCTCTCTCTCTCTCTCTCTCTCTCTCACACACACACATTTTCATCCTTCACTAAGTTAAGGTACTTATTCAAATATATTAACTAATATCCTCTTTTTGTCTTCTTCATCTTCTTCATCCACTTTCTATATTAATCTTATTCAGGTGAAGCTCAGAAAATCGAGAGATTGGTTGAAACATTTGCTGAACGTTACTGTGAATGTAATGAGGGTCTTGAACTAGATCGAGGTGGTGATTCGGAGGAAACACCTATAATTACCAATAAGGATGACGTATTTATCCTGTCATTTGCAATTATTATGCTTAATACTGATCTACATGTTCCCAATAATAAACGTAGAATGACAGTCGATCAATGGATTAAAAATCTTCGGGGTGTAGTCAAGTCCAATTTAACGGAAGACTTTCTAATAGGAATCTATGAGCGGATCAAACAAGCGGAAATGAAAACAGGTCATGATCATTGTTTACAAGTGCTCAAAGTTCAAGCTTCTTTGGTAGCCTCATCTCGAAATGTTACAGTTCCCAATTTAAGTGCAAATACTTATAGACGGTTAATATGTTTCTGTCGACTTCATGAGATTGTTGATCTAAATAAGAAAGAGCGTCAAGGTCAACACCAAAGAGAAGTTTTCCTTTTCAATGATCTACTTTTAGTCACCAAAGTGTACAAGAAGGGAGGAGGATCTGCTCCAAGAACAACCAATATCGCCGCTGCCGCCGCAGCATCAGTGGCCTCGAATCATCTTGGTAATGGTTCGGTCGCTTCACAATTGTACAGTTACCGTCGAAGTATCTTATTAACATCAGTGAATGTTTCCCTTTTCTCAACACACTATTATCCGTATGGAATCAAAATCTCTTCCAGAGTGGATAAAGATAAGACAATGATTCTTTTCAACGCTCGTAATGACACTGATCGGTTCAAATTTTTCGAAGATCTAAAAGAAAGTATCGCAGAAATGCACCAAATGGAAATGATTAGAATCCAATCAACTATGGGTAATTCCAATGGTTGTTCAGGGACAACATCTCCTTCTAGTGGTTCCGGTGGTTCAGCCAAACGATTAACAGTTAATTCTGTCGGTACTGTTTCCAGTTCCTCACTTTCCACCGCTGGAAATAGTAACACCTTGAAAGCAACTTGTTCAACTGGATCTTCGGGTTCATCATCTTCTTCCTCTTCATCGTCTTCATCTACTGTCACAACAAATACAACGACAATAAATTCATCTTCCACTGGTAATCTTCCGAGTCTTAATCATTCATCTTTAATGGATTTAACAACTTCTTCCAATTCATCGTCGCCATCATCTTCTTACTCTTCACCCAAATCAGGCCTCTCATCTTCTGGTAAACATCAAGGTATCAACAAAGTATCTGTGTCAACCTCTTCCTTAGACTCTGCTCTTCCAAACTCATCATCTTCATCCAAATCATCTCATCATCTTCCCCCATTACCTACTCAACCTTCATCTTCTCAGTCAACATCTTCATCATCACTTTCAGTCACACCAGTAACCACAACAAATGTTGGCAGTGTTGGCGTTGGGTCAAACCCAATGACCAGTTCACTTTTAACAACCCTAACAACGACACCTCAAAGTCTTGTATCAACAACCTCGTTATCCTCATCCTCATCTTCCTCATCATCTTCTAATCAACAGTTGACTTCAACCCAGCAACCACAACAACAACACCCAAACACGACAACAACAACAACTCATTATGTTTGAAAGAAAAAGAAATATATATTCACAAACTGAATCAATGAAAAAACGAAACAATAAGATTTTTATTTCTGTTTTAACTCTAATTTGATTTCTAATCATAGCTGATTACTGCATACTCACAATTTACACACATACAACATGATTCATCTTATTGTTTAAAATGATGATCAACAATTGACTCACTCACACACAGAGGAAGAGCAAAGGAAATCTATTTAAATGCCTTAATCAATTCTAAATCAACTCTCACACCAGAAAGAAAAGTTAATATATAAATAACTCCATGTACATGATGATTCATATTTAATTACAACCAAAAAAGAGATAAAAAGTGACAACAATTAATGACAATTAATACAAAGGAAACCTATTATATAGATAATATCGAAAGGATAATTTGTTGTTAACCAGCCTACACTCAACAACAACAAAAACAACAACAACAATTAAATCAACTCACCAAACTTGAAAAAAAGGATAAATGAGACAAACACCAAAGTTGAATTGATATAATATTATTATTTCCAATGAACCAACAAAATCCAGTCAATTATAATGATAAAATATTCGTCGCAATTGAAATTAACGCCCTGTTATTATCGCAACAGAAACAAAATTTACTACATTCGTCGTAATCAATTAAGTGAAGGTCGGTATTAGCATCAACTTATATTATATAAACTTTTCCAATTCTCTTCTTTCCACTTACCGGATGACTTAATTGTCGTTGGTAGACAGATGTCAGAATAATGGTCAGAGAGAGAGAGAGAGCGAACGAGCCAGCGAGTGAGCGAGAGAGAGAGAGAGAGATAATATGAAAAGGAAGAGAAAATAAGCAAGGGACAGCCTTCCAACAGCTTGCGAAAATATCATCTGCATCATTTTTCTCCATCCTCTTTTCTTTCTCTTCTTATTCTCTCAAGAAAATCTCTTGAAGAATAGAAAATCTAAGACTGTCAAACTGCAGGTTTTCTTCTTAAGAAGATGTCCCTCCCGTTTCCTCTTCCTTTTCATCTCTCCCTCTGTCTCTCTCTCTCTCTCTCTCTCTCTTTCTCCTGTTCGTCATTCTCAGTTTTCCTATTTCTCTTCTTTGTCTCTCATTATCATCTCTCAGGTAACTTTAAGTTTTAGAAATATTCTCATTCATGAAAATACATTTCAACTTGTGTCCATCTACCTGTGACCTGAAACACGTACTCGATTGAAAGAGAGTGTCTTTTTTAACTGGTTCTTTAAATAATCTGTAACACTCTCTCAATTGTGTTCAAGGGTAAAGTTTAAATTAGGTCAAAGTTTTATCATCATCAACGAAAAAAACTTCATCATTTCCATCTACATACAAATTAAAATGGTGATGAAGATCTGAAGTGAAAGAGATAAAGAAAGATGATTGAAGAATATTCTCTAAATTATTTCAACTGTAAACAAATTTTTTCTCTTGTGTTTCAATCCATGATTTTTTCTTCTTCTTTTTATTGAACTTCATTAGCTTATCAAGTTATCAAGTTATATTGTTTTTCTTTTTCATCTTCTCCATCATCATCTTCATCATTCATCATCAGCTCTTCTCATTTTCAACTGTTATTCTATTTTGTTCACTCTATTTGTGTGTGATAGTTTTTTTTTCTTCGAACTTTTTCTTTCTTTATCCTTGGCTGATTGACTCTTTTTCGAATTGTAGCTTTTTTTATATTCTATTTGATTTTCCCATTCTGATTGATTAATAGGATTTTTTATTTATCTGCAACATGATTCTATTCATTGTGTACAGTAGTAATCAAGTTTGCTCAATTAAATACAGTTCCATAGGGGACTGGAATAAATACCAACAACACCAACTAAACCATCATAATCACAATCATGAGACAAATAACACTAATAATAATCATCATGGTTCTGATCAATCTCATCATTTTAATCATCATTCAGCTCTGAGGAAGCAACTTCCTGTTGATGTTACAACAGCAGCTTCATCCATACACCATGGATCAACAACTAATGGAGGAGAGAGGAAGCCAGAAACCTATGAATTGTCACAAGAGATTATGGATAAACGATTAGAGATAATTGTTCGTAAATATGGAAAAGGATCGTTCAAAGCAGCTTCGGTGATACAAAAAGCTTTCCGTAATTATCAGTTGAACAAAAGGTTTAAAAATCTTGCTTTGAATGCGCTACGAGTCAATAATCAAGAAAAGGATCTCCAGAAACAGCAACAATTGCGACAACAACAACAACAACAACAACAACAACATAGTTTAACTGTGACCGGTGGGGGTAGTGCGACAAGCCTTGGTGGTTTAATTGTAAATGATTTTGTTGATGGGGAATCTAGTCAATCATTTGAGCCTTTACATCAAAATCTTAAATCATCATTTCAACAAAGTGAATCAAAATTAACTCGAACCAGTTCATCATCTTCTGCTCCTAAAGGTACATTTAATCATCATCATCTAAATCAGCAACAAACCCATCAAGTCCATCAACAACAGCAACAACAACACCAAAACCAAAACCATCAGCAACAACAACATCAACAGCAACAGCAAAACCAACAACAACAACATCTTTATCATCATCACCCAAATTTTCATCCAAATGGTTTCTCCAATAGTTTCAATAATAATATAAGTAATAATCTTGTTAATTCTAATTCAATTATACCTCGTTCACCTACAATGCCTTCTCTTCAATCATCTCCAGTAGCTACAAGCGGAGGAGGAGGTGGTGCTGGAAGTACAGGTAATAGTGGTCGTGTGGTGGTCAAGAATAAAATCTCTGCCAATACTAATCACCTTTCACAAGGACACCAACAATTATCAAGTCAACACAATGCACACCCACAACCATCACAACAGAAAAAACCACCTCAACCTCAACAACATTATCAACAACAGCAACAAAATCCCGTTCATGTTCATCATGTTGGTTCAATGAAAACCTCAGTTTCAGCTAAATTCTTTCCCCACCGGACACTACATTATGATGTGATTAGAGCTCGTGAATATCGTGTAGGTTTAAATTTGTTTAATAAAAATCCACCAGAAAGAGGGATTCAATATCTATTTGACAAAGGTTTCATCGACGACATTGTTGATGAATCTAAATTGGTCCATTATTCCGGTAATCTGGACTGTGGACGAAAAGCCGTTCGAGTGGCTACATTTCTATTAACCAAAAAAGGATTATCCAAACAGATGATTGGAGAGTATCTTGGAGATTTACAATCTCCATTCAATCAATTAGTTTTAAAGTTTTTCGTTCGAGAGATGGATTTTACTGGAATGTTATTAGATGTTGGGTTGAGAAAATTTCAAACTTTCTTCCGATTTCCAGGTAAATATACAAATTAACTAATCGTTTATCCCAGTTATCCTTTTACCATGACCATTAATTAATGTCCTTTTAATTAATACAATTTGCAACAGTAAAGTGTTTTGATTGTTTTTGTTTCTATTGGGTGTTTTGAGCTGTATGAATTATATTTTGAACAACAAAAAAAACCAATTTGATTTATTACTTTAGGGATCATAACAAATTGTCATTAACAATTAACTCGTTTATTGATCATTTTACTATCCGCCAATTGAACGATTGAGTTACCTGTTAATCTGTCGTGTGATGTCAGTTCCGTTGTTGTTTTGTTTTGTTTATCATAACAATAATCATCTTCTTCATCCTCACAATCTGATCGTCCTCATCAGTCTCATCATCACAATGATCGTTATTATTTTGACTGTAATCATGTTGACAAGAGAGTTAACAGGAAAAAGAAGCCTTATATTTGAAAGAATACATGAAAATCTATATCTGATTTCCCGTTTCAACTTATTGTTGTATTTAAACTGTAAACAATCAAGAAAACAAAATGTTCACCATTCAGCTAATCAGTTTCATTATTCATCTACTACCTTTTCCTACCTTAAACACACTAATCTTCCTCTCTCTCTCTCTCTCTCTCTCTCTCTCTCTCTCTCTCTCTCTCTCTCTCTCTCTCTCTCTCTCTCTCTCTCTCCCTAACTTTTTTCATCCTTCACTAAGTTAAGGTACTTATTCAAATATATTAACTAATATCCTCTTTTTGTCTTCTTCATCATCATCATCCACTTTCTATATTAATCTTATTCAGGTGAAGCTCAGAAAATCGAGAGATTGGTTGAAACATTTGCTGAACGTTACTGTGAATGTAATGAGGGTCTTGAACTAGATCGAGGTGGTGATTCGGAGGAAACACCTATAATTACCAATAAGGATGACGTATTTATCCTGTCATTTGCAATTATTATGCTTAATACTGATCTACATGTTCCCAATAATAAACGCCGAATGACAGTCGATCAATGGATTAAAAACCTTCGAGGTGTAGTCAAGTCCAATTTAACGGAAGACTTTCTAATAGGAATCTATGAGCGGATCAAACAAGCGGAAATGAAAACAGGTCATGATCATTGTTTACAAGTGCTTAAAGTTCAAGCTTCTTTGGTAGCCTCATCTCGAAATGTTACAGTTCCCAATTTAAGTGCAAATACTTATAGACGGTTAATATGTTTCTGTCGACTTCATGAGATTGTTGATCTAAATAAGAAAGAGCGTCAAGGTCAACACCAAAGAGAAGTTTTCCTTTTCAATGATCTACTTTTAGTCACCAAAGTGTACAAGAAGGGAGGAGGATCTGCTCCAAGAACAACCAATATCGCCGCTGCCGCCGCAGCATCAGTGGCCTCGAATCATCTTGGTAATGGTTCGGTCGCTTCACAATTGTACAGTTACCGTCGAAGTATCTTATTAACATCAGTGAATGTTTCCCTTTTCTCAACACACTATTATCCGTATGGAATCAAAATCTCTTCCAGAGTGGATAAAGATAAGACAATGATTCTTTTCAACGCTCGTAATGACACTGATCGGTTCAAATTTTTCGAAGATCTAAAAGAAAGTATCGCAGAAATGCACCAAATGGAAATGATTAGAATCCAATCAACTATGGGTAATTCCAATGGTTGTTCAGGGACAACATCTCCTTCTAGTGGTTCCGGTGGTTCAGCCAAACGATTAACAGTTAATTCTGTCGGTACTGTTTCCAGTTCCTCACTTTCCACCGCTGGAAATAGTAACACCTGAAAGCAACTTGTTCAACTGGATCTTCGGGTTCATCATCTTCTTCCTCTTCATCGTCTTCATCTACTGTCACAACAAATACAACGACAATAAATTCATCTTCCACTGGTAATCTTCCGAGTCTTAATCATTCATCTTTAATGGATTTAACAACTTCTTCCAATTCATCGTCGCCATCATCTTCTTACTCTTCACCCAAATCAGGCCTCTCATCTTCTGGTAAACATCAAGGTATCAACAAAGTATCTGTGTCAACCTCTTCCTTAGACTCTGCTCTTCCAAACTCATCATCTTCATCCAAATCATCTCATCATCTTCCCCCTCTGCACATCCATCTTGTTTAAAATGATGATCAACAATTGACTCACTCACACACAGAGGAAGAGCAAAGGAAATCTATTTAAATGCCTTAATCAATTCTAAATCAACTCTCACACCAGAAAGAAAAGTTAATATATAAATAACTCCATGTACATGATGATTCATATTTAATTACAACCAAAAAAGAGATAAAAAGTGACAACAATTAATGACAATTAATACAAAGGAAACCTATTATATAGATAATATCGAAAGGATAATTTGTTGTTAACCAGCCTACACTCAACAACAACAAAAACAACAACAACAATTAAATCAACTCACCAAACTTGAAAAAAAGGATAAATGAGACAAACACCAAAGTTGAATTGATATAATATTATTATTTCCAATGAACCAACAAAATCCAGTCAATTATAATGATAAAATATTCGTCGCAATTGAAATTAACGCCCTGTTATTATCGCAACAGAAACAAAGTTTACTACATGCGTCGTAATCAATTAAGTGAAGGTCGGTATTAGCATCAACTTACTGTCAACATTTCTCTCTCTCTCTCAAAAATCAACCCATTTTTCAGCTCAAATGTCAATTATGATGCTGATGATGTTAACCAAGTTACCAAAAAGCAACAAGTCAATCTCCTCCTCTGGTCAAGATTAAGCAAGATTAAGGATCAACATGATATATATCAAGACGAATTTATATTCAAGTTAAACCAGAATTGAGAGAGAAACATGAAAATAGAGGATATGATATCAATCTAATTTTCTCAAAATGGATAACATTTCCAAAGGAAATTGTTTAAATTATCATCAATGGAAATCAAAATCAATCTCCTTGTATGATAATCAGCTGATCGGAAAACCAATTGATCAAAACAAACATTTGTTCTCCTTCCTCTTTCTCCATCTCTTTTTCAACCTTAGTATTTTTTTATCAATTATCTTTTCCCTATTAGTAGTGGATTATAATCTATGTATGACAATTATCTTTTGATTTAATTGTGATACTTTTCTGCTCAACCCAAACAACTGAATTAATTATTTATCATTTGAATAATCTTGATGATTATTGTTAATGGTGATCACTCAAAAAAAGATATTCAATGATGCTCATCATGATGAATTTATATCATCATGATTACCCTGATTTTCATTATTTTACCTTATTTGTATTTCCCTTTCTTTATCTCTCTTTTCATCCTTTGTTCATCATCTCAATCATCATCATCATCAAATTAATTGCATTATCTGATTTTCTCTCTCTCTCTCTCTCTCTTCCTCATTCTTGCTCATCACCGAATATTGTTATTACCTTGACCTTGCCCTTTCTCTTTCTCTTTCTCTACTTTTGCCATCTTCCAATATTTTTTTCGTCATCATCATCATCTTCATCATCGCAACCAACCACAACTTCATCAACAACAACAACATCTTGTCATTTGTATAGCAACAAATAACCACAACATGAAACAAGGAGGAGAAAGAAACAAAATGTTTTTTTAATTGTTTCTCGAGAGAAACTTATTATTATTATTATTATTATTATATTATATCAATTAATTATTACAATTAGAGAAACAATTAATGCCATTATCAATGGTGTGTCAAAGAATCAACAAAATACTCTATATATTGTAAAGAAAGTATATAAATATAAAGAAATTGGTTTTAATACAAAACAACACAATTAATTGTCTCAGCCTCTTCTTTATTGACTAATCATTGATTTAATTATCATTCTAATCATCACACTAATCAATTAGTCATCATTGATTTACTCAAACTTTCGCTATCTAATCAACCTTGTGTGTTGATTCATTTTTTTTTCAATTGAAGGACAAATTCACTAATCAAATTGTCAACTAGTGATAACTAAATGATAATTTTTTAATTCAATTCTTTGGGTGTGTAACAATTACAATTGATTGTTGATAATTTGTTTTTTTATCATTTAATCCGTTCAATTTTTTTGCATGTCAATCACAATTTAAACAATTAACTTTTTGAACGTGTTGATTATGAATTTTTTTTCTGTGCTCTTATTGATTATAATCAATTTACTATTGAGTGATTAGTATTGATTAAGTAACAATTGACCTTAAATTGTGGAAATTGTTTAATGGGTTAAGGTTAATCTAATAATAATTCGAGTCATTGATCAACGTTGTTAGTTAATTGTTACGAGATGATTGAAAAAATTTCCAACATTTTCCAACCTTTAGTATTATTCAATCAGATTTATGGTTAAACAATAATTGAATTACAATTAAGATGATTATCGTTAATAACTATTTAACGTTTAATTAGGTTGATTGTTGAGTTTAAATTGTTTAACTGTTAAGTCAAGAAGTGATTAACAGTTAAGTGTTTAGATAATAACAATTAAATTTGAAAAAATCCAAGCCAATGAAAAGTAATGTTTACTTTTTTATTGTTTAATTTAATTACTTTGATAATTAAACCATAAATCATATTGAACAGGTAAATTTATTGGACAATTTATTCAATCAATGTGATAAACACAATCAGTTGATTGTTAAATTGTAATTCATTTGGTGAAAAAAGGGTGTATTAATTGTTACAATTAAAAAAAGGAAGAAACCAGAAACCTGATTATCAGGGTTTCTAAATTATATTACTAATCACAATTAGTGAATTATTTTATTTATCATCATATGATTGTTGTTAATTAACGAGGTCTTGTTATGATTTAATCAAGTTAATCAGTTAATCAGTTAATCACAATGACATTAAATGTTACAGTTGAAATATTATTCAATTGGATTGATTTTATTGTTGTTGTAGTTAAATTAGTTCCTGTAAATTGCTGATAATTAACTAATTGCGTTCGTTAATTTTATCGTGATTACGTGTGGATTAATTTTGATTACGTTTCAATTTAATTGTGAACCTCTGGTTTAGTTAATTTATGTCAATTCATTGAGTTTTCTTTAATTGTTGTTAGGTCAACAATTGATTTTTGAATTAATTTACTTGATTATAAATAGATAATTTGTTTTTGTTACTCGTTAATCACAATCAGATTGATTTAATCGCTAAATTAAGGTTATCAGCAATCAGGTGATTACTTTAATTTAGCAAATGATTAAAATTCAACTGATTGCCAATAGTTTTTAATTGTTTCAATTAATATCAGACCTTTTTTTTAATTCTTGATTAGTCTGATGTTAATTGTAGCCAAGATTCAAAGATGATCCAGAAACTGTTAACAATTAAGAGTTAACAATGTTTCAATTAGTTTCTATAACTAAATTAATCTTTTAAATCACTTTGGTAATTACCTGATTAAGTCAATACTTGATCAGAATAACAAACAATTTAAATTATTGAGAAAAATATGATTACAGTTAACAATCAATTAATTGAATAGTTTACCAATCAAAGAAACTGAATAATCAATGTCACGTTTGATTGTTGTTGATTTTATGCACAATTAAGATAATTGTTGAATAGTTAAATTGGACAGTATAATGATTAGTGATTAAATATATTTATGTTAAGGTGAATGAGTTTTGATGATGATGATTAAATTGCTGTTGATTGTTTTCCTTAGTTAAATGATTTGCAACTTCCTTTGAGATAATGATGGTGACAAACAATTTACTAATCACAATCAAGGTTAAGTTGGTTCCTTCTCATCATCATAACTTGTATAGTTAATCTTGAATAGTTAATTGTGATTAAAACCAGTTTCAAACTCTCCATTGTTATTTATCATCACAACGACAATTTAAATAACTTTTTTCCATCTTCTCTATGTTAATTGTTTACTCCTATGAAATCATTGAATCAAATCATTTCTCTCCCTCTCTCTCTGTATAACATTAAATTGTTAACAATTAGACGAGTAATTTAAGAAATATATATTTCTCTTTGTGTGTTAATCAACAACAACAACAACATTGGTATTAAATTGTTTATCCATCTAAGAAGATACAACAATTTAATGTCCATGGAAATGGAAACAATTATAATTGTAAACTTTTTCCTCTTCAGGTCTCTTTGTGTACATTTGAACCGTACGATTAATTGTCTTGGATTGGGCGTAATCTAAATTTATCCATGAGATGATGATTATTAGCTTGGAACCAAATTAATAAATGAATATACAATTAAGCGACGAACCAGGATTATGAGAGAGAGAGAGAGTATCAATTAATCTGAATGGATGAGGATGTAATCTCATCCTCTTTGGAGGTTGTTGTTAATCTTAGATTCTGAATTGGATTCGGAATGAAACTTTGGTTAAATTGGTTTGAATCTAATTCACTTGGTGAGTAAATTGTAACACCTACAGGATGATAATCATCTTTGCAAATTTTTAGCATCATTAAAGTTAATTAGTTGAGAGAGTCTGATGGTTATAATGATTTGATGGGAAAGAAAATTGTTCAACTATTAAAGAGAAAATAATGAGAAAATTAAATTTCAAGAGAAGTTGATTTGACATTTATGCCGATGGAAATGAAAGTGGCCTGAGAATTAGTTCTTAATTGCATTAAAGTTAATCATCATTATATATTTTTTTCATCTTCTCTGTGGGAGTAATGGTCCTTTTCCTTAATTCAGTTGATTGATATCAACATTGGATCGACAATGGTGATAAACCATAACTGGTTTAGATTTAATTCCTTGGACTGTGGGAATTAGATCCGAGTGAAGATTAGCTTCGGCATTGTCTTAGGTCTCCTTGCGATTCCATAGTGGGAATCTAGTGACACTTTGGTTCCTGATTCGGTGGATATTTGGAATTTTTGTAAAATGTTTGTCAGGTACAAAAAGAGTTCGACTTGTGCTAATCCTTCACCTGGACAGGCTCTTTTACCGCCGCTGAAGGGAACGAGATACTTTGGTGTGGTCACTTTGGATTCTCCGTTTGATTTTGTGAGGAAACGATCTGGATTAAACTCCTCGGGATTGTCCCAAAGTTTAGGATCGTAATGAACTGACCAGAAATTGAATATTACGATACAATCTTTGGGAATGTTGAACTGTCCGATTTTCGTGTCTTTTGCTGCTCTCCGTAAGAGATTGACAGGTAATACAGATGCATGTCGATGAGTTTCATTTAGAAAGGCCATTGTGAACGGCATTTGATTTCGATCGGTAAACATTGGCTTCCTTTCAGAACCAATGTTATTCATAATTTCTTCACGAATTTTATCCTGAAGCTCTGGATATTTAACCAGATAGACCATCGCCCATGTGAGAGTACTAATCACAGTCTCTGATCCAGCGCCGAAAAAATCAGCTGTATTTCTCAGGAGCACTTGAATGCTAAATACATCGTCGGCATTTTGTCCTTTTCTGTGACGATTCTTTCGTTCCAATAAATATCCATCTAAATAGTCGATAACTTCATTTTCGTCAAACTTTTGCTCATGTTTATCAATCTCAGTTTGGAAATAATTGTGAGAAGAGCGAATCGCTTTTGCGACAACATCGGCATTAAACTTGCCAAAAGCAATTAGGACATTTGATAACCAAGGAAGAAAAGCTGTAACTCCAGCAAACTGGAAATGCTTGACGACATCATTAAAATCACGGTCTAATTGTAGTTTAACGGGATCTTTATAATCAAATTTATGTCCAAAAAGTAAGATTGAAATATTATTGGAGACACTTGGCAAGATTTTCGCCTCAAAATCAACCGAATCTGAGTCCAAAGTGGTTAGAAATTGATCGATCTCATCGCTGATCTTTTCCTCCATGGAACTTTTTCCAAGACCAACATTTCTCAGAATAGACATTGCCGTTTGTCTATGATCTCGCCAAGAATCACCGGACATCTCAATCAAAGATCGTTCATTCATTATCCCAGGGAAAAAGGTCTCATGAGGGCGAGCGAGTAAATCTTCATTGGAAAAAGCTTCTTTCATATGATCCCAATCACTAATCACGATCACATGATGAATGCCCAATTTAAGACAGAAAACTGGTCCATATTGTTTAGCCAAAAAATCAAATTCCAGGTAAATATGATTACGGATAAACGGTAAATATCCAAGCACAGGTAACCCCCAAGGTCCAGGGGGTAATGAACGAATCTTAATGAACCAATTGATTAAATATCGAGCTAAATAAACGACAATCAAGGTGAAAATAACGAGAACACTTTTGGGATAACTTGAAGGGTCATCGTTAAAGTAAAACATTGAAACTAAATCAGATTTAATTGTTACAAGACTCAGGAACAGAACAGAAATTTGAACAGTTAAAAACACATAGAGAATGGCGAAACAGTTAAATGGCAAGTGATAGAAAGTGATTAACAGTTAATTGTTGATAAAATTAGTGAATGAGAAATGGAAAAATAAATTTACCCCTTTATTTATTTTCTCGTTTAAGTGTTGGCCTTGATTTGGACTTTAATTAACTATAATTATCTTTGTTAATTCATTTTCTCTTTGTATTAATACTTGAATAATCAATCATAATTCTAGTCAAAACAATTAAGTGTAATTCAGCAAATTAACAAATTAAATGAAGACTATACGATTTTTGATCATTTCTATTGGTACATCAATGTAATTGATTGTTTATTGATTAGATTTCAATTGATCACTTGAACTAAGATCTACTTTTTTTCATCGAATTGGTTAATCCTCTAGACTATCATTCAATTAATATTAAGTATAAGTGAACGTATCGAATCAAGTTAATCATTTTAATTCGCTTGATTCGATTGAAAATTTCCATAGATAATTAATTTCTCTTCGTTGCCTATCGTGATTCCAACTAATCAAGTTAATTATCTTTATAACAAGCCAATCAAAAATGATCGTTGAAAGTGTTTCCTTATTACTCTTCACATGGATGAGGGGATTTCGTCGTGTTGTCGATTTAAATTGTTCATTTTTAACTTTTAATTTACTTTTGATTTGAAGGAATTAAAATTAACCAACACCTACACGATTGTCCAACTGATGGGTCGCTAATTCATTAAGTAAGTATTACATGTTTATGATGGTAATTTGTAATTAGGGAATTGAGAAAACTAAGTGATCCATTTATTGGAATTACAATTTCATTGAGATAAAATGGTCTCAACAATTAAGACTTAATTGTGAGAGTTCATCTCTGTGGGTGTCAATTTAACCTTTAAGTTTCTTAACCTTTTCCAACTCTATGGTTGTAAAGTTATAAATACTCAGCAATTTACTAATTGCGTCTGATGAGCTATTTCATGTTGATCATTAACGAAATCAGATTAAAATTTATGAATGATTTTTATTAATATTTCGCCATGTTGGAGTAAATGATTTGCAAGTAATTATTAATGAATGTTATAGTTATTATATTGAATGAAATCGAAGCTTAAAAAAACATTTTCACGAAATATTAAAGGTTCGGTATTCGAATGCTGGAAGAGTTCGTGTATATGAGAGTTAAATTCTGGTGAATATAAGTTCTGGCATGAATTTTGGTCTTCGAGCGATTCCGTAAATTGCTTCAAAGGAAACTTCGACTTCTGGTTCGGTTGATATTTGGAATTTTTGTAAAATGTTAGTCAAGAACAAAATAGTTCGACTTGTGCTAATCCTTCACCTGGACAGGCTCTTTTACCACCACTGAAGGGAACAAGATACTTTGGTGTGGTCACTTTGGATTCTCCGTTTGATTTGGTGAGGAAACGATCTGGATTAAACTCCTCGGGATTGTCCCAAAGTTTAGGATCTCGGTGACATGTCCAGAAATTGAATATCACGATACAGTCTTTGGGAATGTTGAACTGTCCGATTTTCGTGTCTTTTGCTGCTCTTCGTAAGAGATTGACAGGTAATACAGATGCATGTCGATGTGTTTCATTTAGAAAGGCCATTGTGAACGGCATTTGATTTCGATCGGTAAACATTGGCTTCCTTTCAGAACCAATGTTATTCATAATTTCTTCACGAATTTTATCCTGAAGCTCTGGATATTTAACCAGATAGACCATCGCCCATAATAAAGTGCTAACAACAGTCTCTGATCCAGCACCGAAAAAGTCACCAGCATTTCGTAACAAAATCTCGATACTGTAAAGGTCGTCAGCGTTTTGTCCTTTTTTCTCTCGGTTCTTTCGTTCCAATAGATATCCGTCAATATAATCTTTTATATCATTCTCATTGAAGTTATTCTGGTGTTCACTTATTTCCGATTGGAATAAATTCTTTGTGAATAAAGTAAATTCGTTGACAAAAACATTATCGATTTTACCAAGGGCAATGAAAACATTTCGCATCCATGGAAGAAAAACAGTCAATCCAGCGAACGTTATGGTCCCGGCGAAATCGTTGAAAATTTTGTCCAATTTGATCTTTTTGGGGTCATTATGATCAAATTTATGTCCAAAAAGTAAGATCGAAATATTATTGGAAACACTTGGCATGATTTTCCTCTCGAAATCAACTTTACCAACAGAATCGATTGTGGTTAGAAATTGATCGATCTCATCGCTGATCTTTTCCTCCATTGAACTTTTTCCAAGGCCAACATTTCTCAGAATAGACATTGCCGTTTGTCTATGATCTCGCCAAGAATCACCGGACATTTCAATGAACGACGGTTGTTCCTTTTCATCGGCAAATAGCCTCTCATGAGGTCGGGCGGTTAAACTCTCATTGGAAAAAGCTTCTTTCAAATGATCCCAATCAGTGATCACAACAACATTATGTTTACCCAACTTGAGACTATAAACGGGTCCATATTTCTTGGCCAACGAATCAAATTCCAGGTAAAGATGTCGCCTGAGGAAAGGTAAATAGCCAACAATAGGTAAGCCACAAGGGCCAGGGGGCAATGAGCGAATCCGAACAATCAAATTGACCAAACAACGAACCAAATAAACAACGATCAAAATGAAAACAATGGAAAAACCTTTCGACTCGAATAAGTTGATCTCAAATGGAAACATGGTTAACACTTATTCTTTAATCTACTTTTCTACCTTTTTCACTGAACACAATTAAAATTAATTACCACTGAAATTCGTAAAACAAGTTAATCAAAACTCTTATTGGGTCGAGAACAAAATTAGATGAAGAAAATTTTTCCAACGACAAATAAATAACAAAGAAAAAAACATTAACCACAAGGAGGCGCTTTTCCAACGATTGAAGTGATTAATTAACTTTTAGAAATTTTGACGAAAGTTTTCACAATTGTTGCTTCTAATTCTGATTGTTTTCGATTGATTAAACTATTCTGAACGAAGGTTCAGCTTATCTACATTCAGGGGAAATTTCATTCGATTCTGATGAGAATGAGAGTGACAATTATCTCATGATTAACTCTTCCAATTAGAAATTAGTTTTGATACTTTCATCATTTTCATCTGTAAACAAATCAGTTTGTCGAGTTGATTGCTGATTTCCACCTTGTTGATAATCCGATTCCAAGAAATGAAAGATAATAGAGTCTCACCTAAGTGTAATATACTTGATCCTGTTCAAGGTTAATTTCTCAGAATTTTACAAATTATCACTCAGGAGGGATCATAGTATCAAATGAGTTGATTCGTTAATTGTAATCAAAATATTGAAACTTTGCTTGTGAGCAAATTTAACAATTTGTTGCAATAATCAATCGATGTGAGATAATAATTCATTTGAAACAATCAGTTGTTTGTACCAATTGATTGAAAGCATGTAAATATCAGTTAATTAGTCTCAATATTTTCTTAGGTTAATATCATTAATAGAAAAAAATTTAATTTGTTTTAATTAACTTTTTTATTCGAGTTGAAAATTAAATTTTCATTTTACGAAAAAATCAGTTTGTTATTTGGAGATGGTCCCTGGTTCCATTTGTATCAACCCAAAAGTTTATGGAGTTGATTTGAATTTGAATCAATTAAGTTTACTAATTATCTAAAGTATTACTTTGTCTAGATTGACAATTAATTATCAATTGTTCTCACCTTGTTCATTAGCTCTTTGGTTAGTTCTGATTTCATCTTTGTTTTTGACTGATAGTTTTCGACGTTTCTTTGATCAGTTCATCTTCTGGTTTTCTTATTGTTTTTCTAATCATTGAATTAGAATTTTCATCTATTTTTGATATTCTTTTGTTTAGATAAATTACCATGGACATAAGTCCATCTTCCAGTCCTCTTGGAATTGATTCTATCATCACTGATGATAGCAGGAAAAGAAGTAACCAAGAAAATTCTACCAACGGTCAAACGGATATATCCAAACGGGTTAAACGTGAAGAAGATGCCGCTCAGATAAACCCATGGAAGAAGATGATGATGATGATCAATTAGATTATGGTGATGACATTACCGAAGAGCTGCCGAATACTGTCTACCTTGAGCTTCTTAAGCCTGATGTTTCTTTGGAAAAATTTGGTATCCCGGTTACTATAGACAAATTCATTTCCTCTATAATCTATTTTGATCCAACTTTTCATGGAGCTAAAAATTTCCCTGAAGTTATGAACGTTAAATCTAAATTACGTAGTGTCACCGGAAAACTGACCTTCGAATCACTTGACATATACTGTCTTTACTATCTTCCAGTTGTCATGTATTCCTTTTGTAGGTTGATGTCCAAAGCACTTGACCAGAAGAAAGATATTCTCAAAGAAAATCCAACCAAATATTATGAAGATGTTTACATCTTGATGAAGGAAGAATTTCATTCGCAGATCGATTTTAAATTGGTTAAATTCCGCCCGAAACATGAATTCGAAGGTCCCCAGGCTGGTGATTTAGCTTTCATTCGCGCTAAATGTATTCGATATCCCGAAGATACCGACGGAACATTTGAAGAAAACTATCACTTTGGACTCTTTTTATCAAGCCAAACCCGTGTCGTTAAACCGGAAGTCTATGCAATCGAACACGCAATAGTCAACAATTACCCAGCGGAAGAACGAGGTGACCTTATCTGCGAAGAGAGTATTGTCCGTGTTCGTCATGTAAATTCACTCTTTCTAAGAAACGATTACCAATTAGCGATATTTAAACTAGTCAACTGTCTATTCCACATGCTCCAAGCTAAGGCTCTTTACTTGCTCGGTGCTAATCCTTGTCAAGAACATTTTCTAAATCCTGTTATGGTGATTAAAAATTCTGGAGTAACAATCGAAGAGAATTTGCAACTTCCACCAGAAGATTTGGACACCATTCAGAAAGCGATCGATCTTGTTGGTCAAAGTGACTCTTCATCCTCTTGTTTCCTCGCCATCGATTTCACGGATCCAAGTCGCTACAATAATCTACTCGAGCCGATCCTCAAACAAATGATCTTAAATGTACCTTTCTTCAGGAGTAAAGAAACCGAATCAACTCCAATTTTAATCATTTCCAAATGTCCAGATTCACTAAAACAATTGTACGAAAATTTGATTCGTGACGATTATTTTGGTGAGAACGGAGTCATTTTAGATCCAAGTCCAGCTGAATCAGCTCAAGTTGACGCTAAACTAATTTCGCTATTTCAAAATCATATGTCGACTCTAACTCACGATAAAGAAGCCAAACAGAAAGGAAGCGAAAGATACACCAAGTGTATCGAATATTTGGAAAAAAATCGCTCACTCGATGACCTTAAAGCTCAATGGGTTGTTGATATGCAAAGAACACGAAAAGAAGTCAAAAGAAGATTAATCAGAAAATGTAAAATTATTCTAACCAATTTAGATAATATTTGTAAAGATGATCAATATTTGATCAACTTTAATGCAAAGGCCTTCGGTCAACATCGTATTTTGTGCTGTGTCTTACTCGATGCTCATCAATTTACCGAAACGGAAACAGTTTGTCTAACCAATTTTGGAATAACCAAATTCATTCTCTTTGGAAATTCATCAATCGAATTGCCTGAGGAAGAACAATTAACACCAAAAGGATTAGACAGATCACTTTTACATCGATTACAGATGATTGACGCTCGTAATCAAGATAAATCGCCTTACACATCATACGTTAAACGTTGAACCAGTTCAATGAATCAACACAATCAGAAGCAAATTAATCAATCATCAAAACATTTTCCACTTAACTCATTCAATACCAAGATGATTAACATTTTGTAATTGTTGTTGCCTTAACACCAAAAGCTACAACCGATTATAAATTCAATTCTGATAATTTCTCTAATTATTTAATGAAACAAACAAATTGTTCCAAATCAAAGATCTCCTCCTAACTGAATCTCATTATTTTTATACAAAACAAAATTTAATCATCAAAATGTGTTCACTTAATTGTTGAAAAGAATCACCAAGAAATAAAGACAAACCTTTAGGTTAATCAACTAACACCAACTTATTTAATTCCCAATTGAATGCAATCAATATTAAGAAGATAATATGATTAATGAACAATTAACTTACCAAATTGTTCTAACTGATTGTAATTGCTTCGAATGTCATTTTCCTCAAGCAATTAAGAGAAACAGAAACTCGATCCAATTGTGACAAGCCCAAAAAACGAGGACAATTAACCAACTAGAAAAGAGATAAACAAACACCCACAACGATTACTCCTTTTATCCATAAGGATATTTAAATCTCCCAAAGAAACTGTAACTCGCTTTAATTACCAAAGGATTAAGATGATTAAAGTTAATTGGATAATACGAATTGAGCCCAAAGAAAATTAATAGAATAATTTAAAGACGAAATGATAATGAAAACAATGTTCATTTCGAAGCCATTGACTGACAAATAAGATTAATCTACATTTAGAAAATGAGATGAACCATTCCAATGATAATCGATATGATTGAGAAGAAGTGAAAACAAATGGACTGTTGAACATTTCGATGGTCAAGGTACTTTGAGTTCGCAAGTTTGTTGCTCGAAGTTTAATGTCGATTTTGTTTATTCGACCCAAGATTGGATTTCGGTTGTTTTCCTATGGAAAATATATGATGAGAAGAGGAGAAGAAGAGGAAGACGAAGATGATAAGTGAGAGAGTCTGAGGGAAGAATTTAAATGTTGCCAAAAATAAAAGAATCAAGGGGAGTTTCTATTCTAAATGAGATGTTACATCCATAGGAAAAAACGAATGTCTCTTTTTACTCTCTTTCTCTTTTCTCTCACCTCTTTGGTTTGAGTTTCGAGATTTTCTCTCATCTCATCATTTCATCCTCATCCTCATCCCATATGTGTAATGATGATGATGAGAAAAAGAGATCATGAAAGTCACTAGTTGATTTACTTACGATTATCGAGAGGAAGAAAAAAAACTCATTTTCTTTTCCATTCTGATCCATATTTTCATCGTGTTGGTTTTTCATTTGTTTCCCTTTTTCCTGGTTAATTAATTGTCTCTGTTGATTGTTCATTTTATCATCTTCATCTTGTTTACTTCATCACAATGACAATGGAATTACAAAAGTCACTTCAAGGCCCTGAGGGTCTTAATTTACCTTCCAGTGTTAATGGTAACCACAATACGACTGCAATAAGCACCATTGGTGTTCAATCAGGGAAAACGAGGATTATAATTGCTGTTCTTGTGGTAAGTTAATCATTTTCTTAGCTAATTAACTTCCTTACTCTCAGCGAAAATGTGACCAAATGGATTATTGAAGATTATCACAAATTAATCCACGATTTGGATTCCAAGTTAATCTGATCAACTTTTTCTGGTTTGGTTCACATTTGCGCTCAAATTAATGAAAAACCGTTGATTTCAACTCTTTCGCAGTTAAATTTGATTAATTTCAAATTCGATTTTCAATTTTCTCACCTAATTATCACCAACAATTAGCTAAACAATGTGATTAACCTAATCTATTTCTAATTCTTTGTTTTAATCTTTTTAATCCAGAGTAAAGATTGGATTGAATTGAAAATCTGTGACATGGAGCCCTCACTAATTGAAATCGGTCGATCATTAAATGAAGCAATTGATTATCAACAACAACACTTAACTACTCTGAAAAAGCTTGAGGTGAGAAACAATTAAGCTTAATTTGGATTAAGAAAATGGGCAATTTGTTGTGAAATTGTCAATTCTCCGAGTTTTCAAATTCTGTGTTTAGATTGACAATCCGATTAAGATGAAGGTTAATCTTAAATACGTTTGTTATTCTTAATTTGGTTCCAATTCAATTGTAATCAATGACTAATTCTATTTTAATTTAATTGTTTAGACCAAACAAACTCCAGTGGAAAAACTTTTGGGCTCAGCTGATGAGATCTTAGCAAATAAGGAAACCGATCCAATTGTTTTCTCGTCGATGGCCGAGAATCTGGCCTTGGCCTGGAAGAATTTAAATCATCAATTACAATCAAGATCGAAAACATTAAATCAATCAGTTTCCTTTTATCGACGATGTGACCAGTTTGATCAGTGGATCGAAAAAGCGGAAACCGAATTCTCTGTGGTCGAACTTCCGGAAACTCTGGAAGGAGTGAGGAAAATTTTGTCCGAAATCGAGACGATCAAAAGAAACCTTTTGGAATGTTCAATGTTCGCAATGAACGAACAGCAATTACTATTGGCCAATCTCGATGAATTAGCGGCTGTAAATCTATTCGATTCGAGGCCATTGTTCAAATCAACTGAAATCGCCAATGTGATCGCTTATGTGATCGATTATTTGGAAAAGTTACAAGAAAAACGCCGAAAATTAGTGACCTTGTTTATCCAACGAAAGAAATTGTTGGACTCACAATATCTACGATTACGATACATTGAACTTCTCAATGGGGTTTGTAGATTATATTCAACAATTTACTTAATCAATTACTTTTCCAACAATTTACGCAATGGAATTTAAATCATTACCATAAATTGTTATTCATTTGATAGTAATTCAGTTATTAAATTAACTGTATTTTGTTACCAAAAAAAACTCAATTTTCATCTCTCAGGACTCTAAGTAAACATAATTTAAAAATAGTTATTAGGTAAACAATTTAAATTGCAGAATATTAGTCAGAAAATTGTTGTAATTAACTTAATCCATTTTAATTTTTGACAGAAAATCTCAAAGTTATTTTCTTAATTCCAATGATTATCAAAAATTATTAGCAAAGAAAATGGTTCCGAGAAAGTTTTATTATGATAATAACAAGCAAATTTGCTGATACAATTTAAATTGTGACAAGTTAATTGAAGTTACTGATCATTGAGGAGAGTAAATTGTTTCAAGTGAACATTAATTAAGGTTAAATTGTTACGATTGTCACAACTTTACTACTTGGAACTAGAATCTAAATCTCAGAGATGGAAAATATTTCTTTCTCATCTTCACCCTGATTTCCTGAAACCTTAATCATGAGTTTAAATTGTTCATCATTTAGAATTGAATCTCTGTTTTTTATTGTTCATTAATTTTCGATCAGATTATCAATCGAATGGACCAGGAAAGGTCGATCCTCGAAGGTATTGCCCCAGGAAATTCTGCTCGTGAGGCGGGAATCGCTCGTTACAAAATGGATGAAATCGAAAGAAGTTTGAAGAACTTGGGAACTGAATCATTACGCCTGGCGAGTGGAATTGATTTACATTCTCAGGAGATGAACAGTAAAGTTAAAGATTTAGCATTTGCAGTTCTGGAAGAATATTCTAGTCTCATGTTTACCCTGGAAGAGATGAAATCTCTTCAAAGTTCCTTTGCCTCTTTTCTTGAAAGTGCTTCTTTAACCATCGCTAAATTGGATACAATGTTTGATTCCCTCGAACCATCGGTCTCGAATTCATCGTTTCGACCTCAATCACCGGTTCCCTTTGTTACAATGGATAATATTCAGGAGACAATTAAGGAAACAGTGACTCAAGGCTACTATTTATTGGATCTTGTAGGAACCAATCAAGCTTATATTCAACCGATTAATGCTAAACTTCATGAAATCCAGGAAAAGGTTAGAGCTTTGGAGGAAAAACTTGCTTCCATCCAGCCGATTAGTACCATGGAGATTGGAACGGAAACTGAAGATGACCTGGTTCAAAATGAAAAACAACAACAACAACAATTGTATCAAGAGTATCAACAACAATCGCAACAATCAAAGGAAACTATTGTTAGTGAAGCTTTGGTTAGAGTGATCAACTTGAAAGATGATTTAAGTCGATGGTTAAATCAACGAGTTTGTGATTTTATGAGAGGCCATCAAGACATGGGAAGCTCAATGGGAATAGTTAACGATTTTCTGGAAAAACACCAAAAACTTTCCATCGAAATGGAGACAAAGTCATTGGAATTGAAAGTTTTACTGTCAATTGTTAACCGAATGGAAATTGATGCTGAAAATATACCCGAAGATGTGACCAACTCTCTTGACGAACTCAAATCGAATTGGGAATTGTACTCATCATTATTAGAAACTCGAATCCTTTTATCAAAACGATATTCAACCTTTCATAAGATCGCATCAGATGTAAGTTATTACAATGAATTGAGGAAAAAAATAACCACCAATCAATTAATTTCCGTGTTCCAGGTAACTCGTAATTTAGATCAACTTGAAAATGACCTAATCAAATTGGACAAAGTTACCGATGAAAATATCCGACCGTTGACTGAGATTTGGGTTTCACTGAAACAAGAGATCATTAAATTGAAAAATCTCGAAGTAAATTTCACCCGAGAAGTTAAACAGGTAAGAAAAGTCAATCTAATTTAATTGTTCGATCAACTAATCATTCCAATGTAATCAGAGTAAAGATCCATTCTTGGACAAAGAACGAGGAATCCTTTGTACTCAATCGTGTTTAACTTATATCAACAATTTAACGATCAAAATTGAATCTCTAATGGAATCACGAAAGAATCAACTTAACGAGGAGAAAGTTAAATCAACTCGATCAGTCCAAGTTTCCGTTCAAACGGACGAGGTAAAAATCAAATGGAATCCAATCAAATCCACCAATCTAATCACTTTCTTAATCACTTACAATCAACAGATTCCTAAGCCGAAACCAGTGGAGGTAAAAAACGCCGAGACCATGGTGAATAATTCAGTTTCAAGAATCTCCAGCGAGGAAAAAATCACCCGAACAGTTTATCATGATATAACTAATATCAAAAGTCAACGGTTAATTGAGATTCCTGGTGAGTTGATTAAACCAAATTAACTAAATTGTTTCCTTATTATTTTTGGGTTGAAAAGTAATGGTAGTTATGATAATTGCTAAGCTTTCACTTGAATTGATTGAGAAAAGATTTCAGCTTGTAATCATCAACTGTGTTTATTTTATGCTAATTATTACTTTAGATTATCATGTTAATCAACTGATCAACTAATCAGTTAATCTTTAATCTATATCTTTCATGATTATCAAAGATAAACCAGAAACACTTCCTGATCGACCTCCAATGTTTATACAAAATTTGAATGATGTTACTTTGGATGAGAAATCGGTTCTATTTTTATCTTGTGCTGTTATTGGTCACCCTGTACCAAAGGTTACCTGGTATCGAGATGGTCAGCAAGTTTATTGTTCCCGAGGTCAAGAGGTTACCGAGGATATGGAGAGTAAAACTTATTCCTTGATAATTCAAGATGTAACTCGATCCCATGAAGGTGTTTACACGGTTCAAGCAATTAATCAATTGGGCAAAGCTTCAAGTTGCTGTAATGTTACAATTAAGACAAAATTAACTACTAAACATCCGCAATTTATTAAATATCTGGAAGATCGAGTAGTTAAAGTAGGAGATAATGTTACCTTAAATTGTCAGATTTCAGGTTAGTCTTTATTTTGATTGTTCTTGAAGGAAACAAGTATTGTTAATATTTATTCATTTTCGTTTCAACTTAAGGTCAACCTGAACCGCAGGTCACTTGGTATTTTAATCATCGTCGCATTGAGCCCAATGATTTAACTCGATTCAAGTTCATTCATGAAGGTGAAACTTATGGTCTGATTATCTCATCAATTACTGATGATCTTCAAGGTAATTATTGTATCGTCGCTGAAAATATCGCAGGTAAAGCAGTTTCCAGTGGGAATATAATTATAACCGATTTGAATAAATCATTGGGTTCACAATCATTGATTGGATTGGGATCATCATCATATTCTGGTGGTTTGGTCAATCAAAATTTACTCTCAATCAACAACAACATGACACGAGCAAGTTCAGAGGTACGAACAACATTCCGTGAAATGACCAGTTCTAGTCGGACAATTAAAACAACGACAAGTTCATCAACCGGATCAGCAGCATCATTTGTCCAACAACAACAGCAACAATTTTCCCAACCATCATCATCACTTTCAGGATCCTCAGTAATTGAACGAATCCCACCCTTTCAACCACAATCAACCCCACCACCACCACCACCACCACCTCCTCCTCCATCATCATCATCATTATCTTATCCTCATCTCCATCAACCTGGATTAGTATCACGAGAAAGTAAATCGATCACTCGAGAAGAGCATCATTACAGTAAAATCAACGACGAAGAGCCGGAAATATCTCATAGTTTTAATCAAGAAAATTTAGTGACCACCGATAAAGGAATCGAGTCTCATGAAGTGAAATCGATTACGGAGAAAAATATTAAATCACCTTCAGGTTTAAGGACAATGTCAACAATGAGATCTCCAAACGAGCCCATAAAAGCCCCACATATAATCCGTCATTTAACTAATCAACTTGTCAACCCTGGAGAAGAGGTTACCTTTGAAATTGAATTGACGGGGATCCCGTTACCTCAGGTTACCTGGTATCGCAAGGGGATACCTCTTAATCTGAGTGATGATAATTTCATCTTCACCAATCCGATGGAAGGAGTTTACCGATTAACATTTAAAGAAGCCTGGCCTGAAGATTCAGGATTAATCACAATTAAGGCAAACAATTCATTAGGAGCAATTGAATCAAATGCTAATCTATTGGTACAACAGTCAAGGAGGGAAAGTGTATCAAGTGGAAGTGCAGTTCGGTGTGTTAATGAAGGAGCCTCAGTGAGACAGAAAAAAGATGTAAGCAAATGAATGATTATAATCAATCATATGACCAATTTGACCTGGAAAATGTAAGATAATTAAACTAATTAATCTTGTTTCTCTTTTTTCCATCAAGTTTTTCACTCGAATCGCCATGGAACAAGCAGCTTCAACCTACGATTATAAGATGAGATGTATGAGTTTAGATCGTAAATTGTCAGTCGAAGGACCTGGTCGACTATTCCGATTAGGAGGCGGTGGTGGTGGGTCAGGGATTTATCCTTTCTCAGGTGATCTTAAAGGAGCCGATTCATTTGAATCGCTTCCTTGTGGATACAAATATTCAACCTCATCAGCGAAATCAGATATCAGTGAGGAGCCAAGTTATTATTCAGCTCAAGAGGATAATCTAAGCACAGAATTCAAACCAGTTTGGGTTCCGAAAGGTTTTTTCTCACCATTAACATCATCAACTCTACCGAGAGCATCCAAACAATGGCAACCAGTTCGAGCTCCAGGTCAGGGCAACAGAGAGGCTCCGTTTACAAAGGTAACAATCAGGGAAGATTAAGGTTTAAATCTAAAAGTTAATCGAATCATCAATCAATTTTCATCGATAAGATTCTTGATTATCGATAGTTTTTCCCTCTTGTCTTCGCAATTGCTGTTGTATTATTTTAAATATCCCCTTTTCTTTCATTATTATTGCTCCTTTTCCTAATTGTCCAGGCAATGTCCATACCCAGAGGTGATATTTGTCCATCCCTATTGTCAACTACCCTCTCGGTGGGTTCGTTATCCCAAACATCACTCCACTCCCTCCAATCGACCTCTTTTTTTGGTCAAGATATTTCAGATAATCCAAATTCTGAAGGTAATCCAGTTAGAGCTCCAATATTTATCACCGTAAGTAGAAAACAATTGATTTATAATCAAGTTAATTGTTTCATTTACTCTCATCTAACATTTTAGTGATTTTAATTGTTCTCCCTCTCTCTCTCTCTTTGTTATATTTAAAGGGGCTCAAAGATAAATCAATACCTGAAGGTGGTTACATCTCATTAGAATGTGAAGTTGATGGTTACCCACCGCCGACAATTAAATGGTATCACAATGATATTGAAGTTGCTTCGGCTTCTGGCTCACAAATTGATTCATTAACTGGGGGAATTTGTAGATTAATCATCGAGAAATCAACTAAACCCGCCGCTGGAAAATACGTTTGCCGAGCCTCCAATTTAGCTGGATCCATATCGACCTCTTGTACTCTTAAAATAATCAATCAACAATCAACACCGTCAACACCAATCAACTAAACAATGAAAATCAATCTCAATGATCTTAAATCTTATATCAAACTTAATCAACAATCAAACAAAATTATACAAATAAAAATTGAAACTCGTGTGAAACTTAATTGTCAACAATCAACACACAAACACAATTATCTAACTGCCATTTAATACTAAATAAATTGTAATCACCCAATCAAAAAAAAAGAAAACAAAGCAATTTAGACAAACACAGTTACAATTTGGTTACAATTAACAGTCGACAATTAGTTAAATTGAAAATTTGTTAATTTCTCAGCAACTCGCCTCGAGCGATCAACAATTTAACCGTTACACAAGAACGTTAATTGTTTAAATTAAATGGCCAATTTTGTTGTCTACTAAAGAGAGACAATTAAAAAAAACAACCAAATTAACAGAAAAGAGAGTAACAATTAGTAAATTAATATCTTCTTCTCGTATTCGAATACAATTAAATCTAATTGTATCATCAAAATCTATTAATAGGAAAGTAATAGAAGAAGCAAAAAAAACTGATTAACATGAAAGAAAAGAATAAAAAAATTAACCAATTAGACGAAAAAACCAAATGATCAAATTGTTGATTAAATTGATATTCCAATCGTAATCCAGTTAATCGTTAATTGACAGAAAGTACAATACAATTAACCGAGAAATGATTTACTCCAATCCGAAAGTGAATTAAACAAATTGGCTTTTTCTTTATAAACAGAATACAAACTGACCAATGGTCGAGAACGAAATCGAGAGTGATGACCAATAAACGAAATGAAAGAGAAAAAGGTGGAAAAGTTTAAAGGAGAGAATGAAAAACAATTAACTTAATTGTAATTGGAATGGAAAAGATAATCAAAAGTGAGAAAGAAAAACTTCTCATCAACAGATGACGTTGCCTGCGTTGGAAGACAAGCAAAGGAGAGGAAGAGAAACTGTAAACTCTCAGTAACATCAACAAGCAACTGCAGTTGTTTTGCTCTCTCTCTCTTTCTCTCTCATCTTTTACTCTGTTTTTGTTATTACTTTACTCTCATCATCATCAACAACAACAACATCATCATCATCTGCCTCTTGATCTTGATTACCATCAGCATAACAACAACAACAATCACAGAATCAACAAAAAAAAACTCTACTCTCTCTCTCTGTTGTAGAGTGAAAACCAACATCTAATTTTTTTTCTTCCTTGTTAATTTTATTCTCTTCTGTGTCTCTGTCTTTTTTTCTTTCTTTTCTCTCTCTCTCTCTATTTATTCTCTCAGTGTTTTATTTTTTCTCTCTCTTTGTGAGTTAATTTATCTTCTCATTCTGATATCAACTGATTTTCATTCATTTGTGACCCTGTTATTGATATAATGATGTCTTCACCAAGTCCAGGCAAAAGAAGAATGGACACTGATGTCCTTAAATTGTAATCATCTTTTTTTCCAATGTTAATTGTATCATTTGTTTTTTTTCTCTCTCTCTCTCTATCCTTTTTTCACCTTCTTCTTCACCTTCCTTTCTCTCTCTCTCTCTCTCCTCTCACCAGAAAAAAAACCACTATTGCTAATCAATTGTTTTGTGTATCGATGGATTAATTTATTCTATTCTCTTTTGTGTTTGTTCTATTCTATTCTCTTTTCTTTTTTTTTGTTCTATTCTTTTCTCGCAATAGAATTGAATCTAAACATGTAGTTACCATCCTTGGTGGATTAAATGAATTTTGTGTTAAATTCTACGGACCCAAAGGAAGTAAGTTTAAAAAAATTCTCTTCCTATTTAGCCAACAAACATTAACTACTCATCATCATCATCATCGTTGGAGTTTATTATGTTTTTTTTTGATGATCCAAAAGTTTACTAGGGATTAATGTTTCATCTTTCTCTCTCTCTCCCTCTCCCTCTCTCATTCTCTTTTCTCCTTCTTCCCTTTTCATAATCAGCTCCATATGAAGGAGGTGTTTGGAAAGTTCGTGTTGATTTACCGGAAAAGTATCCATTTAAATCACCATCCATTGGATTTATGAACAAAATATATCACCCTAACATCGATGAGGTCTCTGGTACCGTTTGTTTGGACGTAATTAACCAGGCCTGGACAGCTCTTTACGATCTCTCCAATATCTTTGAATCATTTTTACCACAATTACTTACCTATCCCAATCCAATTGATCCACTGAACGGAGATGCTGCAGCTTTATACCTCCATAAACCAGAGGAATACATTAGGAAAGTTGCAGGTAAATTATTTCCCCTTTTTTTTTGTTCATAATCAATAAAAACAACTTAGATCAATCTGAAAACATGATCATCACCATTAAATGATAATGTTACTAAATGTAGGTTAGATTCTGACATTGAAAGTATTCAATAGTTTCCTATAGGAAAACAAAAGTAAAACAGTTCAAGTCTTTTTTTAGTAAGAGTGTTTTTCATTTCCCCAATCGCAATCATCTGGTCTCTCTCTCTCTCTCTCCCTTTGTTTTCATAACAGTAGAGTTACTGTTACTTTCAGGTAGTAATCACTCTCTCAGGTTTGATTGGTCTTACCAACAATTAGAAACCAATTGATTCCTTACTCATGTATGTAAATATAAACAACAACAACAACAAAACTCACAATTACATCAATCTAAACATAGATGATGGCCTCATCAGTAAATTATGCGCGTTACTAAGGAATAATCAACCTAAATGTTGATGCGTAAACCTTGTTCATTGGTATCAGCTGATTTCACCTTCTTCTTGTTTCTCTTTCCTTTCCTTTCATCATCAGCTCCTCATCATCCTTGAAGATTGAAACTTGTTTACATTGTGAATTGTTGCCTTTTCTCTATGCTTTTCTTCAATATCTCTTCCTCTTTTCCTTTCTTTCTTTCTTTCTTTCTCTCTCTCTCTCGATCTCCTTTGTAAAAAAAAATGGTAGATACACTTGATAATTTGTTTCTTTCTCTCTCTCTCTTTCTCATCGTGATTATATTTTTTTAGAATTACAATTAAATTTTAATCGCATCCTCAACCAACACACTCTTACAATTATAATTATCAAATTGTTAACAGCAATAATTTGATTCTCGTTCCGATCAATAATATTATTGCTTTTCAAAGCAAACAATTTGTTTTCCTTTCATATTATTAGTTTTGTTACGAATCAGCTTGACAATCAAGTTAACAATTTGGTTTCATTATCAATCAATGGTTGAAAATTGCAAACTTAATCATATTTTTTTCTCATTTTCTCTCTGACAATTTATTGATTGCAATATGTATCATGTGTCTCCCTATGTGTGTTTAAAATGGATTATATTTAATCATCTCAGATTATGATGATAATTGTATTATAAATCTCTCTCTCTCTCTCTCTCTCTCTCTCAATCATTAGAATTAGTTTCAAACCAAAAGTTGACAAAAATGAAACATTTAATTCATACTAAAAATATATCAGAATTAAGGTAACAATCAATTGATAATCTTATTTTTACCCTGGACTTTTTTGGTCTCAGTTTATAAAAAATGGTTCCTTTTTTTGGTGAAAACAATTGTTACCTTTCATGGTTTAACGCTTTTGTAGCTCAATCCACTCTGAGTATCCAAAAACCCACCACCACCTTCACTAATCACCCTCCTCTTTACCTTCTTAGTTTGTTAAATCAACTTTTTTTTCTGCTTAATTGCAAACAAATTTAGACCTAAATCGTTTTCAAGATGATGATGATGCTTTGCCAAAGTAAATACATGATTAACATGATGTTTTATTGGCCACACGTTGACCTTAACACCAAAACAATCAACTAAATCAATTGAATTTCAGTTTGATTATAATGCAACAATAAGTCCTTTCAATATACAATCTACTTAATTTGGTTTGTTGATTAGGTAACATAATTTAATCGTAACTGATTTAGTTTGAGAAAAGGTGATTCTCTTATATTTATAAATTGAATAGAAACTGTGTCATCACCTCTTGATAATCTTCTCCTGTTAATCTAAATCTCTTTCACCTTAATTTTACAATCAATTCTTAATTTTTTTCACCATCATTATAATTCAATCTTAATTATAATTCATTTCAATGAAACCTTTTTTTTCCTTACTACATTAATCCATAGCTGAGTTAACTTGAATTGTTATTAATTGTAAATAATTACATTAATCTATTACTTTACACAATCGTTGAATTTGAACATTGGTCAACAATCAGTCAAATAATTTAACAATTTACCTTGATTATAATTGGATTCAAGTTAAATCATAATACTAAACTTGGGTGGACCAGTTTGACCTACTAACAGTTAACTCTCTATGTGTTTGTTATTATGATTTTTGATTGTTGTTACTGTTAAAAAGTTAGTTTAACTTATTACAATTAACAATAATGTAATTTAATTTCACTGTTTATAATTTAACTTAATCTGATTTAGTTACGAGTTACTTATCTTTAAGTAATTATCACTCTTTTACTATTTCTTAATTGTTTACCTTAATTGTCTTATTGTCTAATCTGTTGTTTAGTTAATTTTTTTTCTAATGATAATGATTATCACTATTAATTTAACAATCACTGTTAAAGTTCATCTCCATTCAGTCCAATCAACTGATTTTCTCTTTATCTTAATTAGCGAGTTAATTTTTCCATAAGTTAATTGGCTTGAGATTGTTACCATTTATCATTCAGTGATCATTATCCTAATCAAGACAATTAACTTTTGTCTATTGCTGTTGAGTGAAATAAACTAAATCCATTGTTTGATTTGATTTCTCTCTCTCTCTCTCTCTCTCTCTCTTGCTGTTAATTGTGATTAAAATGGTTTGATTTAAAATTGAAAACACGAGTTGATGATAGGTTAAAATCAACCTTATTGATTATGAAAATCGATCAATTTAATGACAATTAATTTAGATTTTTTTCTTTTATTTCAATTTTCCAATTTCTACAATTAATATATCAACACAATTTATAAATTATTGATTTTCCTCTCTTATAAATAATAATATTATCTCCTGAATAGAAGCTTTTTCATGTGGAAAAAAAATTCTGACAAAGATTATGATGGAACATGAAAAGTTAATCATGATTCTAGTTAGATGATTAGTCTTTTCTAGAGTAACAATTAACTCTCTCTCTCTCTCTCTCTCTTTCTCTCTTGCATTTCTCCCCGAATATTTAATTGTCACTTAATTGTTGAAGGTTTTTTTTAATTGTTATGATTTCATTTGATTTTATTCATTGATTTCATCACGTTATCATCTTTATAATCATTGTTACTTTTTTTATTAATTGTATGACGTTTTTTTCTTGATTCACTTACCTGTGATGGACAATTAAATTGTTGTTAATTGGCTGGTTAAGTCTTTTGGAAATGATTACTTTTTTATCCAACCAAGTTTCGCAATTAGTTAATTGTTTCAAGGGCAATGATCGAAGATGACAGATTGACTCAATTGTTAAATGACATTAAATGATTTCCAATTTGTAATGATTAATCAAAAATTGTTACGATGATTGTGATTGCATCAGAAAGTCTTGATTTTGATTTAATAAATCATTTAAATCTTATGATGATGATTAACTTTTGACATTAAATTTTGTCTGTCACATTGATCAACCTTTAACTGTTTGCAATTTAAAAAAAAAGGTCGTTAACAATAACAGTAATTTAGTTAATTGTTGATTGGTTGACAATGAATCAAAACTGTTAACCAAATACAATACTAACCAATCAATAGTCAATTACCTTCAGGAGATGATTGAAATGCAACAAATCTAAATTAACTTTTGATTGTTGTTAACAACAATCAAGAAGCAAATAATATACATAAAAAACAATCATATCATGTTAATCATATCATATTATCATAAATTTATGATGATTAACACACCGGAAGAGTCTAACCTATTTCTCGTCATTATCATTACCTGGATTTAATCAACAATCAACATTGAACTACCTTATTAATATCATTATCATAGTAATCAAATGGATAATAAAAATTGTATTAAACCGATTGCAATTTGTTGCACAATCAAATTAAATTATTACCAAAATTAACGTGAAATTTGTGTGTACTGGTAAACCTAAATAACAATTTATTGATTAGTTGATGAGTTGATTCATTTTTCGTATCAACATTCACATGAAAGTATTATGAGGTCACTGAGATGATGAAATAAACGGAAGTTTCAACAATTAATTATTATTAATTTTGATCACTTAAATAGTTAATCTCAATTACTCTAGTTAATATGGATCACAATTTTCATTATTCTAGTTAATTTGATTACTATTTTTCATTTTCATTTTTCATAATAACAATTCAACTCTATTTTCTCAATCAATTGATGATCATTTTTGATTATCAATGATAGTATTTGACAAAATTAATTTATAACCAGAATAGTAGAGAGACTTAATTACATTGGAATTCATTGATTAGGATGATTATTTATTTTTTCTCTTCGATAACTGATTGTGATTATTTTTCTCTCTATTCAATTGTTAAAATGATGAGCGACATTCAATCGATACTCTTGAAAAAAAGGAATAGAAAAATAATCAAGAATTAATTCAGTTTCTTTCACAAGGAAATCCTTTGATTCTTCATCACATCATCTTTTCCTCTTCTCTTGACGTAACCAATTCTATTCTGACCTGAATGTACTTCACCTTCCATAGAGAGAGAGATAGAGTAAAGAAAGGGAAAGAAGATGGATGATAAGAAGATCGAACTGAAGAAATGGGAAGCAAAAGGAACCACGAAAACTAGGTTACTGTCTCTGTTACATGAAAAGGCAAAAAAAGAGTCACAATTAACTGAGTTTGCCTATTCCATTGTTACTCAACATTCTGAACATTTTTCCTCTTCAAACTGATACTTTTCTTTGCATTCTATCATGATTTTCACCATAACCACCCAACAATATGATCAGAGAGGGAGATACATACTTTTTGCTTCATTTTTCTGATACTGTGTTACCTTCATGATTGTTTATTGAAAATCAGCTGATAATCGATTTTAAAAAGATGAAGGATTATTGATTACTTATCTCTCTCTCTCTCTCTCTCTCTCTCTCTCTCTCTCTCTCTCTCTCTTTACATGTACATCCGTACGATGCACTCGAGATCATGATTGAATTATTTATTCACTTGGAATTTCATGTTCCTTGGCATTTAAATTCAATCATTATCCTCATGATTAAGGTTTAATAGCCTTTGAAAAGTTTCTACTTTTAAATGATTATTTATTGTTGACAATTGATTGTTAATCATCTCAATTTTTGCCATGATCATCATGTATCCAATTCACTGGTAATCTTGTGATATTTTTTTTTGTCAACTTCTCCTATTATATCACAACGATAATTATAATTATCTGTAGTTTACTTGGAAACATAATGTTTCATGAATTTAATATCATCTCAATTATAAGATGATTACTTTAACTTCTCATCATCGTTTTCGTTTATCTTCATCTTTTTTTTTGCCCTTCCTTCATCTTGCTTCATCTTTTTCGTTTCAACTTCCTTTTCTCTTTCTCTTTAACTTACTCTCCTCTTCATCATCGTCATCCTCATCCTCATCATCTTAAGATGGGTCAGGATTTGTATGGGGAACCCTCATTTTCTTGCTGTTACTTTGATTTGTTTTCTCTCTCTTCGCTTGATTATCATTTTTCCACCCTCCGGGTATATTATATTGTGTGTATATATATAACATTATATTAATACACTTTAGTCCTTGATTATTTTAAGAGGTGTTGCAAAAAGGAGGCGGAGAGGGTGGGCCAAGAGTGTGCTTAAAGTTTCTCAAGAAGGTGTATTTAAGTTACAAGGAAAAGCGATGGATAGTTTTTAATGGGCTCTACGGAAACATGGGAGACTGAATTTCACTTTTCCATAGATACATGTACCTATTATCATCGTCATTATTGTGTTGATGATGATGAGATTATTACTATTATTAATATAACTTTGTTATACTTTCAAAGAATATGAAGACGAAGATGAGAAGAAGAAGAAAAGATGACTTTAGAAACTTTTTTCTTTTCGAAAATGTACTTTTTTCGTTCTCTTTTACTTGAACATCTCATTATCGTTCTTGTATACCTTGAATATAATTCATACTTTACTAATAATTTTTTTTTCTTTTCTCTTTTATATTTTTCTTTTGGTCATCTACTCACAAACAATCTCCTCTTGGATCTTGACCATTCATTTATCAACTTGATTATTATTGTTATTGTTGTTTTCTTTATTATCGCTAACAATTCAATTTTTTTTTGTTCTTAAACATCACAATGATTCACATTCAACATGATTTTTCAACAATTTTCATGATGATTTCCCTTTCATTTTAATTCTCTTGGGCCTACTCACACACTCATCACAATCAACTGATTGGCTTGTAATGCTTGTCATCGTATTACCAACCAACAATTTAACCTGATTTTTTTTACTCTCCCAAACAACAAAAATCAACTCATCTTAACCATCATCAACAATCAACATGCTCTGGAAAACCCTTTACAACTCAAACGGAACTATCCATCTCTTGGCTTGGTCTTTATACAATTTTCTGGGCCCCATCATCATCCTTCATTTTACCAAAAAAAAAACAATCTCTCTCCTTTTTCACTTACCTCTTTCTCTAATTCACTTCTTAATTGTTACTCTTAAATCCCCTTCTTATGATTTTCTTACCTTTTAATTATTGTTATTATGATTTATGTGTTTGTCTCTCCTTGATGATATTCTAGATTATGTTAAAAAATACGCAACCGAAGAAGCGTTGAAAGAACAACAAGACAAAGAATCATCGTCAGAGGAAAGTTCGATGAGCGATTTCTCTGATGACGAAACAAAAGATATGGAATTATAACTTGAAGCCTTTAGTTTTTTTCTTCTTTCATCATCTTTCATCTTCTTCTCTCTTTTCTTTATATATTATATCATCATCTCTACAAAATCAACATTTTATCAATTTTCTCTCTCTCTCTCTCTCGATTTACCTGAAAAAACAAACAAAACAAAACAAGAAAACAATTGAAAAAAAACAAAATCAAATCAACATAAACACAAACTTATATGATAACATTACATAAACAAAATGCATACATAAAAACACATTCACCTTAAACATACACACAAATACACATACACACCTAACACCAAATATTACATCTTTTACCATGATTACCATCATCAGAATCATTTTGAATTAATTATTGTATTAATTTTACCAACAAGAAGTTTTCATTTGATTATGATGATTAAAAGAAAAACATTAATGAGTGATTCTCAAGAGGAAAATGGTGCAAGAAGAAGAGGAAGAGATTAATCAAGATAATTAAGATTTTGAATTATATTCTTTTGGATTATCAGATGAAAAAATAGATTCGTGTGTTATTTTGATTGCAATCGAAATCAATTAATCAATGTAAACAAACAAAAAAGGGATAATATTAACCCTTTGATTGCTAAATAATCAAATTTGTTGTCGTGGCTACTCATTTATAATATTAACGCAACATTATCACAATTTAACTAATTGTAATTGTAATTGTAACGATTATAGATGTGTAACCAAAACTAATTGAAAGAAGGTACAAAAAAAATTTTCGTCAATTGATTAATTGATTTTGATTAGAAATGTTTGTAGATCTTATTGATTAACACTTTTTGGAGGCAAGAGTTTCAGGTTTTCCCACTAATTTGATTGTTTAAATTTTGATCATTTGAATTATTTCATTTGTTTTCTCCTTTAATTGTCTTGATTAGATTAATTGAATTGTATTCTTTTGGTTTGTTTGTCCATCAGGAAGATCCACTTTTTCCGTTTCCTTTTTCTTGCTCCTTTTTGTAAACACCAAAGGCTAACGATTATTATTATATTATTACTATTAACCAGATAATTGTCATAATTAAAAGATAAATGAAATCATTGTTAATTATATTGTTGCCACAATAAGAGAAACAAAACAATCCATTGATAATTTTAATTTTTTTTTCTTCTTCTCGAAATTTAAGTTGGAAAACTTTTTTTTCGTTCTTTGCTTTTCCACCCAACGAATTTTGTTGGGACCATGATGGAGATTTTTTTAATTATAATTAACCATTAACGAAGTAAAATCAAATTAATTGATTCTTTTTTTCTGTCCATAACAATTGTAATCACTTTTCCCTTTGTATTAATTTGTTTTCTCCGATTATGATTAATTACATTGAATTGAGTTTTTCTTTTTTCGATAAAAATTGTTAAATACTAAACATGACACGAAAAACTTAACAGTTAACTTAATTGTAACTTGATTTTTTTCCGCCAATCGGTGTGGATCATGTTGTTGTTGCCTAATTAATATATAAGGAATATGTTGATAGAGAGACGATGATGATGATGATCGTGATCATGTTGGTGACTCTTTGTTGACTTGGTGATGGTGAGGAGCAAAATTATGAAGATGACGCTGAATAATTATCATCAATTTCCGGTAATTTGTGTGTTGCTATGATGATAAGATAACCGACAAGAATCAGGTCTTCAAACTTTCATGATCTTAATTAAATTTACTTTTCACTGATTTCCTGTTGCCTTGTGTGTCACATTTGATTAATATCATTATCATGATTATCTCCACTTTCATCATTTTCCATTCAGTTGTAACCTTTTACTTCAATTTGTTGTTTTATTGAAAATCTTTTTAAAGGTTTCCCTTTATTTTTACTTCTCTCCTTTTCCTTTCTTTTTCAGGTGATTTCCATTTAATTGAGGGAGAAAATTTCGATTGTCTTTGTGATCCATCAATTGATTGGCATGGTTATTGGTACTAATTGTTTGATTTTCTAATGTCTTTTGATTGTTTACTGTTGAGGTGATTCCGGTTGTTGTTGGGGTTGTTGGGGTTGATCTTGTTGTGGATTGTTGGATGTGCGAGGATGAGAAAGGACGGAATCGATTAGTCCAAATTCAATGGCTTCTTCAGGGGACATGAATTTATCCCTTTCGAGCATCTCCTGAATCTCTTCAATCGGTTTTCCTGTATGTCTTGAGTATAAACCATTAAGCATTTTCTTAATTTTATTCATTTCTTCAGCTAATATAATCATATCAGTTGTTTGGCCTCGAGCTGATCCATGAGGCTGGTGAACCATTATTCTTGAATGAGGAAGAGAATGTCTCATCCCAGGAGTTCCACTAGTTAAAAGTAAACTGGCCATCGAACAACATTGACCTAAAGTAATTACATCATAAGGATAGAATGAAAAATAAATATTAATTAGTATATAAACAATAAACATCAATGGGAAAGTTTATCTTACTTACCAACACACCAAGTTGCAATTGGAGGTAAAATGTATTGCATAGTATCATAAATGGCCATTCCAGCCGGAACTTCACCTCCTGGACTATTAATATACATATGGATTGGTTTTTTACTGCTCTCTGATTGTAAGAATAACAATTGAGCCACAGTTAATGAAGCTGTATCATCATTTATCGCTCCCATGAGACAAATGATCCTTTCCTTTAATAGTCTAGAATAAATGTCATAACTTCTCTCACCAGTTCCAGTTTGCTCAACAACAATCGGCACCAAATGTAAACCACGAACACTTTTAATCACAGTAGATGATTTAGTAGAAACAAGAAGATGATTTGATTGTATCGAATCAACTGAGCAATCAACCGATGAGCTAAATAAACTTCGATACGAATAATTCACCAAACGATTTAATCTCGATCGATACATAGTCTATTTAACAAAAAGAATACAATCAACCAAATAAAGAGACAAAACAAAAACAGAAAACAATAATTCAATTAGTGACAAAGTTAATTAAAAGATTCAATTGAAAGTTAATGAAAATTTTTTATTTTCAATCGTTAATCGGTCACGTGGTCAATCAGCTGTTCCAGTGAAGGTTAGTTTGTTTTCTAATCACAAGGTGGCAGCAAAGAAGAGAAAAATAATTGATTCGATTTTGGAAAATTTATTTTGACAATTAACTAATTACCTGTTTAAAAATAGTAACTTTTCAAATTAAATTGATACAATTGTGAATTTGTAAGACCTCCTGGATCATCAATTAAAAGGTAAGCCATCGATGAGTGTAAAGATTTTAGAGATAAAGTTTTTTTTTTATTGGAATAAAGCAAAAATGTTTTATCCCTTTAGAGATTTAATTTTGACACAAAAATTTTAATGCATTTTTATTATTTTATTAATTTATCCTTTTCCTTTAATTGTCCAAATTTAGGCTGGTCATTTTTAATGATTTAATTGCTGTTCTCTTCAAGTTGACTGATGGTTACCGATATTTTTGCTAAATATCAATGAAATTGGAACCACAAATAAGTAAACAACAAAGTGAAAGTATAAAAGGAAAACGTTTATAGATTTGAGTGGGAATTGTTTTTATCTGGGAAATCAAATTTTCCCAATCTAATTGATTGTCAAATCATTGGTGGATCAACAATATAAAAGTGTAACTCTTGGTGTAAATTGTCGTGGGTTTTATCTTGGACTCTCCATGACCATGGGATGGACCATTTTTGTTACCAGGTTATGGTCAATGATTTGCCGAGAAAAAAAAACAATAACAAAATCATTTCATTTTTTTGGGTCAAGACAACAATCTAATTTGATTTTAATCAATCGGATCAACGGTTGACTGTAACCAACGAATACAATATGGCTTCCGGTTACATCTTTCTGCTCTTTCTATACAAACTCTATATGGAAACTACGAGAAATTAATATTGAAAATCATTCCTGTTCTGATGTGATATTACCTGAGGTTTCAAATGTGGACAAATGATTCCTTTGGATTAACTCAAGGATGAATCAATTAACCGGTCATGCTAAAGCCCATGTTAATCAAACAAGACTCTCAATCATCAATATAACACCATCATTAATCTGATACAAACTAAAGACTGGTTTTTTTTATTAATGATGATGATAAGCTAACTCATAATGAAATTACTGATTCGAATTGGAAGATTCAAGAATCCAGAAACGAAGAAAATTATTCTGGACAATCAGACGACCTGTTAACTTTTCTCTCTCTCTTAAAGTGATTGATCTATCTAATTAAGAGTCAGTTTCAGTTTTATTTGCTAATTCTTGAAACTGTAACTATGTCTTACCTGTTGGAAAGTTACTCGAAATTAAGAAGAAGAGTGAAAAGTGATTAAAAATTATTCCAAGGCTTCCAAAGCCTGAATTAATTTATCACAATTGGGATCAACAACATCTCTCCAAATGTTACAATTAAATGGCATCCATACACTAAATACACATTCAAAGTACATTAATAATCTATCAACCATCAATCCAGCCGAAAAAAAGATGCTAGAAATTAATGGGAAAGATAATCGAAAACCAATCGAAAGTAATCAATCAATGGATCAGCTACTAATTACCAAGGGAATAATCAGTAAAACTTAATCGATTACTTGTTTTCGGGCTGATTGTTGCCGTGAATTGTTGATTAAACCATAAAGTTTACTAATTGGGGAATAGACGATTGACATTGAAAAGGAAATCCTGAAAATCGAGAGAGAGAGAGAGAGCCTGAACAAAATCACCAAGGCTAATTTTACATAATTGGTTAATCGATGATTAGAAATGGTTCTTTATTTGAATTGTCTTTATTTGGAATCGAAAAAACAACGGGTCGGATTACTTTAAATTTCTCTCTCTCTCTCTCGTTATCGAACTACAATAACAACTACCTGCGAATCATCAAGTGTTAGATCACCTTGATAAAGTGAAAGCGGAGAAGGCGAAGAAGAAAAAGAAAGAGAAAAAAGAAAGTGACGAAAAAAAAACTTGGAAAATCAAGAGAAAACTTGAATTAACGATAATCCTTGTTTATCAATTGGAAGTGTAATTGGAGCAGAATATTTATCCATCAACTTGTCACAGATTAAGAATTAATCTAAGGCATATCACGCGTTACCGTTGTTTGTTTGTTCGTTGATGGTACAGGTAATAAAAACGAACTCACCTTTTCCGGTCAAATTCTTTTCGTTTTTTCCATTTTCATTGGATTCGAATTTGTTTTTCTTCTTCTTCTTGATCTTCTTGATCATCTTTTATCTCTAATCTTAATTCACAACCTCTCAGAGCAACAATTAACTCTGATAATCTTTTAAACATTTCGATGATCATAACACACTCACAGCTTAAGGACAAACTCATCTTCATCAGTTGTGACCAATTAACGCGAGTAAAAAAGTCGAAGCGCAAACTATTCAATTGATGTTCGTAAAAGGTTCAAGCTTAATGTTATTTACCAGCCTCAGGGTAATAACTTTCCAAGGATTCACTGTAATCGATTGAAATTAAATCTTGGTGAACCATTTAGACGTTACCATGATTATTGTGCACAATTAACTAATTTTTTTTTTACTTAAATTGCTCTTGTTGACACGTTTTCCCTTAATTGAAAGTTGTATTCTCAATTATTATCATGTATTAACTTTGGTTTTACCACAGGTAACAAACTATTTCATTTTAATTGTTAATCAGTCAAGTATCATCATTAGTACTTTACTTTAATTAAGGCTAATCAATGATGATTAAGATGATATACAATCATTAACTATTTTAATCCTCTCATTTTAAAGTCACACTTTCAAGTGATTAACTTTTTTTTCTTGATTTGCTTCTTGATTTTCATTGATATTTCATGATCAATATTATTACAACTAATTAACTTGATTAACTTTGTTGTTATTATTTGTTGTTGTTTGTTGTTGATTAAAACAAAAGGTTAATAAGGAAAATTGAATCAAAATGAAATATTGATTATGAAACAATCAATTTAGGATTAATCTTGAAATTACCTTTGATCTCCCTGAGTAAATCAATTGATTGTTAACATAAGACAATTTTTTAATCAAATTGATTGATGATAATGAAAACTAATTAAAATTAAATCCTTTTCAAAGTGATTTTTATACAAAACCAACAATTTCAATGTGATCATTACCTGGATGTTAATCACTATTATTATCATTGATTAGCAATTAAAGACAATCTATAAAGGTTTCTAATTGTAAATGTTTTAAAATTGTTAAAAGTGCAAAGAAGTAAATTAATTGTAATCAATTTAAATCCAATTTTCAAGGTTTTCAATTGCAATAAATTGCGACCAAAGGGAAAGTCTTGTTAGTCTTGTTTTCTTTTTGATATTTTGGATTATTAACTAATCTCCATGAGTTGAGAAGATGATTAACTTTGATGATGATCGCAATTTAGTAATAATCATGAATCTATAAGATGATAATTAACTTGACGATAAATAAACTGTGCAACAACCTTGACCGATCTAATGATTAGCAAGGTAAATTTATTGATTTAAATTGTTAGGTCAAAGGAGGAAAACAAATTATACATTTAAGACAAAGGTAAAGTTAATCACAATCAAAGAAATTAACAAAGTTAAACGTTAATTGTGAAGTCAATCAACGTTAGTTAATGATTTCAGGGAATGGCAGGAATCAAGAAAAACCCAGAATTAACATTGAGCTTTTTGTTTAGATGATTTAATGATGATCAGTAACCTAATCATGATTAAGGAATTAAATTGAAAATTTAAATGATCACAATTGAAACAACATTTCATTGCTCATCACAATTAACAATTTACTTATATTGTTGACAACATATTTCAATGATTAGTTCATTGATTAACATTAATAATTTAATTTTCCATATCTCTGATTACATTTTTTTTATAGGTATTGAAACAAACAATCAATTGATTGTAACAATTGGGTAACATGATGAAACCTTTAATTGTTGTTGCTTCTGTTCAGCTTAATTGTAATTTAAGGTGTTAATTGTTTTGAATTTTGTTCTTGTCACTGGTTTACAATCAATGCTGGCAATTGAATACTCAAAAATTTAAATTACTAACCTAATTGTTTATCTTACAATTAGCTAATTGTCCTTGTCCATTTATGAGTTACAATTTAACAAACATCAAGTATTAAATTCAATGTCAAACAATGATTCAAATTGAATCAAGAGGGAAGACATTATTTTAAAAAACGATGATTAAGTAATTGTTGATTAATTACTTCTGCTAATTAAACGAGAAGATGATTTAAAGAAAATAAAATAAGGTGAAAACTTTGAAGATTAATTAAGTTAATTAACTTTGGTAAATCAGGAAGAGAAATTAAATTAATTTGATCAACAAGATCGAGAGAAAAAAAAACTTTTACTTTTCAAGTTTATCTTTAGATATGAAAATCATTGGGGAAGATTTAATTTTTTTACCATTAATCTAATTGCAATCAACCGAGAATTTAAATTAGCCGTAAGGTCTAAACTATAATCACACAATTTAAATCGTTAATTATCAACTTCTAATATCAGTAAACAATCAAATTAACTTCTCATAAAGTGAAGAAAAACTTTAAGATGAAAAAGACAAAGTTGATCAAGTAATCAAATCGTTGGTTTAACTTTTTAAATTGTTGCAAACAAACAATTTTTGTTCAACAATTTACAAAATTAAAAGTGAAAATTAATCAAATTAAAATTAATTAATGATCTTAAAAGGTCACTGGAAATCATTGATCACCATTATAATTAAAGCTCGAGAAAGAAAAAGAAATGGTTCCATCAATTGACTTACTTTCGAAGTTTTCAAATTAATTTAAAGCGAAAAGTTTAATTTAAATTAATTTACTTTCTCGAGATGACAATTAACGCGTAATAAAAATGTAATCATTGTAATCGTAATCATGTTAATCATGATTATCAAAATCTCGATGTCGGTGTTGAACGAATGAGTTATTTGTTTGTCGAGTTCGTCATCGAATCGACTCGTTCTAATACGTTGGCGTTTTCCGTCCAGGGTCAAGTTAAGTCTTCGTACTTCAGATTAACTGGATTGAAAAAGTGACCTTGTTTTCGATCATCAATTTGTTTTTAATTCTTAAAATCATCGCAATCATCTTGATCATCTTTCTCTCTCTGTCTTCTTCTTAATTTCTTTTCTATTAATATTTAATGTTTTTCCAATGCAAGGTTACATTATTTTCCAAATCAATTGATTCCTTGGATTCTTTTCATTGGTTTTGAAAGATTATCTTATTAACTCAGAAATCTTAGTAAGATCACTTTCTCCGTCTCCATCATCGTCATCATCATCATCATCTTGTTCATCTTCTTCTTCATTTTAATCATCTTTCTCATCATTATCATCGAATAGAATCAAATTTCTTATATCATCTCTCTGTCTTCTAATTACAAGGTTACGTTCAATAAGAAATCGGTAGTTTCTTTTTTCATTAGAACTCAAGATTATCGTTAGTGAGAGAGACCTCGTAAGATCACTTTCATCGTTATCTTCATCATCATCAATCATCCTACATATATTTATCTCTCTCTCTCTCTCTCTCTCTCTCTTCCATTTCCCTCCTTCTCTTTACCTCACCATCTTCACCATCATCTTCCTTTTATCTCCCTCACGAGGTCAGTCTTCCTTCTCACTCGAATTTGAAATTTTCGTTCATCGAGGTTTATAAAAAGACGACTGAATAAAAATCTTCCTTTTCATTTTATCTTCTCAGTTGGAATCATCAGTTTCCTCTAGTGACTTAGTTTCTCATCGTTTCATTAAGTTTCACCTTTTTGATTATAACCATGATTAAGGTAAGTTAATCTAAATTATTCTTGAGATTAAACTTTAAAGTCTACGATCAACTTTAAAACTTTTTTCTTCTAAACAAACTTTTCGTCAAGTGTCCAACCAATTCGAGAATTGGAAAAAATAAGTGCAAGGAATATAATTTTTTTCTTCGAATTCACGACCATTGTGATTAATTGTTATACTCAATCAATTAACCAATCTAATCGATTCACAATCAAACCAATCGCAAGTTGATTAGATTCATCTAGTTTCTTTTAATTAACCATTTAAATTGTTATGTTATCATATCGTTTACCTTGCTAATTTTAAGCTAATTGAAGTGATTAGTTTTTCTGATAAACTTTTTGTTCAGTTGATTGTTAACAAGATTTATTTTGGTTAAAGTGATTGATTAGATGACACTATTTTGGTTTTAATTGATTGATGATCAGGGTAATTAAATATAAATTCATATAAATACATATAGAGATCAAAATTTAACTTTTCATGATTTAAAATGTAATCAAATTTTATTTGTAGTCTAATCACATTTGCATGATGATATTTATCATGATGGTTTGGAACTTAATTATGATAGAAAGAGTTAATCGGTCTACAATCAGTTGATTAGTATGTTGACCTAATTGTTAATTATTTCTTTTTTTGGTCAATTTTTTTTCTATTCTCAGGTAGTAGTTTTATTGTCCGTCCTCTCGGTCGCTTTCGCCACCAAAGGAGGTAGTAACATTGTCCAGCAACGACAAACCGACTCAGAGGGTTCACTTGGACCTGAATCGTTACCTTTCCTCGCTCCTCCTCCAGCCCCAGCCCCAGAACCCGCTGGTGCTGGTCCAGATTTGGATGCTCTTTATGGTCCCCCTAAGCCTTATGCCTTTGGTTATGATGCTCCTGGTTCAGATGGACGATCATCTCGATCTGAAAGTTCAGATGGACGAAAGGTGACCGGATCATACACCATGGTTGGTGCTGATGGTATCAATCGAGTTGTACACTATGTTGCCGATGGCGATGGTTTCAGAGCTTCAATCATTACCAATGAACCAGGTACTGAGAGACAAAATCCTTCAGGAGTAATCATGGAAACCTCCCAGCCCAAAGCTGAGGAAATCGCTCGAGCTTTCGGACCCGTTGCCGAACCTGGACCAGATGCTCCTCGACAATACATTGGTGCTCCAATTCCCGCTTTACCTTCAGTAAACTCTTTCCAACGAACTCCAGCAGTTAGCCAAGGATCAGCTTCACCCGCTTTCGATGCTTTCAGTCAACAAAAGCAAGACGATGATCGATTTGAACAACAATCTCAACAATCAAGCCAACAATCACTTGGAACCGCTGCTCTTCCCGCTCCAGCTCCACTTCCACAAGCACCAAAATCTTTCTCCCAACAAATCATCCACTCAGTTCCCGCTCCAACTGTCCAACAACAAGTTGCCACCCAGTCTTCAAGCCAGTCCAAATCGCAGCTCCAATTTCCCAACAACAACAACAATTATTCAGCGACTACCAACCTGTTATTGTCCAAGAGATCCCAAGAGTTGCTCCCCTTCCCCGACCCACTTTGATTGTCCAACAACAACCCGCTTTCATCCCTCAACCTCTTCCAGCTCCTCAACCCATTCCAGTTGCTCGACCAGTCGTCATCGCTCCAGCCCCACTTCCAGTCCAAACTTTTAACTTCCAACCCGCTCAACCAATTGCATCAGGCTCACTTTCATCCGCCTCCGGAGTTAAAACCGCTTCAACTTCAGCTTCAGCCTCAAACTCCTTTGGCTCAATCAAGTCCGCTTCATCTCCTTCAGGAGCCACTAAAAGCCGATTAGTTGCTCCAAGTCGAGTTGCTGTTCGAGTCGTTTCCCCAGCTCCTTTACCCGCTCTCCCAGCTCTCCCAGCCCCCGTCCAACCTTTTTCGTCCAACCTCAACCCGCCCCAACCCAAAACTCATTCTCATCCGCCAACAATCAAGGAAAAACCAACCTCGCCTCCGCTTCAGCCCCAATCAAATCCGCTGCATCTTCAGGCAAATTCAATGGTCAACGAATCTTGAAACCTTTCTACATCACATCAACCCAAGCTCCAGTCAGATTTGAACAATCTCAACAATCAATTTTCAACAATCAACCCGAATCATCATCAGCTTCTCGAATCATCTCACAAGTAAAAGATGAACAAAAGAAAGACGCTGAATCACAAGAAGATCAATTTTTCAGAAGCTAATTCAGTTTCCGAACCAATTAAACCAACTTAAGAAAAAAAGACAAAAAAAAATTTTCTACAATCATGATGTTAATTGCCATATAAACCATCAACTCCTTTTTTGAAAACTTTTTTATAAAATCATTTTTACCAAAAGAAAAAAAAACTTTTGTTTCGAAAACTTTTTTTACTTATCCAAATTTCCCTCTTCTTTCATAAGCTACCGCCATCTATCAGCAGATTTAACAACTAATCTCAACTTCGGAGTTGATATGATGAACCGATATCATGGAATCAGATATTCGGTTATGTTGAGGCCTAGAGTTTCAACGATGATTTAATTTGATTGTGATTTAGAATAATTATTTTTACCCTTTAATTGGCTTATTAACCAGTTAGAATATTCGATCGATTAGTAAATTTCCATATATTGGCTCTTTGGAACTTGCAATTGGTCGAATAGAATTTATAATGTGTTGGTATTTCCGCGTGGATTCTGATATTCGGTAACCAGTTTCGTCTTTAATTATTTTCATGTTTACTTTTTGAATTTAATGTTGATGAGAAATTATTTTCTTTTGATTTAAAATCGTAATTTGATTGTTCTCTTGTTATTTACTTTTTTTGTTCGTTGTTACTTATTACCAAATTTTTTGCTCTCTTTTCCAATGAGCGGATTTATTTTGAATCGTGGTAAATCATTTGCTGCCAAATACAAGAAGTTTGAAAGTAAATCAGAGGAAAAAGATGAAGTCCAACAACCGCAGCAACTTAAAGGCTGTTCTTCTGGTAGAATTGGTGTTATTGATTGTGAACCTGTTCGAAAAGTTTATAATAAATCGAAGGATGATGAAGACGATGACGATATTGTAATTGATGTTGGTTTAAGCAGAACAGGATCAATGAGCGGAATCCATGAACTAAAAACAAAATCGAAACGAGGAAAGCGTAATGGTAAAAAAGAAAAGCGTTCAGTCAAATCGAAAAAACGTGAAACCATTGATGTAAAACCTTTTCTCATGGTTCCCAAATGTGAAGCCTATGAAAGTGATGTAATGGATGACGATATTATATCAGATTCTGATGGTTCTGTTTATACTGAAGGTCACAGTGAAGAATCAATTGAACCCGATTTGGATATTACTCTTGTCGACACCAACCAACCATTGAAAGAAAGGAAAACAGATACAATTGAGTTGAAACTAAAATTCAATGGAAAATTCAACAGATTTACAGTTGATTATAATGAAAGAATATTGAGACATTTAAATTCTTTTTATAAAAGTCTTGGTGTTTCCAAAAGAACTCATGAATTGGTGATAACTTATAACGATAAAGTTTTAACGTTCAATGAATCAGCTAAATCTCTAGACTTGACCATTGTCGATGTATTAGAAGCTTATGCCAAGGAAAGATCTGAACCTCTTGAGAAAACAACGAAAACCAAAGTCCATCGAGATCCAAATTCTATTGAGATAAAAGTTCGAAACAATCAAGATGGTCGCCATGATCAACCTCTAATCATTTACCTGGATAAAAATGGAACCATGGAAAAACTAATGAAACAATATGCAGAAATAAAGAAATACAATCTATCAGAATTAATATTTGACTTTGATGGTGAAAAATTGACCGGTGAAGAAACTCCAACTGATTTAGACATGGAAAATGGTTCATTAATTGATGTTCGAATCAAAAACAAGTGATCAAACATTTTAGAATCCATGATGATTACTCAAACTGATTAACATCCATCAACAATAATCGACCAATATTGTGATATAAAATTTACACCAACAACTCTTGAAACCAATTGATCAACTCAAATCAAACGTTTCAAGACAAAAGTTTATATTGTTATGAGTTATACATAATATTCAATCTGATTAACTCTTATTGGAAAAAAATTTTTCTTTATATTTTATATAATCATATACACACACACACACTTGAAAAAACAAATTGTAATCCCAATTGATGAAATCCTTTCACTCTCATCATCACATTTATATATACATACATAATATCAATAGTATCTATATATTTACCTGTATAAACTCACAAAGGAATCAAATTATTGTATCATTTTCCTTTACAATTTATATATATACATATTTTACACAATTAGCAACAGCATCAACAATCGCGAACAACAATTAAACCCCCAAGAACGAAACTAATGAAGAAACAAACAAACTGATTAAATGTCAAAGAAAACAAGTAAACAAGATGATGTTGAAGATAAACGATTAACTGGAAAACGTTTCAAAGTCAAAGTTTAAGTGAAAGAAAAAGGATAACAACTGATGACCATTGATCACTTTATCACACTGACCATTGGAAAAAGAAAGAAAAGAAAGAGGATCAACACAATAAAGAAAGAGGAAAAAAAGCCAACGAGTCAAAAGAAACAGTTCTAAAGCGAAGATGAAAAGTTCGAAGGCCAAAAGTGATTATCATTATCTAATCAGTGAAACTGATAATGTTGAGGATAAAGATTAAAGATGAAGGATAAAAGATGGCGAATAACAATAACATGATAAGGAAGAGTGAAAGAAACAAATTCAACTTGGTTAACAATAAAGTCCAATCGTCGATAATCAATAGTATTAATAACCAACAACTCTAATAACTATTAACTTCAAGTTCTAATATCAATTTACCTTGTTATCTTTTTCTATTTTCTTTTTCTCTTCTTCTTCTTCATCATCATCTTCTTCTTCTAGTTTAGCTTTCTTTTTCTTTCTTCTTCGTTATTATCACCATCATCATCTTCTTCTAACTTTCAATCAGATAAAAGGATTTCTAACTTTATCTCATCTCCCCTGTGGGCTTATCATCTCTATCTATGGTTAAGATGTTATCATGTAAGAAGATGAGAAGAAGAAGAAAAAAATCTATTATTTCGAGCAATTTGTTAACCTTGTCCTTAACCGAGAAGAAATTGACTTTTGTTAATTGTCTCTCTTTTTCTGTATATTGATAGATAAAAAAGACTAACCAATGGTTAGAATTCATCTGTCTATGGTGTGTGTCAATTTCCATAGAGTTTACCACATATTTAGATCTAAATCAGTGAAGAAGATGAAGAAAAGTTCGTTAAAACTTTGAGAAGATATTTATTATTACCTTTTATTATTTATTCCAAAGGTAGAGATTGATTATTTTCTCTTCTTCTTCTAAATGATAGACGATTAGAAGATGATGAGAATTGAGAGAGAGAGAGAGAGAATAACGAAAAATGATCTACCCAATGGGGACAATAGAAAAAAGGTCTTTTTCGACAAGAGAAACAAGAAAATTCGGATCGTCTTAAAAGATATGAGAATGATGATGATGATGATTAGAAAGAAATGATGATGATGGAAAAGAAAAGGTAACAAATAATCAGAGAAAAAGATCTTTTTGTTTGAAGAAAAAAAAAATATTCTTCTTCCTTTTTTCTCTCTCTTGTCTCATGTTTCACCTTAACGTTAACCTTACGAATCCATAGGATCTTTTGTATTGTGAATTCGTGAATGATGAATGTTTTTTTTGTCTTCGTTGAAGGAGGAGGATGAAGAAGATGAAGAATAAGAAACAAAAAAAATAAGAGAATATCAACTCTCATCTTCTCTTTTTTTCTTCTTGTTTTTCTTCCTCTTTGCTCAATCTCTTTTTCTCTCTCTCTCGGTGTCTCTTCATTTCTACAGTAGTTTACGTCGGCAGATTGTTAGAATTGGTCCTCCTTCATCTTCATCTTTCATTCTAACCATTAACTATATTGGATAAACTAATGACCGTTTACCTGAAATAACAATTTAACTTCAAAGGTAAGAGAAGCAAAAAAATCAAGGTAACCATAGGATCTTTTCTTGGGCTACACCTTACAACGCCTCAGTCCGGCCTTTCTTTTTCTCCTTCTTTTTGTCTTTCATTTTTTTTTTATTCTGTTATTTTCTTTGTTTTTCCTTTCTCTCTCTCTCTCTTTTTTACAGGTAAACAATTAAAGGGTAACAATCAATTTATTTACGGAGGAAAAAAATAGAAGCTCAAATGAAAAGTGTAATGGTTCACACAAGGAGAGAGAAAGTCAAGTTAACCTGAGGAAAACAAAGGCCTAGGAAAAGGAGATAAACAATTAGAATGGAGGAAGAGACATTTCCATCTTAATCGTTAAAGATTCTTTTTTGTTTACAATTAATTGACTTGGATGGTTGGTGTGAGAATATTGGATGGCAAAAAAGAAGGTGAATTATATCAATTTTACAGGAATTAATTCCAATTTATGAGAGACGAAGGCAAAAGGAAGGAGTTTCTATAATAATGTCTGCTGTTTGTGTATAACAAAAGGAAAAGGAATCATCATCAACATCGTCATTACCATCACCATCAATATCTTCTTCTTCTTATCATTATTACAGAGGGACAACAACAATGTGAAGACGTAGATGATGATGATGATGATGAAAAAAAAATCAAAAAGAGGAAGGAGGAAAGGATAGGAGGAAGGGGGAGATTGAAATGACATGTATCTTGTTGACAAAGGATCAGCAAAAGGAGCCAGTAGCTAATATCAAACCAAGACCACCATCAGTCAATTTCAAACTCACCAGGGAATCTTATCTTCTCTGCTTTTTCATCATCATCATCATCCTTTCTTTATCATCTCTTCTCTCCCTCTAATGTCTTCTTCTTCATCATCAGCATCTCTCTCTCTCTCTCTCAATCTTACCTTGAATGTTGATACATCATATATACACATAAAGAAGTAAAAAATATACATACACATAAAAAATACACATAGAATTCAATTCTTGATATATTTCTGTGTATGTATATTACTTTTACTGTGAATGATGAATCTCTCTGACTATATTATATTAAAAGTCAGGTCAACAGTCAAGGTAAGGTTAGGACACTGACGGAGAGATATAATGTTTGTATGTTTATGTGTTTCTCTTAACTTTCTCTATCTCTTGTCTGTTTATACATTTTCCTATTAGAACGAAGAAGATGTATAGTGTAATGATGATAATGATGATGATGGAGATGAAGATGGTGATAAAGATCTAGAAAGAAAAAGAGAAGATGGAAAATGTTCAAAGATGGAGAGGAAAAGTAACACAATGGACTTTGATGATGGATTTAATATGGATACAACACACACACACTCACCAATATATTAACTTAAACTACGTTTGCAGATTGTATTGGATGGAGATGAGAAACTCTAAATATATTATCATCATCATTATGACGACAACAAGAGATGTACAAACGGAGGAAAAAGCCAGAAAGAAACAGAAAAAAGTACCAAAGGAAAAGCGAAAAATGTTGATAATCAATAATATTTCTCATTAATTTAATTCTGTTTCAAATGGTCATCAATATTAAGTGTTATCTGTTACCTGAATCTAGGGTAATAATAATTAATCACTTTGTTTCACTTCTTGAATACCTGAGTGTGTGTGGATAAGTTGTAAATGGATTGATGATGATTGTTTAATCAATCAAACAATCATGAATCAACCAACAACAACTTGTTCCAACCTCAATCCTCAACCAGTGATTTAACCACAAATACATAATCATCATGATGATTACCTTGAGAGAGTAAGAAAAAAAAAGAAAAGATTTCAATGTAAATTGTTACTATTATCATCTTGTTGTTGATAGTAATAGTAACAATATCAACTAATAGACATTTAAAGTCTAGTTAATTATAACCCATTTCAATTTCCTCTCGGAAATTTAATCAATGAATGTTAATATACACACTCACTCACTCACTCACTGACAACAAACAACAACCAAACTAACCCACTAATAATTGTAACTTCAAACAATCACAAACAATAAGTAATAGTAACATCGGATTCATTTGAATAATAATGTTGCTTAAAATGTTGTTAAGTATTTATTATTGTTACTATTACTATGATTGTAATTGTTATTTGTGATTGTTGTTGTTGTTGAAAATCCTATTTGAGTCTTAACAAGAAAAGGATTTAACTCTATTATATTTTTTTTTTCTTACAGCAGGAAAATAAAAGGAACCACAAGCAAAAAATACTAAACGAAAACAAAAACAACACCAACAATCAGAGGGATAAGATAACATTTTGGATTAGGATTTTGGACACAATGATAATCGTCAATCAGTTATAAGTAGTTTTTATCATTACAATCTAATCGCTACAAGTAACAACAATCAAAGGAAATAATCAACTAATACGTTAACCTTTAATATCTGCCGAGTGTCAACCGATTTTCAAGCTTATAACAACAACAATCAATTTCTTTTTTCTTTTTGCTTCTTCTTCTCTCAAATAATCAATGAAACTGTCATTTAACTTTCATTTACCTTAATCATCATCTTTACGATAATAACAATCAGTTGAAACAATTAACATTTTATGTAGATTAACCTTTTTCTGAAACTTTTATCCTTTTTAACTTGACGTTTTCCAATTTACATGATTATTATCATGATGATTACGTTTTTGAATTATATTTAAAAATGATAATCATGATAGAAAGTGAGTTATCATCATCATTTATTGATTGCAATTCTTTAATCAACTTGTAATTGTTAACTAAGATTGACAGAGCATAAAGAAAGGTGTTAACAATAATAACAACAATTTAAAAACGTAACATAATCAACATTCAGATTGATTTAAATGATCAATTTCAATTGATTGGTAAATTTTTGTTGCAAAAAAAAGTTTCTTTTCCCATTAATTCATTTTCTGTCATTTTCATCAACATCATCAATTTAAATCATCATAATAATCAACATAACCCTAAATTGTTAACAATTTAACACGAATCTTAATCAATCGATTCATCCTGAAATGCTCAACAATTATTTCAACTTGTTTATTTTAATTGTTACAATCGAGCTCATTATCAAATATATATACAGATAAATCATCACATTGGATGAATACAATTTAATCAACAACAATCAAATTAATAGCAATTGAAACGATTAATAACCAAGTTGCAGATGGAAATTTAAAACAACTCAATCACTAATTTAGATCGCTGATTAAAATTAGATTAAACATATTCCCTTTTTTTATTATGATTAACATTAAATGATTTAACAGTTGATTGGTAAGGTCAATGGTACTTTAAATTGTTGATTATTGTTAGTTAACAATCAACAATCAAACAGCAGAAGCAACAACAACAACAACAACAACAGTAAAAGATAAATAATAGTAACATTGAAAATTTGATCTTCCCTCCAAACAGAAACACAGTTTTTACAATCATGTTAATTGTATTCAAAATTGATGAACCAAATCTAATTGTGAACAGTTAATAGTAAAATATATATATAAAAAAAGCTAAATGGTTAACTAATCATGATGATAATAAATAGCAATTCAAAGTAACAATAATAGTAAATAGGAAAAAAGGTAAAATAAAAAAAAACTAAACATCTCACACCGAAACTAATCAAGTCACCATTAAGTAAATTGTTGAATTTATATATATAGAGACAACAATTAAAATAGAGGCGAAACTTAGTTCAAGTGTCCAGAACTAAATTGTCAACTAGATTGTTGTTGTTGACCAACAATCAAAAAGGAAAACGATATTTAAAATGTAACCGAATCAAATTGTGGATGCAAAATTTAAAAGAAAATCAAATTACGATTAACCTTCAATGAGGAAAATTAAAAAATCTCAAGACGTGAAGTAAGAATTAACAAAAATAAGAGATTAGTTAATCATTTATATGTAAAGGTGATTAACTAATCAGTTGACAATCAACATTGAGCGTATTCATGATGATGATATTGAACCAGAGGCAAAGTTTATCATTTGGTTAATCATCACAATTTAAGTGAAAAAGAAAAGGTAAAAGTATTTAAGGTCAAAGGGAAGAGAAAAACAAAAAAAAAACTAAAGAAAACAAAATGTTACCTTTGAAAAGCTAATCTCAGGTTATTATAATTCATCTTTAAGCTTAACTAAGATTAAGGATTAACGTCATGTCGAAACGTTTTGTACCTTCGGGATCTCAAGGGACGAAATATGATTAACATGTATTATTATTATGATATTATGGTTTCTAAATTGGTGAGGATGAGGATGAGGATGAAGATGAGGATGAAGATGGAGATACTTTTGTTGTTGTTAACCTTTTATATTTCATTTTTGTCTTTGTCTTGGTTGATCTTGACCCTTGGTCAAGATTTTCAATTTTTCTTTACTGAAAATGTTAATTTGGTTTTGAAGAAGATGAAGATGATTATAACAATCAGGGTTAACCCAAATGATTAAGAGTAAACTACTAGAAATTGATTTTGATTGAAAAGCGTAAAATCATTTAAACGTAAACCCGAAGCCAAAGCCAATTAAATGAAGTAGTTAACAATTTAGTTAACAATTTAGTAACCATTTTGTTTGTCAGATTTTACCTGAACATTTACCTTTTACCTGTGTCTCTTTTGTGTCCTCTTTTTTTTTTTACCTTTAACACTTACCCTCTTACCTTTGTACTCATTATTATAAGATGATACCATTGATAATCATACTGATGTCCATTGATAATTGACCATTAAAACATAGAGTGACCATTGACAAAAATGTTTCCTTTTGTTTTCACCAATACAACAAACTTACGATATTGAAAATTGAAATGAAAAGCAAAACCTACGAAATTGGAAATTGTCTCATAAATTGTTAATTTATCGCGATGATAATTTGATAATGATACAGTTTGTGAATAACTTTAAATTGTAACAAATGATCATGATGATCAAGAGGAAATTTGATTCCAATGATCAAGAGACTTTGTTACAACAATGAATAAATTACAATGTGAATACAATGAGAATGTAAAGATTTGGTTGGTGAAGAAAAAAAATTCGTAGAGTTTTTTTCCTCTTCTTCGCGTTTAACCAGCGCGTCTCATTTTACCCACCCCACTATGTAGATACACACAAATGACGATGATTATCATCATAATGATGATGATGATAATTGTAATCATATTCATATTTGTCTGATGATAATAGAAGATAAAGAAAAGAGAAAATTTTTCAGTTTCTTTTTCTCTACCTTGTTCAAAATGCTAAACAAAATGTTATCGTTACTAAAGAAATGGTCGCATTATCATTGTATTATTATCATTATTGTGGTATTCAATTTGCTAATACAGTTGAAGGGAAACATTTGTCATCCATTTGATTCCTCATCCTTATCATCCTCATCTCCTTTTGTCATCATCATCCAATGAAGGTGAAAAGGAGGAAATGATAATAATAAGAAACACTAACACCCAAACATAAACATATACAAGGAATCAAAAGGAGTCTGAAGATGATGATGATGAGGAAGATGAGGACGACGACAATGACCACGAATGATGATAAAGAGAGAGAGAGAGAGAGAGGATAACGATGACGACAACGAATGACAATGGGACCTGAGGCCATTTTTTGTACCATTGACATTGTTACTTGAATATAATAGTGATCCAGATAAAAGCGTTTCGTTTTTTTTACTATTGGTTAACAATCAATTGTTATAATCAACTGATTGTCATAATATTTACTTATGGTTATTTAATGTTATTGATGAGTTTTACTCCAAGAAATCATAATAATCAATGTTCATCTTAATGTAATTAAAATGAATTGTTGATAATACAACCATTGGATAAGGTTTTTTTGATTGTCAATGAGTTAAGTGTCTACTCTTGGATAAGAGTCAAGATGAAGATGAAGATGAGGATCAGGAAGATAGGACTTTTTTATAGGTTTGTCTTCATCCCTCTTCCCTCCTTAGTCCCAAAGTTACTTGGACTTTTTGTCCACAGAAAAGTTGACAACCAAGTTGACATTTTTTTATCAACAATCGCAACTTATCAATGTTTTAAGGCGCTGATTGTGACACAGATACAAAAGTAAACATTAACTACTAATATACAAACACATTGACACTATCAAGTATCAACCACAATCAACTGATATCAAGTTATCAGGTTAAAAGGTTATCTGATTGTAGACTAAATTGTTTTGTAATTTGATATTAAATTAACTTTAACTGCATGTTAACAATGTTAATTTGCATCATTTGCTTAAATTGTTACTGATTCTCATCTCAAGTTGAATGTTTTTTTATTATTCAACAAAATCATTTAATTTCATTCATTTTTTTCCCCAAATAAACAAATTAAATCGTGATAATTAATCATCATGAGACTATGATGATTAAATCATTTTCAATATAATTTGTTTATTTATTATAATTTAATCATCATGAGATAATTTAATCTGTCTGTATATATAAAAGGTACAGTTGATTAATTCATTCACGATGACAAGTTAATATAATACATCAACTATTTTGTATAGAATAAAAAGTTAATTTGATTAAGAGGATTAATATGATTTAGTTGATTTGATTTGTAAGAAAATCAATTGTTTAGGTTGGAAAAGTTAAGGTGTAAACAATTGAAATCGTTTTAAGTGATTAAATTTAAACTTTGGCGCCAGAAGACAAAGTTTATCTTCATCTTTTTGTGAAAGAAGAAAATTTTTTAAATTCTTGTGATTCTTGAAAAGAGATGATGATCAAGAAGATGAATCAAGCAATTTGGAAACAATTGACATACAATGAGACAGACAATGAAGATGAAGATGATACAGAGAGAGAGAGAGAGAGAGAGAGAGAGAGAGAGAGAGAGAGAGAGAGAGAGAGAGAGAGAGAGAGAGAGAGAGAAGAAAGAGAAAGGAAGAAAAGTCAACCCTTAATTCCAACTGTGATTCTCTGTTGGAAATCATTCTCTGAGTTTTGAGACTGGTGAAGATGATGATGATACTGAAGAAGAGGATAAAGTGGGAGGTGAAGTTCACATTGTGATGGTCACTTTGGATCATCATCTTCAATCTCCATCAGATGTATCATCATCTTCATCAGGAAGAAAAAAAGTAAGAATGGAAAAGTGTAAATAAAGTAAAACCAAGATAAAAGCAATTGGAACCAAAGTATTTAGAAAGAAAGGAGAAAATCTTTTCATGTGGAAAAAGTTTCAATGGTCATTGAAATCGAATCTTCTTGATTGTTAACTGGACACAACTGATGAAAAGTGACCAACAGGAAAATAAGAAAAGTTAAAAAGGTGACCATCACCTTGAACACAATTGACAAATGAATTGTTAATTTATTCATTATTAATGAGTCTCTGCAGTGTCCGTGTTTATCTCCTCTTAATGACCCTTAAAGGTCACTTTTCCGGTCAACAGCATTAACCCTTTCTAGTTGATCTTTTCTTTCTTTGGGTCAAATTTCGGTCCAATTTTTGGTCATCATAAGTTTTTGGTCGCTTCTTCTTCTTTTCTTGATGTCCATCAATCTGAAGAGTAACAATTTCCATCTTCTTCTTTCTCCTTGGATGATCCTCTTTTCCTTTTTCTTTCTCTATCCGCTAATCGATTAATTAATTGTCAATAATCAATAATCACAATCATTGATTATTCTTTTGTCTCCCTGAAGTAACTTTTTCCATTGTATCTTGTCGACTCTCCGGTTCCCTTCTTAAGCCAATTTGTCCATTAACCCAACACCAACTGACCCAAAGACATCAAGTGACCTTTACATTCACTCCTTCCTCCTCTTCTCATCCTATTACCTCCTACCTTCACCCTCCCAAGAAGTAGGAGAGGATGAGGAGGTTGAGAGAGAGAGAGAGAGAGAGAGAGAGAGAGAGAGAGAGAGAGAGAGAGAGAAGAAAAGAAAGGGAGAAAGAAAGAGAAAGGAAGAAAAGTCAACCCTTAATTCCAACTGTGATTCTCTGTTGGAAATCATTCTCTGAGTTTTGAGACTGGTGAAGATGATGATGATACTGAAGAAGAGGATAAAGTGGGAGGTGAAGTTCACATTGTGATGGTCACTTTGGATCATCATCTTCAATCTCCATCAGATGTATCATCATCTTCATCAGGAAGAAAAAAAGTAAGAATGGAAAAGTGTAAATAAAGTAAAACCAAGATAAAAGCAATTGGAACCAAAGTATTTAGAAAGAAAGGAGAAAATCTTTTCATGTGGAAAAAGTTTCAATGGTCATTGAAATCGAATCTTCTTGATTGTTAACTGGACACAACTGATGAAAAGTGACCAACAGGAAAATAAGAAAAGTTAAAAAGGTGACCATCACCTTGAACACAATTGACAAATGAATTGTTAATTTATTCATTATTAATGAGTCTCTGCAGTGTCCGTGTTTATCTCCTCTTAATGACCCTTAAAGGTCACTTTTCCGTCAACAGCATTAACCCTTTCTAGTTGATCTTTTCTTTCTTTGGGTCAAATTTCGGTCCAATTTTTGGTCATCATAAGTTTTTGGTCGCTTCTTCTTCTTTTCTTGATGTCCATCAATCTGAAGAGTAACAATTTCCATCTTCTTCTTTCTCCTTGGATGATCCTCTTTTCCTTTTTCTTTCTCTATCCGCTAATCGATTAATTAATTGTCAATAATCAATAATCACAATCATTGATTATTCTTTTGTCTCCCTGAAGTAACTTTTTCCATTGTATCTTGTCGACTCTCCGGTTCCCTTCTTAAGCCAATTTGTCCATTAACCCAACACCAACTGACCCAAAGACATCAAGTGACCCTTTACATTCACTCCCCTTCCTCCTCTTCTCATCCTATTACCTCCTACCTTCACCCTCCCAAGAAGTAGGAGAGGATGAGGAGGTTGAGAGAGAGAGAGAGAGAGAGAGAGAGAGAGAGAGAGAGAGAGAGAGAGAGAGAGCAAAGACGATAAACGAAAGATAATAAAATGTCAATGTTAAATGAATTTAGAACAAAAAGCTTACCTTTGGTGAGATTAAAGGTGTTCCTTTTCAGGTAAACCCTTTTTACTACTTAACCTTTAATCCATAATCTTAATCCAATCTAATCCCAAATGATAACTAAACGTTTCTCAACTTCAATTATCACTCATATTTAATGAATGAGAGTTTCCAATGTTTATCCTTAAAATGAGCAAAACGTTTTCTTGTCCATCGGTCAAAAACTGTAAAGAGAAAAGATAAAGATGAGGATGAGGATGAAAAAGATGCAGATGAAAAGTCTCCAGGGTATTTAGTTTTTTTGCTGAAAAAAAGAAGCAAAAAATAACAAAAGTATCAACATGAAAAAGCAAAAAAATAGATTCAAGGTTACCAGATGATTATTACAATTCTTTCAATGATAATTGTTATTTATTTCATTTGCAATTAAGGTCAATCAGAGTTACTATTAGAAAACTATTACATACATGATATGTGATCAGTTAATAATAAACGAAAGGAAAAGAAAAAGTTTGACCGTTTCAATTAAATTGTTTGAATTGAAATTAACTAATTATCATTGAAAGTTATCTTCTTGTATTTATTGTTACCATAATAATATCATTATTATCTGTTGATAGTGATAGTATTAGTTTCACTTTGATTTACAAGAAGATAAACTTTGACTTTTTATGTTCCAAAAAGGTAACTCTTTGTGTAAAGGTTACCTTTGAGTTTTTTTATGTTACCTGGTTGTAGTTAAATATACTAGATATTAGTGAAGGCTTTTTTGGTTCAAACAATCAATATCAATCATAACAATCAGCAAACGATCAGCAATCAACAACAACAACAAGAAAATAACATCAACAGGTTAACGAGTTGAGAGGGCAAATGATTTTATGACATCGTTTTAGGGTTTTACTTGTTACCGTTGTGTTGATTGTTGATTGTTGATGGAAAGACAAGAGATGAGAATCAGGGAAAATAGTCCATTGATTGTAAACAATAAATTTTGTCAATGATTGACAACAAGATGGGAGAGAGAGAGAGAGAGGGATGATGATGAGGATGAGAGAACTTTTTTCTTCTTTTTTCTCTTCCGTTTTCTTTTTATGTTGTATCTCCTGGATTTTTATGGTTCCCATGTTATCGTTAAAACCACAGAATCATCATCACCACCATGGTGAACATAATTATTACCTCCATCATCATTGTTAATTGTAACACGATCATCACCCAACAATCAGTGAAATTTTGTTCCTAAAGTGTGAAAGAGAGAGAGAGAGAGACAATTAGTCAAATAATTAAAATTTAAAGTAGTTAATTGTTTATATTTGATATTAGATTTTAGGTTGTTATTAATTTCAATTGCAATTATCAAATTAATTTGTCTAAATCAACCTTGAACCATTAAGTTGTTTGTCAAAAATGTTCAAGTTAATTGAATGAAATTATTTTTAGTTAATTCTTTACAATTAAGATGGTGAAGGTAAAGTGATTTACCGAGTCAAATTAATTGCCATAGACTTGACTATGTTTATACATAATATTTAATTAAGTTACTGATAATACTTAATTTAGTTCGCTATATATTTTCTGATTAAGATGAAGATCTTAATCTTAATCTTATATTTTGTGTACTATTAATTTCAATGAATGATCTTGATTATCATTACGTTAACTGTGATTTTGATTCATTTTAAAAGGTTGACTTTTAGTTTGATTGATTAACCGTGAATCCAGTTTTCCTTTTACTTGATTGTGATTAAATATAATATATATTTTTTTACCTTTAATCATTTATCCTCTTGATACCGGATTAACTTACTCACATTATGAGCATTTTTTTATATATATATTTTAATCCAGACAAAACTTTAAGGTAACTTAATTTAAAGTTTATCATCATTTTGATTTAATAACTTTAACAACAAATAATCATAATCATAATTATATCAATCTAATAATGATGATAATTAGTTTACTATGAATTAGATTATGTTATGATTAAGTGATTAAAGTTGATTTTCATGTTACATCAATTTGATTATATATTTTTCATTTTCATCTATGTCATCAAATGAACACATATAATGTAATAGTTAATTAATTGTTGATACAAAATCAACAATTGATCATCTCAAGTGGTTATTAGATCAATGATTTACCTCTGGTTTTATGGATTAAATTAGATGGATTATTATCTGTCTTAATTTAATGATTTATGTGTTAAAATTAACACCGAAGACAAATTAACTGTTTAATTAATGTTCTAAATTGGTTAGTAAGATATGATGAATAGATTTGATTAGTTTAATGAAACGTTTTCCAATTCAATTCTCATCTCGATGGTAAATGAGAGTTAATTTGATTGTTAGCCAAGGTAAATTGTTCTGACTCGACTCATGGGTAAATTATTGAATTACGCATGAGTCTGAGTAAGAATTGGAACCAGAATTTTTTTTAGGTAAATCAACCGACCAAAATCAATATCTGAATGGAAACAATGAGATTACATATATGAAATGGTCTATATGATTTTCCATTGGAAATTTGTTAACTGTTACAATTTTCTTGTTGATCATGTTTAAGGTTGTGAGGGTGTTGAGATTATGATTGTTGGTTTGTTAAACTTTGCTTAACCTTGAATAGTTTGAATTATTGTTGATAAAATGATGATGATGATGATGATGGATAAGGAAGGATTGAGAATCAACAATCATCAAAGATACGAACACAATGATGAAAATTTTGTGGTAAGAATTTTTTTTCGGTTCCCAGAAGTAAGAAAGGAAAAATATTATTCTACCATCAATCAGTATAAGCCAGGTATGTTTACATGGTTAAAAGTGGATAATTAGGCTAATCAGTTAATCAAAGAGAGTGAGAGAGTGAGAGAGAGAGAGAGAAAGGTTAGTCTTTGAGAGGAAAAGACAGAATCTTCAACAATACAACCAATAACAAGAAAAACAACAGACACAAATTGAATGAATGATTCTAACAAGAGAGTTAACATTGTATTCTAATGATAATTTGACATTGATTTTCAACTGAACATGAACATGAGTGTAGGAATAGAATAGGAGAGAAAGTGAATGAATACAATAATGTTAAGAACGGTGATGATATATAAAGATGAAGAGAGAGAGAGAGAGAGAGAGAGAGAGAGAGAGAGAGAGAGACTGAGATGTAGAAATTTAAAGCCTAAGGAATAAGGAAGGAGGAAGGTGATGATGATGATGATGATAACGATCAAGAGGATAGAGAAGATGAAGAAGAGGGATAAAGATGATGATGAAGAAGGTTAAACATAAGTGGATAATAACATACCTTTTTTTGGCTCTAATAATACATATTTGCTTAACCAAAGAACATGCGAGAAGAGAAAAAAAAAGAAAGAAAAAAGAAAGAGAGAAAAAAAAACAAAATCAGAAGGCAAAAAGGTAAAGGTAAGAGAGAAGAAAAAAAAAATGGAAAATGTTATGGGAACAACTTGTAGCCACTTTCTATTTACACATGAGAGCAATTAGCAATCGAGAATACAGGGAGAATACACTTTATTAGATTGACGAGAAAAAAAAGAAGAGAAAAATTAAGTTAATTGTAAATCACCAATTAGATTGTGATGATTAATCAATGGGAATGAATTTAAATCTGGTTAACCCATTAGTGATTAGGGCCCATGGATAGATGGAGACTCTGGCAAAAGAACAAAAGGTTAATAGGGGGCGGGGCCAATTAAATTTTCTCTTTTTGTTTAATGTTGTTTACTTTTCCATTTTGATTGTGATTAATTTGATTGTGATTTCTTTTGGTAAATTGATTGATGACGATTAGATTTTTATTTATTGATTAAATTAGAGTGACACACACACACACACTCACACTCACACGCGGTGTCTCACATTCGTATATAGTGGATACAAAGTGATAAAAGAATAACAGTTTTACCATAGAGATTGAATATCTGTTTGGGATGAGAAAAAGAGACAATCAAAAGTGATTCTTGTGTTAACACTATTAAGTAAATGGTGGTAAAGGAAACCATTATCAAGCGTTTTTATTAACCGTGAGATTGAACATACAGTAAATGATAACAGTTTTCTATCATCATCATTAAATGAAGAAGATCAACTCGAAGAAGTGAAGATGATGAAGATAATGATGATGATATTCCTTATTATATTATTGTTATATTGGAAGACACAACAGACAAAAGATTTTTATTCTTTTTTTGTTGTTGTTGTTGTTCCTTCTTTGATTTTGGTTAATAAGGTCAATATAATAATAATAGATGAGATTGTCATCCTCATCTCTATTTTTTTTTCTTCATCCTCCTTCTCATCTCCATCACATATTCATCTTGTTCATCTTCCTCCTCCTTCATCATCACCAGTGGAAAACCAATTTACCGTTACAGTCTATTAGATACAAGATATAATGTAAATAATATTATAAACTGTTTCTATTTTAACTCCTTAAGAGACAGTAATGATAATATAATCAACCCAATGATGATGATACTAATATAAACAATCAATTATTGATTATATTATTCCCAGTTGAATATAATAACAACAGTTATTTAATCGAGTTGATATTAAACAGGTTAGTTAAATTGAATTGAGATCAACAATCAACAATGTAAACATTATTGATTTTTTTTTCTCATATTTGTTGTTTTCCAAATTGTTGTTACTCATTATTTGTGATTAATTGATTATTTTGATTATCAATTTTTTTACTCAAATCTAATTGTAAATGATGATGATGATGATGATAGGGAGTGTTTTCCAAATGTATATATAGTTAATATTGTAAGTAGAAATGATAAAAATTCCCTATTGGTGTTGGAATTTTATTTTTTTTTTCTTGTTCTTATTCAATCTGAATTAAAAACGTCATCTTTTTCTTACAGGTAACAGTTTAAATGATATAAATAGTTAAGTGTTTACCTGTGACCACACAAGATGACTTAGACTGATGATGAGCATCTTCATCATCAACATCAAGATCAACTCATTGGGACACCAGCAAAATGATTCAACAATTTACCATCATGATTAACTGAATGAAGAAATTCATTAATTTAACAGTTTATCTTTACTCTTACTTGACACCTTGGATTCAACAATCAGCAATCTAATTACAACTGAATTTGGATAAATAAACAACATTGGAACAAGTAGAAAACCAATGAATGGTCAATCGTAATACTTATTGGTCATGGAAGGAGATGAGGAAAAAAAAGAGTTACAAAGAGTAACATATTTACACAGATCTTAAAGTTTTCTGTAATTCTTGTGTTGACCTTTGGTCAAGGATCATCTCTAAGAGACATTTGCTTAACAATATTACCGTAAATGAGATGGAAAAGAAAAGAGTTGATTTCTTTTCTTCTTCATCATCTTCTTCGTCTTATCATTTCTCTTTCTTTTTTTAGATGGTAAACATAAGACTCACTTATTGACAATGAAGAAGAAGATGATGATGATTATGATGAGGATGAAAAGAAAACGAAAAGGCCTCAGGAGATACTGGTGAGTGTCGTAAATCAAATACCAATCAAAACATTATTTTATCCTTTGCTTTTCTTCCTCCTCCCCTTTTAGGACACTGGACACGATAAAGGCCATAAAAGTTGAACATAAACAACTAGCACCCACCATCACTGTCCACTATCATCATTGTCATCATACCTTTTCAAGACCTTTACCCTTCACCCTATTGTCCCTTCTGGTCAACTCAAACCTTTCTCCCTCCCTCTTCCATTATCATCACCCTGTGGCCCTTGGGTCATCATCAACATCATTACAAAAGCTTGACCATTATTATCAGTTGACAATATTTTCATTCATATGAAATGCAAACGAAAAAAAAAGTTTTTTCTTTGACAAAAGGTAAGAAGTATAAATCTCAGGTAAATGGAAAACTTTTTTTTTCAAATTTCATTATTTTCTTTTCTTGATATAAACAAAAGTAGAGTAAATTTTTCTTCAATTATTTTCATATTAACAATTGATTTTCAGTTGAATACAATCAATATTATACGACGTATAGGAGATGGGACAGCAATTAACTTTTAAACAGACAAAATAATTAGGCAAAAGTTACATTAAGTTAACCTTAGGAAACTTGGGCTACCTTTGTAACCTTAGGGAGTCATGGACACCATGAAGATGACAAAGATGAAGATGAGGATAATGATGATAAGAGAAAGAGAGAGAGAGGGAGTGACAGAAGATGATAATAATGACTGAATGAGAGAGAGAGAGAGAGAGAGAGATAATGGTTAAAGGTGAAAAATTATTACCTGAGATTGACCATAAAATTGGAGTTGACCATTGGTTTCGTTGTGATTCTTGACCAATGGTCATTTGGGGGAATATTTTGAGCTTTAAAATGTTTGGTCCGTCAGGGAACCAAAGCCGACTGTCTAAATTATTGTCAAACAAATAACAATTACCAACGAAAAATGATTAACAATATAACAATTAACCCAAGAGACAATAATTCAACCAATTGTAATGTCAACTGATTCTCAACAATTATAAATAATCAATCAAAGATGATGAAGAAGAAAAAATCTCAACAATTAATTGAAACCACACACATTCACCAATGTGAATTAAAATTAACCATTTGAAAATTTATAATAATTAATAATCAACACAATAGTTGAACAACAATTAATAACAATTAAATGTCATATGTAAAAAAAATGAATATAAAATTACGGAAATAAATTTTCATTCATCTTGATTACGGAACAATAATCAACTGATGATGATTAACAAGATGATTCAACTGATATTGTTGATGATAAGCACGTTCATTGACACGCACACAGAGATAGCGACACACACGCGCATTCAGCACGTAGCACGTGCTAAAACATAACAAACCTATGGATCCATTGTAATGATAACCTTTTGAGGTTTGGACAATCAGAGAGATGATCAAAAAAGATAAACAAACAATCAGATTAACAATTGACAATCTTTTACAAAATTATCATTATTATTATCCTCTGATCACAATTAACTAACCAAGAAAATAAATATACAGATTAACAATTTATCTAAATTGTTAATAATAATTCAGATATAAAAAAATTACATATAATTTAAATTATGATCACGATGATAAAAAAAAATGATAATGATTGAAAATCATGATATTTGATTTAAATTTACAATCAGAAAATTATCATATAAATTATAATTGTTATCAGAAATAAATGAAAGAAAAAAATTAAATATAAATCATGATTTCAATCAAATTGATTGTGATGATTATTGTAAACAATCAAACCCGAAAAAAACCAAGAATCAATAAAATATATGATGAAACCTTTTCCAATGGAATTGAAAATGATAACAATTATTATCATCATCTTTTCATGACCAGATAAAGAGGATTAAGAGTAGATTATCATCCTTATCATCCTGATGATGATAATCATTAAAGTGATGCAAGTGACCCATTTAAATGGATGACATTACAAGAGAGAGAGAGAGAGAGAGAGAGAGAGAGAGAGAGAGAGAGAGAGAGAAAGGTTAAAAAAACAGAGAGAAAACGAAACATGAATTGAAGAGATGATGAGGATGCGGATGAAGATGATGATAATGATGATGAAGAGAAATACTATTTTTATGTTACTGTTATAAAGTGACGAGAACAGACGTTTAATGGTAAATATCTGAGGGGGAATGCGAATAGACTGTTGATAGAAATGTCAAAGGCAGTCGATTCTCTGCTTCATTCAATCATCATTTCTTATTATATTTGTTTCTATATAGGGTGGGTTAGAATAGAATATTATGTTCGATGGGTGGAGTTTAGTGGAAGCGAGAGTGGGCTGTGGAAGGTGGAAGGTGGGAAGGCTGCATCGAAGCAGAAAGAAGGAGGAGGAAAAAGTGGAAAAGTAGGAGAAGAGAAGAAGAAGAAGAGAGAGAGAGAGAGAAGAAGAAAAAGTAAACTGAGAGTAAACTGATTCTAGTAGAAGAAGAGGAAACATTTGATAGAGAGAAAATTCTGAACTTCTACTGAGTTTCGAAAAAGAGAACAAACAATTTTTAAAGAGAGAGAAAGAGGGAGAGAGAGAGAGAGAGAGAAAAGGATATTCATTATTCATTAGTTTGTTTTCTAATCATCTCTTCATCTTGATCGTTTTCATTGTCATCTAAAAGTTATCGTCGATTTTCAATTTGATCATATTTTTTATTTCGAATTTTTTTCTTGTTCTTTTTACCTTGTTGATTGTTGTTTTGGTGTTTTCGCATTTATTTAATTGTTCTTTGTGTTTATATGAGTGTTAATTAACAGTGTGTAACCCACTCAACATCTTCATCAACTTAATTGATCATCGAGAATGCAAAATTTCAATGTTCCATTCAGTGATTATGATCATCTAAATTATGGTCATCGGATCTATCCTGGTCAAAGTTCATGGTCAGCTCATTATCATGCAGCTATAAGTCATCATCCCCAAGGAAGTGGTTCAACCCTTGACCCTTTAAGTGGTAATAATTTTTATCCTCAACACCATCAACACCAACAACAACTTCAATCAAACACTGATTGTATTCATTTTGATTATCATCATGGTCAACATCATCCTCTCCATCCTCATCATGCCGCAGCAGCAGCAGTGACCGCTGCTCTTCACCATGGGTCAGGTCCACTTCACCATTCGGCCACTTTTCTCCGTTACGTTCGACCCTCACCACTAAGTGGTTCAAATAAATCGGAAGCGATGACCTGCCTTTGGATTGATCCAGCGCAACCAACACGAAAAACTTGTAACAAAACCTTTTCCGGAATGCAAGAGATCGTGTCCCACATCACGATTGACCATGTAGGTGGACCTGAGTGCTCCAATCATACCTGCTTCTGGGAGGACTGTCCACGCAACGGGAAACCCTTTAAGGCTAAATACAAATTAGTTAATCACATTAGAGTTCACACCGGAGAAAAACCCTTCTCATGTACAGTTTGCGGTAAAGTTTTTGCTCGAAGTGAAAATCTTAAAATTCATAGACGGACTCACACAGGTAAGAAAACCACTGACCACAAACGGTCAATATATTTTACACACACAAACTCATTTGAATGTTAACATTTTCACCGAAAGATCATTGATAAGATGATGAGAATTTTCAAATATCCGGATTAAATCAAATTTACTTACAGTTAATTGTTAATCAATGTAAAACCCTTTCCATTAACTTCAACTTCCGTTAGATGAAAAGTTAATGCATTCAAGTGATTGTTAACTTGATTCCGTTTTATTAAAAATCGGGTGTCAACTGATGCTGATGATGATGATGATGATAAACCCACTATCATCCTCATCTTCATCTGCAACCACACATCATCATAATCATTAACTGGTACAATAAATTTGCAATATTGCAATTATTAAGTCAAAAGGCCGAGACGAGATGATAATGTATATTAATGAAATGGATGATGATGCATATGATGAGGATGATGAGGATGATAAAGTCACACTTACATTCATCCATAAGCATTAACATTGCAAATACACAATCAGATACATTATGATAACAAACAAACACAATTCATCTGAATAGTTATTATTTATTATCATTTTTTTTTCTCATCCTCATCCTCCTCATCATCATCATCTTATATCTCCTTAGTATCATTGTTATTGTTCATCATCATCTTGATATTATTATTATTATTTTTTTCTTGATACAAACAGAATATATAAAAGTGATCACTTCGTACTTCCGTTTCCGTTAGTGTGTCTGTAGCATCATTATCATTATCAATAGTAAATATACCATTTGAATCCCGCTTTTCTCTTGCTCATCATCATCATCAGGCCTTTCATAGGGTGTCAATAGTTCCCATGGACCCTCCATCCCTCCCACTTTAACCACCCATGGATAAAATAGCTGCAACTTTCTGGTGATGATGAGAAGAATAGAAAAGAATTAGAAGAAGATGAAAAAGAAAAAGTGAAAAAAAAAGAAAGAAGAAGATGATGAGGATGAGGAAGATAATGATGAAGATGTTGATGATGATGTAGAAGCTTCAACAGAATCATGTGCAGTCCAGGAAAACAAACAAATGAGAAAAAAAAACTCAGCGAAACAAAAGGAAAATGTTAATCACCCTGAAAGAAGATGAAACATTGGGATACAATTAATTGAGAATCATTTTCGCGAGCTAATTGTAAACAGAAGCAATTAATAAGCTTGAAACCGTAATTTAGCTAATTAATATTTTCTGATTAGTTGGAAAACTTGTCACTCACTTGTCAATGAGATGAAGTGACAGAAAATCAAATGAAACGAAAACCGTGAAATGCAAAAATAGATTCAAACATAAGACGACATAACACTTTCCATGATTGTAATTAACTTAATTGCTGTTGTTTTTTTCTTTCTTTAATTGCTATAGGAGAGAAACCATTTAAATGTGAATATGAAGGTTGTGATCGTAAATTTGCCAACTCATCTGATCGTAAGAAACATAGTCATGTCCATACAAGTGACAAACCTTATAACTGTAAAATCCGTGGTTGTGATAAAAGTTACACTCATCCAAGTTCATTGAGGAAACACATGAAAGTTCATGGACGATCTCCCCCACCCTCATCGATTGACGGTGACACCACCATGAGGAATACAAGTTCAGCACCATTATCAACAACAACGGAAATCATTGACTCTAAAAGTGAACTACAAGCTAAATTGTTAGGGTTACCTTTGGGTGGCAATGGTATTAATGGACTCGGTGGTAACAATTTAACACCTTCAAATGGCACCAATAATAGTCCCAATTCAAGCAATCACGGTTCATCATCTTCATCTTCATCCTTAATGAATGGCATCTTATCTGATCTTCATCACCCCCACCACTCACACCTTAACACCAACAATAACAATCATCATCATCAATTACATCATCATAATCACTTTAATCAACATCACCATCACCCCCATTTAACTCATCACCAACAACAACAACAACAACAGCAACAACAACAACAACAACATCTTAATCAACATCAACTCAACTCATCATCTTCATCCCCAGGATCATCACTGTACCATACATCACCATTATCCTCATCTCTGCCCCCACCAACATCAACAAGTAACACCAACAATCAACACCAACTTTACCCCCACCAACAGGGTGGTGGTCATCAATCCCAACACCACCCAATCATTTACAAAATGGTAACAGTAATAGTTTAACATCAACCACACCAACAACAACGTCCAGTGGTAATAATAGTAATAATAACAACCCAACCACCACCTCCAACACCAACAACAACAGTGCTAATAATACCAACAATAATAATAGTGCTAATAACAGTTCGAGTAACAACAACAACGGTAACAATTCAAGTAACAACGGAAACGGGAATGGACCAAATACCAACAATGGTTCAACCAATTCTAATTCAACCAATTCAAATAATAATAATGTTAATAGCAATTCTAATTCAAATAGTAGTTCATCATCTAATTTATACCACAATGGACTCCATCCATATGCGACAAATTTTCCCTCCCTCTCTTCAGCATCACCTTCATCAGCATCTTCATCTTCCAATCGATCATCATCTTCATCGACAAACTTAAATTCTGGAGGGATTTTAGGTGTCAGCGGAGGAGGAACAGGTATCGGATTAAATTCATTCAATTCCTCAACAAATCATCACCATAATCTTCACAATCATCATCATCATCATTCATTATCATCTCATCATCATCATCATGGGACCCATTTATCTGATTGGTATGTTTGCCACCCCAACGGAACAGGAGGACTGCCCACCCCGCCTTCAAATGAACTTTCACCAAAGGCTTCAGGACCTACAGCACTTTACACAGGTCACTCTCTACCTCATATGTCACATCTTCATGTTACAACTTCATATTAAATTAATTATATTATTATTATTATTCAAATTAATATTATATCTATTATTGATTATTGCTTATTATCACACCCACTCGATAACTTCCGCTTCCTCCTCTCTCATCCCGAAGCCCAATTTTTTTGCTTTCATATTGACCATTAACTTGACCATCACACTTACACCTTATAAATATTATCCCCGATTAGTACCTTGATTGAATAAAGAGCAAGAAAATTTTTTTCCCTGGGATGGATTAAGAGTGGAAGATGATAATTTCCACCTTGATACAATGAAAAACCTTTCACAATCAATTTAATTCAATTAGATTTTTTTAAACAAAAACAAATTGTAATTAAAGATTAAAAATCAACTACAAATCAACAACAACAAGACAAAAAAAAATCAAACAACAAAAACAAACCAATGAATCAAAAAACTTTATTATCGTTTTCATATTGATGATATTTTATTATTGTGAATCAGTTGATAGTTGAATCTTTGATTTGATGGTTCATTTATTAGCCTATGTGTGTGTTTTAATCAAATTTGATTGTTTCATGAGCATCCTCAGTGTAATCAAAAGGTTAATCAAGTTAATCAACAAATCAATAAAAACCCCGTTAATCCCATGAAAGGAGGAGGAGGGATAATCCTTTTTGCAAGAAAATCTATCAATCTGATAATGGTGAATATTGAACAGGAAGAAAAAATTTCTTACAAATGAAAGTAAATAATCTGATTACAATTTCGAGACAATTTAATGTAAAGGTGAATGAAATTGATTCGATTGGTGAACAATTAATCATTTCGATTCACTAGTAACCTTGCTAATCTATCATGTTAATCTTAATGATGATGAAAACCCTTGAACTGAAGGTGAAACAAATTCGATTGGAAACAAAAGGACAAAAGGCCGTGAGAAAAGTAACAAGGTCGAGGTGGGAGTGAATCGGGTGGTTCCAAGTAGATTAATCAATGGAAAACAATATTGTTACCTGGCCAGTCCACAAACAAGAAACTTTACCTGTTGTAGTTGTGTTGTTGTTGTTGAGTTGACGATCAATGTAACGAGAGAGAGAGAGAGAGAGAGAGATACATAAAAAATAGAGAAAAAAATTTTCTCCAAAAAATTCTTATTGTATATTCCTTGTAGCCCTCGACTTTGCAGTTCTAAAAGGTTCTAAGGTGCCAAAAGAAAAGGTAAGTTAAAAGCATATCCTCAATGCTAAGATTACCTGCTGAGTCTTTTTCTTACCTGTTGTTGTTGTTATTAGAAAATGAATTGAGAGAGAGAGAGAGAAAAGAAAGAGAAGAAAAATTTAATTGAAGATTCACTGTTGGATTCTGTTGATGCTTTTGTTTCTCTTATCATCATCATCATCATCGTCGTCATCATCATCATGAGAAGTAACAACATTCAAGTGAAGAAGAAAAAAAAATTATCAAAACTTATATTCATCAGAATTGATGGAACCACACCCAATGATAATAATAATAATGCTCATGAAATTATATCGAGGATTCAGATGCGCATCCACTGAATATCCATGAACTCAAGTTGTCAGAATCAGAGTCTCATCATGATTATCATGTTCAATTATAATTCATTTTAAAATTGAGAATCAAAGAGAATCCAGAATTTTAATATCTTCCCCTCTCAGAATTTTCATCTAATCTTCCAATCGTTGATGATTGTTTATTGTTAATTGTTGTGATTGTTTACTTGCATAGTTTTTAATAGGTAGGCGGTCATGATGATAATCAACTTTAAAAGTTAATCTGTTTGTTTGATTGTAAACAATAATAATGATTAATTAATCAAGATGATATGAGGAAAGACAAGAGGATTAACGTTGAATATGGAGTTTGATGTTAAGATGAATTTTTTTTTTTTTTTCTTCCATGGGTTAATCCAGCATCGTAACATTTTCATATACAAATGAAATGAGGATGAGGATGAACCCTGCAAGGATGATGATGATGATGAAGATGGTGAGTGATTGAGATAATAATAATAATAATAATGTTGTAAGAAACAAAATTATTATTATTTAGATTTAGATTGTTACTGATGAAGAGAAAAAGTTTTTTTTTCTTCTTCTTCTGTATCTAAACAGTGGGAGGGAACTGGAAATGATTTAAATACAAGATTAAAAGGGGAATTAATGAATTGTGAGTCTCTTTCTCATCATCATCACTATTATCATCATCTTCATCTTCATCATCATCAGTAAACAACAAACAAACAACAACGGAAATGAATGATGTATCTGTTTTAAAGGTTGAATTAATAAATCTCTCTTCAGGCGAAGCCATTTTTTTACAATGAAGAATAACAAAAAAGTTTAATTTCAAGAAGATCAAGATGAAGATGATTAAGATGATGACAACGATGATGTAGATGATAATTATTAGTGATGATGAGGTTTTTGCTTTGTTTTCTTTTACGATTCCAATGATATATAACAAGGTTGAAAAGGAATCTGAATATTGGTAATGAATGAAAAGTTCATTATGAATATTGATAAAGATGAAGATGAAGATGAAGATGGGGATGAGGATGAGGATGGAGATGGAGAGATGATGAAGAAATGTAAGAATGAAAATTTTTCTTTGTTGATTCAATTCTCATGTTCATCTTAAAGGGCTAAAGGCTCCTCACTGTGATCATCTTCACTCCTGTTGAGTATTTTTCTGTGTTTCTGATTATCATGAAGATGAGGATGAGGATGAGGATGATTATGTTGGGGTGGAAAATGAAGATGATGAAAACTCTTACAATTTGATTGTGTGAGACATTGAGAGTTCAATCACTGAGCAACAAATTATATCGATGGAAAATTAAACCAGTTAATTGTTGTTGTTTTTAGTTGTCGATTTTAATTGTTTCCAAACTAATTGAAACTCTGCCTGTTGTTTATAATTTGATTAGATTTTCCATCAAACTTTTTAATTATTCATTTGCTTTTTTGTTGTTCTGTCTAATCTGATTAGATTATTTAATTGTTTCCAATTGATTTGATCATAATTTCAATTTCAATTTAATTTGATTCATTTAGTTTGTGATTCAATTCATTCAATCAAAAATGTTAACAATAAGTTTACTTTAATTACAATTAATCACGGGATTGATTTTCAGTAAGTTTCGAGTTGATTGTTAGTAATTGAATTGGATTCTTATCTGATCATTAACCGAATCAGTTTAATTAACTTTTTTATTTCTTAATTCACTTTGAGATTGAGGAAAAATGAACATTATCAGTATTTTGGATCGTAATTAAGCTGATTAAGTTTCATGATTAAAGATTCGTGACTTGATTTAGTTGGTAAACTTTTCAACACACAATTAGTTTTCAATAGAAAACGGAAATGGAAATGATTCTATAACCACAACAATCAATTTTAATCATTAACTACAATCCTTTTCCTCCAGATTATACAATCTTAATCATCTTGATCAACCATCTACATAATCCCAGAAAAGATAATCAATCAAATTGTTCAAAGCAAATTAAATCATTTTCTGATTGTTTTCCTTGTCATCACAACCACAATGCAACTTTTAATTGTTCATCATTTTAATTAAATTAACTAAATACATTTAACCCTTTTGCCTAGTATATGATAATCACTATGATGACATGGATACAACAATCAGTTGATTAATATTATCAATCATAATCTCATGAGATTATAAAACTTTGATTTCAATCATTTTAATTTGATTTTAATTGGATTATGTTTCTCATGAATTAACTAACAACAATCAAGAAAACCTTAAATTTGATCAACTTTTTTTGCTTCTTACTGTTGAAAACTTTTTCGAGCTCATTTATAAATCATTTATCATTATAATCATATCATTATCATTGTAATTAAATTGTTGATAATATGAAAGAAACAAAAAAAAAGCTCAAATCTAATCCTCATTTTTTAATCTAATATCAAAATCATTATTGATGACAATTAATTTACAGTTTCCGTTTCCTTTTATCATCATTATCATTATCATCCTCAGCATGATGTCTAATATCATCATCTTAATCATTAACTAATCATAATTGTTCATTGTTCATGATACAATAAACATACAACTTATTTCAATGTTAAACTGACCACAATTTAGGTAATTGACCTTAATTGTTATCAAGTTAATCAACAATTAATTACATCGTAATTCACTTGGTTTGTATAATTGAAAGTTTTAGCAATTAACCATCAGAACAATTAACCAAAAAAAAAGTCAAGGGTTAACTATTACAATTAAGTTTGACTTTAATTTGACAATTTAAATTGATTAAAAAACTTTTTTTTTTTGGTTTCATCTCTAATTGTGATTAGTATTTTTGATTAACTGGTAACAATTAATATTAAATGAAGCAAGGAAAATGTTTCATTCCCGTTTTTATTTATTAATATTACTTTTAATAATCGATATTAATTGTTATCATATCATGGTTTTAACAATTAAATTAATAACAATGACAATTTACTTGGGGAGTGATTAATGTCACTTATCGTGATTAGAAACAATTTGTTAATAGGAGATCCAGTTAATAGTTAAAATTGATTGTTGTTGTTAATTGAAAACGAAAGTGAAAATATAACATTAAAAGACCAATACAAAAGTTAAATTAAAAAAAAAGTCATTCATCTGAGTCTAATTGTTAATTGTTACTCTTAATTATTCAATATTAATGGTTGATGATAACAGCAAATATACAAAGGTTAATTGTAGGTTAATTGTTGTCCTGATCATAGTTAATTAATCTCATATTGATTGTAAACAAAGTTAATCAAGGGCAAGGGATAAATTTTTGTTGTAACTTTCAGTTTTTAATTGTTTCCAATGATTGTGATCAAAATCAGTTGAATTTAATTTTAATTTTCAATTGATTGTTGATTCTTATATGATAATGTAATCAAAGTACAATAGTTAATTGTTACAATACAACAAGGTGAATAAGAAATGGATTGTAAATTGTGATTACAATTTAGGAAAATCAACAATTAAAACTAATCACTTGAACATTTGTCTTGATCTTTTTT